AATTCGATGACACGGTCTGTCTGTCTGTCTGTCTGTCTGTCTGTCTGTCTGTCTGTCTGTCTGTCTGTCTGTCTGTCTGTCTGTCTGTCTGTCTGTCTATCTATCTATCTATCTATCTATCTATCTATCTATCTATCTATCTATCTATCTATCTATCTATCTATCTATCTATCTATCTATCTATCTATCTATCTATCTATCTATCTATCTATCTATCTATCTATCTATCTATCTATCTATCTATCTATCTATCTATCTATCTATCTATGTTTTGTCGCTCTTCGTATTAGCTCGTTAATTCGAAGTCGGTTCAACCGAACCTACACTCAATTCGAACTGACCCTCTGGTACTTGCACAGTCCTGTGTGTTTCCGTGGGGGAAAACTCTCGATAATTCGAACGCGTTGGTATTCCCAATGGCCGGTTTATTCAAACTGTGAGCTTTCATCGCTTTTCGCTCGCGGAAGTCGGCAAAGTGTGAGCACAGTGTGTTCAGACTAGAGATGCAAAACGACGAAACATCAGCCTTTCTCAACAGATCAGTATTCCGAATATAAGCTGCAACTCTTGGGCAAGCTGCAAACAATGCTCACGGAGTCGCGAGAAAAGAAATGCAAGCATATGCAAATCGCCGATTACTTATTTTCTTTGTTGTGTCAATATGCCAACTCAATAAGCGTGTTTTGAAGTATACATGGCGTCACATATTTCGAAATTAAGGCTCGTAGCTCGCATGAATGCATGGCGTATCACTGCACTGATGAATTCATTCTCGTCGCTGTAAGAGCTCCATATACTTAATTTACGAAATCACCAAACACAAATTATCAGAAGCGCCTCATTCGCGATAAGAGTCCGGAGTTCTGTCCGCGTAGTGTGGCACGATGTCCTTTCATTCTACCGCGCGCCAGCCTATTCGAAGTCCGCTTCACAAATTTGAACGATGTCATAGTTCCGTTAGAGTTAGATTTAACAAGCTTTTACTGTATAGTGGCAAGAACAACGATGCAATAACTAAATGATGGCATATATACTAGGGCAAAACTAGAAATTGCTCGCTCAGGTAGTGCTAGAAGAGTTATGTTTTAAAAAATTGGAGCTACTCAACGACGGCCACGTTTAAAGATTTAAAATCGGCCAAGAATCTGCTTCAAGCTGTGTAGCCGAAGCATTCAGTGTATATCAATATATATACGTTGCCTAAAGCTAGAGCAAAGCGACCGAAGCGATAGTTATCAAGAATCAAGATCGCAGAAGCCGACAGGCAAACGAGTCTGTCTCGCATCACTTACGCGCACATACTCATACTCTCACGTGCGTGTGCTAGAATACGTGACATTAACCGTGCCTTGCTGGAGCACAACGAACTTCATTTCCTGGAAATTTTCCGCGCTATTCTGCATCTTTCTTTCTTTCGGAGACATTACGCCACGTCACACTTTCTCAACGCGACCCGATTTTTTAAGAAAAAAAAAGGGAGGGGGGCTAAATAGAACGCCTTTAAACTAAGGGGCGAAATATGCGAGAAAAGTCAACTCAGTCGAGCGCACTTATACAACAATACCGGCTACGAAAGCTTCATTGTTATAACCAATAATTGCTATAAACGGGTCGCACAAAAAAGCACAATAGGGATACAGCTGACTCAAGTGAGAAAACTATAATGCGGGATGGAATATGCGAACGGACACCAGTGATAAGGATGACAAAGCTGCCAATTTTTTGGACGTGCTTAAAAATTTGAACTTTCACGGGACAGCCACAAGACTCGTAGAATGTATTGAAATGTCTGAAACTTAGGGTGGTGTAACTCTTTGAAGTCTAAACTATTACTCATATTGCATATCCGAAAGTGCGTTAACAGAAGCTACCCCCCCCCCCCTTCAACGCCGTTGTGAATTATGAAAGTTAGCTTTGCCGCAGTACTAAACTGCTATGAGCTGCGGCCATCTGAAAGAACACACACACACACACACACACACACACACACACACACACACACACACACACACACACACACACACACACACACACACACACACACACACGCACACACACACACACACACAGAGAGAGAGAGAGTAATAAACTGCTAGGAGCTGTGGCATAACCGTATAGTTTCATGATTTCATTGTCTTGGTTAATTTGAGAGCTTATTGGTCAGCTCTAGCTCGTTACAAGGTCATGTGCTATGTGACGCCAGCTGGAAATAAAAACAGTGTTCCATGCACGCCGTCGTGGGCGGATCCAGCCCCTCTATCATATCTTTTAGTGAGAAAGGAGGCGGTCGCTTGAAGCAACGCTTCCTCTAGAAAGATGCCTGCCGCATGAGAAGAAAAACAGCTGCCACACTCTTTCCCTCTTTCATTTTAAAATGTTCTCGGTCGCTAGCGCATTGTGGGAAACTCTGTGCAGCCCGCCACCATGATGATGGATGGTTAGATGGATAGATGAATGAATGAATGAATGGATGGATATGACTGTACCCTTTAGATTGGGCGGTGGCTAGCGCCATCAAGCCGTAATACTTAATGAACCAAAAACTAGATTTTTTTCCCTTAAATAGTGAGATTGAGGATTCGTACTTTGCAGTGAAGGGTTTAAATTTCACTCGTGCCTTGGCTTAAGCCACCAATCAGATAACCTCCTTCTAGTTAATTCTACCCGCTTAAAGTCTATTTTGCCCTCCCTGTCCCTAAACCCCGGTGCTTTGAAAAACTCTGCGCCATCGTCCTGAACTATATAGTGAATCCCTTTACAGAACATTATCAAGTGTTCGGCAGTTTCTTCTTCATCTCCACACGCACTGCATACCGCACGGAGGAAGGAAACCTTTCCTTCCTCTGTGGCATACCGTGTCTACCCCTTTGTATTTAGATGGATGAATGGATGGGTGGATGGATGTGGCTGTACCCTTTAGATCGGGCGGCGGCTAACGCCATCTATCCGTAATAATTAGTGAACTAACCATTAGATTTATCTTTTTTTTTCCTTTAAATAGGGAAGTATAGGACTGGTACTTCGCAGTGAAGGGTTTAATTTTCACTCGTGCCTTGACCTTAGCCACCAATCAAATAACCTTCTTCTAGTTAAGTCTACCCGCTTAAAGTCTATTTTGCCCTCCCTGTCCCTAAACCCCAGTGCTTTGAAAAACTTTGGGCCATCATCCTGAACTATTGGGTGAAGCCCTTTACAGAACATTATCAAGTGTTCGGCAGTTTCTTCTTCGTCTCCACAAGCACTGCATACTGTGTCTGCCCCTTCGTATTTGGCCCGATATGTCTTGGTTCGCAATACTCCCGTCCTGGCCTCAAACAGTAGAGAACTACCCCGAGTATTATCATAAATCCTTTCCTTGGCAATTTCCTGCTTAAAAGTTCAATAGATCTCCAGTGCGGACTTCCTAATCATGCCAATTCTCTACATGTCAGTCTCCGTTTCCTTCACTTTCTTCTTAACTGATAGTTCTTTTTGGTTTGGCCACCTGCTGTTTTCTAAGTATTTACCAGTCAATTTCCTGGTTCGCTTCCTCCATTTTGTATCGACATTCTTCATGTACAAGTAGCTGAAAACCTTCCTAGCCCAACTCTCCTCCCCCATTTCTCTCAATCGCTTCTCAAATTTTATCTTGCTGCTAGCTTCCCTGCCCTCAAATGATGTCCGTCCCATATCACCTTGCACTCCCTGATTTGGTGTATTCCCGTGAGCTCCTAAAGCAAGCCTACCTATTCCACGTTGCTTAATTTCTAATCTTGCTTGAACTTCTGATCTCATGCACAAGACCGCATTGCCGAACGTCAGCCCAGGAACCATGACCCCTTTCCATATTCCTCTCACAACATCATACCTATTGTAATTCCACAGTGCCCTATTTTTCATCACTGCTGCATTCCTGTTACCTTTAGTCATCACGTATATTTCGTGTTCCCTTAGGTACTCGGTCCCGTTGCTTATCCATACGCCCAGATATTTGTATTTATCTGTTATCTCTAGCGTGACCTCCTGTATTCTAAGCCATACATTCGTTATCATTAAAAATCATGACTGCTTATTTTTCCTTAATGAATCTGAAATCTAACCTATCTCCCTCGGTCGCGAGCGCCACCGCGTGGAGCTTGTTTAAAACTGAAGGCAGGCCAACTCCGCTGGGAGCGTGAGCCATTCCTCAGGCATCTTTCTAGAGGAGGCGTTGCTTGAAGTAACACAGGAAGAGGGGGGGGGGGGGGGGGAAGAACCCCCCCTCTTCCGAGGTCTGAGAACCCTATCATAGCATGAGTACTGTTAATTAGTGATCATAGTGGTTCCACTGATTTCTACTAATGACTGATAGAAGTTGGACGAAATGCACTGAAAAGAGAGGGCGGTGGTGCAGAGGCTTGCATGGGGGGAGGGGAATTTCACGCCCCCCCCTGATCCCTCACTGATACTCCGTCATGGCTGCGAGCGGCGCTGACTAACGCGATCAGGATTACTTAAACGTAAACCCAATAATGTGGATGGTTAAGCGACAACCACTGTGTCTTAACTGGTAGAGCACAGGATGCGTCAACTTGCGTCCACAATTATTCTTATAAAGTTAAACATTTACAAATTGTGTTTCCCACACCTTCCTTAACTTTGTGGTTGTTGCTGTTATTACGTTTTTTTTTCTTGCGTGCGTCTCTTTAGTGCCCTAAAATAACATTATCCAGTGTTTTTAGACCACGCTGGTTATTTAAAATTTGGCGCGCCACACACCACTGTATGCCACAGCGTGGCCAGAATGCTTTGTGCAAATATGGATGGACGTGTAAAAAAATGATGTCATCACGCGGTACAACATAAAGCTCAGGATAAAGCATGCTGTACAGCCTTAGTTAATAGGTAAGCAAAATATATTTACAATTAAAGCAGATAAACTGCGTGTATACACACACCATGAATCACATTCTCGCTGCTTTTTTGTTTGTTTCATCACCGTTACATGAAGTTTGCGGTGGCCTTCGCCTCAGGGGTTTCAGAGTGTGTGTATGTATGGCTGTGCGGGCTGTACTGCGGTACGGGTGACGCTAATTTTTCAACACAGCCACAGGCATCGCAAACGCATGCGGAGCTGCCGAGAACGTTTTCATCACTTGTGAAGCTCGTGCGCGGTTTTTGATCACTGGCGCGCCCCTGGCTACGCTCTGGCGTCCCGCACATGGCACAGCTGCGGCTGGCTGCCGTGGTGCCCTGACGTTTTGTTCTTGCTTCGTTTCGCATTCGGTGCGTTGCGCAAGAAAGCAGCGCCTTGTCGCTGTGTTCATGTGTGTTTTGTGGTGGGACGAAAGTTGTGCTGCGTACGATGAGGCGCGGCTCGGGCGCTCGCGAGACGGACAACGGCAAGTTTTTGTTTTCGCATCGGCCGAAACTTTTTTGAGAGCGTGCGCACCGTGCCTTTGTGGACCAGTGGAGTGAAAGGGTTTGACGTTGTTCCGAACGGCGGAGAATGGGGCCGATGGCTCTCGAGGCGAAGTTGAAGAGCCTCCCCGGTTGATGCGGTGTTGAGAGGGAGGCCCCGCTTTTTGGAGCATGGGCCGTGGCGACGCCCGTTCGGACTCGGACGATTCCGTGCAGTGGGAAGAATTTTTCGGTAAGTGTGCGATCAACGCCATTGAACTTTGTGCCCTTTCGGTTGCGAAAGGCGCTGCACGCTGAGAGCGTTCACTGGGCGATGCTCTTCCGGTAAATGAATAAACGAAACACGCAAGAACCACTCGCACGTATCTCGACAGTCGACAGATCCTTTTCCTCCGAAAGGTCCTTGCGAGCGCTTTACTCGATGCGCGCCCCGCTGGCGCCGGTGGCCTCTGCGCGACTGCAGAAAGTTTGAGCGCTCGCGGCCTTGACATCAGTGAAACCATTAGTCGCCCGCGAACAACGAAGGACTCCGATCATTAATTAGGAAAATCATGAGGACGCAATGAGAACGAAAGGGTGTTTCAGCTCCACTAACGTGAAACCTTCGGCGAAACATGCGGTGTTTTCGACTGCAAAATCCTTCTCGTCACTGGTCCACCATCCCTTCACAGATTTGTTTCACGAAGTTGCGTTCCAAATAGATGACTTCACCGTAGAGATGCACGTTTGTCTCTCTGGTTTTACATAAGAAGCTTGAGCGCCTTGGTACATTTCGTCGTGGATTTTGACACCGCTGCTAAGCCAAATAATGTACTACGTTAGAGGCAACGACGAACCTTTAACTCGTAATATGCATAAAAATGTGGACCAGTTGCGAGTAGAGGGATTGGGCCGCATACCCGTTTATAATGAACGACGGCAGCCGAGACTCCCGGGTACTTCGCTCCTAAAACAACTACGATGTCGACTGGTGTTTTGGTACACTTCGTTAGGTCTGTTTTTGCCCGAGAGTTTTCCGAGAACGGGACACTCCCTGCCAGGTCCATGGAATTGACTCATGTCTGCTAAATGAAACCTTGATTTCGCAACGCGATAAAAAATAATTATTTAATTAAATGTTCGGCTGAAAGGAATTCCTGGCTCCGCAGATCATACACTTTCAGAGCTCTTGAGGAATCGGCGTTGTGATCATCTCATCCGTTGTTTCTCGATAATTAGAATCTTATTCAGATGCTCAACGGAGTAGTTGACAATATATCAGATACTCCTACCATCAGCCATTGTGTACAGGGGCCTGTAGGGGCGATGTTGTGGCAGTATATACTGAAGCTGCAGAACTGAACACTGGTGCACACACTTACATCTGCAATATCTTTTGGGACGTTAAACCCTAGCAAAATTAGTATGATTATCCACGGGAAATGGAATACCTATCTTATACTTCATCAGAAGACTCGCTTTTCCATAATGTGGTAAATGTAGCAAGACACCAATGTCAATGTGGTAACGGTGCGAGCATTCTGCTCTACTGTTCAGCACCAGTCATGGTGCGGACACGATCGACCTACCTACTGCAGAATGAAGACTGCAGTGAAATGAGCTTAAGCTGCCGAGCTATGTTGTTAAAGTAATATAAACTTATCCTTACTTACTTCGACAAAAAGAATTGTGTTCCATGCCATTGTTAACTGATCGCTGTGTCTGCATACAAGCTTTTAGCCACACGTATTTTCGTAAGTTTCAACTTTCCGGCTTTCTTTCTTCAATAAGAGTACCCAGCGAGTATTGTACCTCGCAAAGCTTGTTTAAAGGAGCTTCATGTCACTGTTTTTCAGCACTAGCAAAGTAAACCTCCTGATCACTCGGAGGCATTGTTAGCAAAAGACTCTATAACTGCACATAACTTTTTACAAAACATGACTATTGCCATGCCTCTTTCTGTCTTAACTTGGTTGTTTGTGCCAATGAAAGTGTATATGCACCTAAGACCTTGTCCATTTTGGCACAAAAACAAAGCTGTAGATTATCAGCTTAATTGCCATAGTGCTAGCAATAGGCTGAGGGGAGTTCATCCCCTCCCTGAAATGTTAAAATTTTGCTTGTGTTTGTGTACACTCACAACCATACATAAAAAGTGTTTGAACCTCCCTTCACCCCCCCTCTTAAAATTGGAATCAAGCTGCACCTCAGATCGACACCAACAGCGGGCTCAAGCCTATTTTTTCAGCCTACATTATCTATGTTACCTGAAGTATTTATTACCTATGCAATGCTAGTACAGTGCTTTTATCAAAATTTAAATATTGACAGGCAGATAAACATGGGTGACAAAACCAAGTAAGAAGCCAACAAATCTGAAGGGACAGCCAGGCCAACCCAGATAGATAGTGGGTGAGAGAAGATAAGTCTCTCTGACTGGTATCATGGCTGTTGCTGTGAAGGCTTTTGCCCTTAATAAGGTAACTGAAAAAGGGCTGGATGGCTTGTAAATATTAGCGAAAATTTAATGGCTAGTTGTTTATTTGTTAGACACAATATTAATGAGAACTAACAGACAGTGATGCCAAGGAAAATATAGGGTATGTTATTAGTAGTAATTGTAATGCAAATGTGAAGAGAGAAAATGCATAAAGAGATAACTTGCCACTGGCAGGAACCAAACCTGCAACCTCGATGTAACACGTCTGAAGGTTTACCAACTGATATGGAGCGGCAGTCATCCCTCCGTCTACTTTATGGGGTATATATGTGCAAGTGTTAATCACGTGGGAGCGTCACTTGAAACCATTAGGGTGAGTGCGAAACACTGTTTTTTTTTGCCTGATGGCGTCACGTAGCACGTGATTATATTGCAAGCTGCCAACTGACCAATAATCCCTGGCATACTCAATAAAGGCACAAAGTCTGAAGGCAGCTGGTAGTATGCGAGGGATTATTGGTCAGCTGCCAGCTTGCAATAACACCTCAACAGGCAGAAAAAGAGTAATACACACTCGCTGTCCTGGCAACCAGCGATGCTGACTAATGATTTCATGTTTAAATGCACATATATACCCAATCAAATGGGTGGGGGGATGACCGCAGCTGTAGCTCAGTTGGTAGTGTGTCGGACGCATCATTCAAAGGTTGCAGGTTCAGTCCTTGGCGGCGGCAAGTTATCTTTTCACCAACTTTTCTTTACAGTACAATTACTGCTAATGACGTCCCCTATACTTCACTTGACATCATTATCTGTTATTTTTCATTAATATACTCAATGTTAATGCATTTGGATTTATTTAATGCAACTTACTAATTAGTTGTCTGTAGGTCGAAATGGAAAATTTGAGGGAACTTTGAAAATTAAGCTTAAACTTGGAGAAAATTGTACAGATACGTTACACAGTTGGGAGGCTTCTCATGCATACAATGAACGTTAATTGGTCGGGTTTATACAAGTCATTGTGCATTTGTTGCAGAAGGGTGTCTTGAAGGGCCAGTTGGTACATGATACTGAGGGGAACAACGCAAAAACGGGACAGAGAAAGAATGATCAGTGCTTGCGTTGTGTGATCATTCTTTCTCCGTCCCGTTTTTGCGCTGTTCCCCTCTGCATTCAGTTATTCAGCAAGTCCCTCATTTTACCCATCCACCCTAGTGGGTTAGCGGATAGGGTGCTCGATTGCTCACACGAAGGTCGCGCGATTAAATACCGCCTGTGGTAGCTGCATTTCAATGGAGTTGAAATGCTAGAGGCTTATTTTAGATTTAGATGCACATTAGAAAACCCCTGATGGTCGAAACCCCAGACGAAAAGCAGTTGTAAATTGCTTGAGAGTGCTTGAGGGCCATGTACCTGGCAGCAGTAATAAAATCCAAGCTCTTAACACATAAATTACAGTGGGAGCAGGAAAAGCAAGAGAATAGAAAAAAAAAAAAAAATTGAAGGATGTCACACAAGTGGAACGATAGAACAAATAGACACAGAATAAATTAAATAACTATGTATTAGCTATGTACAATAATAAAATAATGTGTAATAAATAATGTGTAATGTGTAAATGAGTAATTATTTCATTCTGGTGGCGTTTGTACAGCATGCTATAAAAAAGGCATTAGGCAAGGATGAAAAAATTGTGACGAATTTCTCTTTTTGTAAACATAAAAAAGTTAGGGTCATTGTCTTTCTATTTCCCTTTCCTAATGCTTCCACCACCTTGTGGTATTCAACAGAACTGATATAGAGTAATCACATCTTTCCTAGTTACAAACATGTGATGCTGGACTGATCCTTGCAGGCCCATCGCTTGAGATCAGCGCCTCCCTGCTTGCCATGTACGACAGCCTAGCATCGGAGCTGCGCTCGGATGGCTCTACCTGCCCGCCGCCTGCTGCAGCATGTCGGCCACTCAGCTCAAGCTCAGACTGCTCCTCATCCTCCTCCTCATCATCATCACTCTTGCCTCCTGGTGTGTGCTTCACTGCAGTTCATTCTTTGTTCAGCGGTGAACAAACATCAAGCCATGCAGGACAAAAGGAGCCATAAAGACGAACAAAAAAGAAAATAGTGAAGACAAAGCAGGATTGTTATGACCAAGTCATTTCCGATATCAAATTGTCTTTGTGATTGGCATTACTTGTAATGTGTATGTAACGCCACTGACATAGCTTATCGCTAGCACTGAAAACACGAGGCATTCATGATATCAGTGTGCCATATTGTCATGTGCGAATCAAGTTTGTTATGCCAGGAATTTATCACTGAATTATCGCTGTGTTCTACTTGTTGCCCAATGAAAGGTGGACCTGTTATTTTGTTCCAATTTTTATTATCAGTTTCCCTGTGTGCTGGGTGTTATGTTAGTGTAATGGCAATGTCAACACAAGTCATCTTTAAACACGCCTGCTAATATTAATGAAAAAAATGTGCACTGCCTAAGTTGTGATCCTGGTCCCGAAAAGTGCTGTAGTTACCTGCATATCTTCATTGCAGTTTATTCAAAAAGCATTTTCACTAAATTGAAGACCCAACACCTTTAGCTATTAGCTTTACCATGTAAGTATATAAGTATTGCGCCCCTTACTCAATTGTTTCTTTTGTACCTTTTTTTCATTTTGAGGTGTCTATATGTATTCCCCCCTTGCTCAATTGTCTGTCTTGTATATTTTTTTTCCAGTTTATTTGTATATATGTATAGCCCCCCTTACTCAATGCCCCCCATGGGGCCTGTAAGGTACTTTGAAATAAATAAAATAAATAAATAAGTGGCCACAGTTTTTGGTGGCCCATCTATTTGGAACACCAACTTTGCTACATCTGGTGTTTGGGTGGAGGTTAATACGCATATTGACCATTGGCATGACTTTACTGGTTGTAGTGCATACCATAGGCATCATTTGCTGGCATAGTTTTCTAATAATACACTACAGGGTTAATTGGTATATGTATGTGTGATATAGAAATGCTCAGAATACACACAATCACTATATATAGCTTTTATAGATTACGTGAAAGCATTTAATTCAGTAGAAATATTAGAACTTGTGCAGACAGCGTGGAATCAGCGCATTGGCGAATCATATATGAACATCCTGAATGAAATCTACAGAATATCAACTGCGACCATAGTGCTAAAAAAAAAACAGAATACCAAAAAAGGAGGGTGTAAGACAAGGGGTTGCAATCTTCCCAATGCTATTTACCGTCTGCTTACAGGAGGTTCCCAGAGGCCTAGAATGGAAAGACTTAGGGATAAGGGTTATTGGAGAGTACCTTAATAACCTGTACTTTGCCGATGGCAATTAATTACCGAGTAACTCGGGGGACGAATTGCGATTCATGATTACTTAGACAAGGAGAGTGGAAATATAGATCTTAAAATTAATTTGAAGAAAACGAAAGTAATGGTCAACAATTTCGGAAGAAAACAGCACTTCGAGATAGGTAGCAGTGCACTTGAAGTAGTAAAAGAGTACGTCTACTTAGGGCAGGTAGCAGCCGAGGAGCAGAACCATGAGATTGAAGTAACTAGAAGAATAAGGATGGGGTAGAGCACATTTAGCAAGCGTTCGCAAATCATGCATGCTAGATTGCCACTATACCAGAGGGAGGTACATAACAGCTGCCTGTTGCCGGTACTTACCTACGGAGCAGAAACATGAAGACTTACTAAGAGGGTTCAGCTTAAATTGAGGATGATGGAAAGGAAAATGATAGGGGTAACCTTAAGAGACAAGAGAGCAGAGTGGGTCAGAGAACAAACCGGCGTTAAGGATATCATAGCTGAAATCAAGAAGAAGAAATGGACATGGGCCGGGCACGTAGCCATAAGCAAAATAATTGATTGATTGATAAGTGGGGTTTAACGTCCCAAAACCACCGTATGATTATGAGAGACGCCGTAGTGGAGGGCTCCGGAAATTTCGACCACCTGAGGTTCTTTAACGTGCACCCAAATCTGAGCACACGGACCTACAACATTTAAGCAAAATAACCGCTAGTCATTAAGAATAAATGACTGGAGTCCCAGAGAAGGCAAGCGGGCTAGGGGGAGACAGAAAGTCAAGTGGGCAGATGAGATTAGGAAGTTTGCGGGTATAATGTGGTAGTGGAAAGCACAAGATCGCGTTTACTGGTGCAATATGGGAGAGGTCTTTGTCCTGCAGTTGGTATAGTCAGGCTGATGATGATAGTAGATGGAACTCTTGCACTAGTGTCAATGGGAGTTGCAATGTATGGTGCTTCAACCAGAATGGGAACGATGGGTATTACACGATTTATCTTAGCTTCATTCTTTTGGCTCCGTGTGGCTGGCATTGGCTTTGTCGCAAGACAAAGTTCAGCGAATGCTCAGTGGTACCACATCACGACCTCAACCTTTTTAGGCTCACCAATTGAAACTGCTTACGAAGTTCATGATGATCTTTTCTTCTATGAGTTACAATAATGAAAGCCATAAGTGCGTTTTGAACAGCAAGCACGAAGACTAGGCAAATCTGTGTGCTACCCATCATTCCCATGGTGGCTGAAACGATCCAAGTGCCAGAGCTACTTTAAATTAATATTATAGTAAACTTTATGTATAGGAAACTCTATGCTTGCTGGTGCAGCTGCAGCATGTGTTAAACAACTCTACAATGGCATCAATTTGCCAAAGGTGTGGCTACAATAACTAGTGTTGGCATGGTTGCATTGCCCCATATTGTCAGTTAGTTGCCTTGTGAAGTGCCTCTGGAGAGCTGGAAGGCATTGATAAAATTATGCGGTACTGCCGGAACCATTGTGTTCTTGCCTGCGACTTCTATGAAATGTGGCTGGGGGCTCATCTGCATTGTCAAAGATGACTCTGGTGCCGAAGAGTGCCAGAGAGTGAGGTGAATATCTGTGAGTTTGTGGACACATGGTTCTGTTCTTTTCAGGACTGGGTGGCGTAAAGAAGTCTTATCTGGCAAGCGTTGAGAGCCTGGAAGATGATGTTCCTGCAGCACTTCGTGGGAACCGAACGCTCTGTCGCACTGCATTCACTGACAGCAGTGCTGTGGCCATGCATAGAAGCCTACTCAGCCATCCCCACAGTATGTTTAACTACACCGCTATGTGCATACTTTTGAACAAAGCAATTTTACAGTGCATGATCTTCATATGCAACCGACATTCTTACCAGCAAAAGAACAATAAGAAACGAAAATGAAAAAAAGAGAGAGAGAATCGAATAATTTGGTCTTGAAGGCACTCGCTGCTATATATCGTTGCATGATATGAACTTCATTGGTGATTAACTGTTTTCATTTTTCACAGGGATGTACATTTCTTTCGTTCATCCCTAGAAATTGGTGTAGACAACATGTTCACCCAATCAAATCGTCAACTTGTGTGATTCTGTTATAATTGCCTGTACAATTTTGCCAAGCAGTGGATTTTAGGGCAGAGCTTGCCACACCGTGCAGTCCAAGTTCATTTGTTCTTTTTAAGAGCTTGCTTGCGACTATGTCAGGTGCAGCTGTTTCTGAGAAGCTAGCATCTAGTTAGCATCTTGAAATCAATGGCGCAGCTGCTAGGCTGCCCTTGTCAGATTTTATGCCTTGGAACTTGTCGGGAACTCAAACCGTGTGACTTTTTAATTTCGTTCTTTAAATGCTAAATGGCAGGCAATGTCCTTGGATTTAAAGGCTTTCTCGGGGCCAATATATTTCAGTGAAATTCACTTGGTATATTACTTTAGCGAATTCCTTGAGGGCTCGTTTCTTTGTTTGACACATCCTTATTCAAAACTAGCCGATAACTAAGCCATGGAAAGTATAGGGGACAATTATTGTACTGTTCAATATTGTAACAATAATTGTGATATAGACGTGAAGAAACTAAAGACAATTGAAACAACACACTGACCACAATTGAAAGCAAGTAAAAGCAAGACGTTTCGGCCCCCGTACGCGAGCCTTATTCTCAAGTGATTACAGTGGACATTGCTGGGTTGGAACTCATTTCTATGATACGGTCTCTCGAGCTAGCCCTCTTGCCTCTGTTCGGCATGGCGGCAATGCAGAGTTGCTTCAAAGATTGCTTTGAAGACAATTTTTTTAAAAGACAACTTGCTGAGAAGGCAACCCCGCTGTCAACTAGCCCAACCAACTAGTGCAACTAAGTGCTCTTCTGAACCAATACAATTGTAGTGAACCTAAAATATGCCAAGGACTTTGACATTCTTGTTATTACCCTAACACTCATGGGCATTAAATAAGATATAAAACTTTGCACATCATCCCCCTTCTAATATTTCTGGTATCATGATGAATTAATCATAGTATGGTTCTGAGAGAATAATTTATCTGCTTGATCTGACCTAATGTTTCACTCTGAAGCATAACAGTGCATGTTAAACCCATAAAAATTGTCTCGACAGCTTCAATGCCTATGTCGACATCTACCAAGTTCTGTTATCCTCAGTTTAACCTGCACATAGCAATAAATTTCTTAATTTCAGAAATTTCAGGCTGTTTGTAATTTTCTTTTTATCAGAATGTGGGGAGAAAAATAAAAGAAGAAAAAACACCATTTAAAACATCACAGTATCAAAGTCATCTCGAGATTTTCACTAAGTGCACAAATCTAATAAATTGCAAATGTGTTGAAAAAATGCCTTCAGTGGCCGAGATTTCACCGAAGTAAAAAAAATGTTAAGTAACTGTGAAAAAATAAAAGTAGACGAAAAGATAACTTGCCACTGTAGGGAACAATGCTGTGACGTTTTAATAACACGAAGTTTTAATAACATCTAGGTCAAAAGTTATTTGAAGGTTGCAGGTTTGGTCTCTGCCAGTGGCAAGTTATCTTTTCTTAACAACTGCAATACAATTGCTACTGATAATGCCCCCTGTACTTTCCGTGGCATCATTGTCTGTTAGTTCTCATTAATATTCTTGTCTGCAGCTATTTTGCAGCACACATCACATTCCCCTAACACCCCTACAACTCAGTAGATGCGAAATGGTGCATCTCTGTTGATGTACAGTTGTTACATTGCAGTTGGCAGCGTAGGCCCTGACCAGCCAAGCTACTTGGATCGTGTTCTGCTTGAAGTGGTGGACACCGAGAGGACATACGTGCGTGACATTGGTGCCATTGTTGAGGTCAGTGCAGCTCAGTAATTTCATATTTTTGCGGGGAGTGTTTGCTCAACACTGGTCGAGCAAACATTGTGCACAGCGCATAGGAATGCAGGTAGTTCCGCAGCAACAACGTCGCCGTCTTCATTCATTCGATGTCATCTAAATGCCGTGCTTTGATGACATTTTCACACCCTTTGCCCGGCTGGGAAAGCGCCATCTCAGGGCCTCTTATAGTTAAAGTTGCATGTCATCATTGTAGGGCTTCTGATAAGGAACATGCATGATGTTGGTCATGGTTGCAGCAGATGTCGGTCCTGTGTGTGACTGGCATCACATGGCACAGAACTGAGTCTTCTCACAGAGGCTAATGCAACAGAATGGGAGTTACAGCAGAAGAGGGACTTTAGTGTAGTCTGGGACGGCGCCGAGCGTGGGCTATTGCACAATGCAGTGAGAGAGAGCACGGGTGAAAGCAGGGTGTTGAAAGGTAGCAATGAATCATGGCCAAAAAGAATATAAAAGGGCAAGTAGGTGGCAGTTATATGACACGACAAGTTGTAGGCAAAGGCGACAAACAGGAGAGCAACATCCCCATTGGTGCGCTCCAGAAGTGTACGTGGAAAGTTATGTCCGTCAGCGCACGCTTGAGGCATTCGGTATTAGTCTTAGGCTGGTACGAAGTCATAGAGTTGTGCCGCACAAGATCAAAGTACGTTGTCAACTACACAAAACAGGAAGCAGTGACCACGGTCTGTGAGTAAGTCACAGGGAGTGCCATGCTGGGGAATGATGTCACACAGAAGGAAATCTGCGATGTCTGTTGTGCAGCTAGTTGGTAGCACTTGAGTGATTGCATACCGAGTGGCATAATCCTTAGCTAGTGCAATCTATCAGTGGGTGTGCAAATGGTGAAAAATCAGTGCGGTTCTCATAAGTTCATCTGGAAAAAGGGACCCTAATGGAGTATCCGTAATGCTATTGATGCCAGGTACGGGAATGGCAGCAGTTTGTATGAACCACTAGTGTAGTGTCAGCGTAAATTTTTTCGAAAAATTATACAAATCATCATGCAAGAAGCATTGCTAGGTTTCTTAAAGATAGCTTTATCTTAGGTATGACGACTTCTTGTTTTCATCGGAAGCTCTGCAGTCACTTCTCCTAAATTTTTGATTACCTGCTGAATGAAATAATCGCTCCTTTAATATTCAGGCCTATCCGTTTTATGTTGGTACGGAACTAAGGCAGTTAGATACACCCCATGGTGGCAATGATTGTGCTGTCTACATTCAAGGACACAGAAACCAATTAGATTCGATAATGCTCTTTTGATGTAATAATATGTGGGGTTTAATGTCCCAAAACCATCATATGATTATGAGAGACGCCATAGTGGAGGGCTCCAGAAATTTCGACCACCCGGGGTTCTTTAACGTGCAGCCAAATCTGAGCACATGGGCCTACAACATTTCCACCTCCATCGGAAATGCAGCTGTCGCAGCCGGGATTCGATCCCGCGACCTGCGGGTTAGCAGCCGAGTACTTTAGCCACTAGGCCACCGGGGCTGCTCTTTCAATGTACCTACTTCCTCACTTTTGAAAACTTTGAACGAGCTAGCACCAAGTGTGAAAGCAGGATAACTGATTACACATAGGAAACCTGAGAAGTTACTTGACCACAACAGTTACTTGACAAGGAAATCGCATATCTTGTAGATATGCAAATTCCTTGTCAAGTAACTCTACAGATGGTGAACTGGCGCATGAAGGGCCCCAGGCTCCAGCTGATAATGATGTGAGATTATCTATCACCCCAGGTGGTTGAAAATTCCCGGGTTCTCCACTACTTTGTCTCTCATAATCATATAATTTGGGACGTTAAACCCAAGCAATTATTGACATTATCTGCACTCTATCTGCAAGATCAACTCCGCATAAAAAGTCTGTAACCCCTGGTCATTCTTTGTATCATGTTTATCCCGTGTCTTTCCTTGTCTCTTTTACTGGCTAGTGTATATTTCGCGTATACGCAGCAAGACCCGCTGCTGGCACTCAGTTCCTCGGTTGTGTGGTCTATTCCCAACTTTCCTGTTCTGTACTGTATGAAAAGCTATCTGTACATTTTAAGAAAAATTGGCATTAGGACAAGTTGGGATTGGTTATGCATCTTTTAAATGGGCAGCGCAAGAAACGAGGACACAAAAAGTACAACACTGAAAAAGTACAAGGCGCTGTGTGGTGTATTGTACTTCTCTTGCGGTTGTTTTTTGCACTGCCAAATCCAAAGTGGCATAACGTTTCAACTAGCCCGGTGAACCATTGTTTCGAAGTTCAGCTCCTATTTTCGAGCGTGTTTGTAGAAGTTCCAAGCAATATTTCTTTCTTTTCAGGGATACCTGAAGCCATTGTCTCAGCTGACTGATAGCAAAATAAAGCCAGAGGAGCTGAAGAGCCTGTTCGGCAACATTGAGCGCATCTATGCATTCAACAGGTCAGCTAACCATGACTATTTTCACTTGGGTTTGTCAACAATAGTACTGTGAAAGCAACTAGCTGGTGGGTGCAGAGGCAGGAAAAGCCATTAGACTCTTTTCATGCTGTTCACATTGTTATATTAGCTACAGTCGTGTACTTTCATTTTGGTTGTTTAACCACTGTTTCAACATTGTTAATGCACTTACATTGCTTTTCTCTGTCGTAAGACAGTAAAAGAAACTAAAAATAAATACTCCCAAATAGTGATTAGTAGGCTAGTGTGAATAGTTGAACGCTTCGAATATTTGAAGAATTATTATGGTATTCAAGTTCGCTTTAAATCAAATTTAATTTATTAGAAATTTCAAAGTACCTTATTCGAAATGAATAAATTTATATTAGTTCACATGTAACTCCCGTAAAGGTGGTTTCACTGCAGTGGGTATGTGCTAGCTGTGAAAACACCTATCTAAATGTATACTAGTGCTCATGTAGCATTCTGCAAAGGTGGCTTCACTGCAGTGAAAGATCGCTACGCCGTGGAACCATCTATTCAAAAGAAATCTGCACTGTCGCAAAGCCCCACTTGAAGGTCACATGAACATATCCCTCAAATTTATTATTAACTTTTTAAGGTTTTAAAGATCATTATACTGGCTTATGTGCTATAAGTGTATTAAATTTTATTGTGTACTATAGTTTACCGGTTGTCACTTGCATTTTATCAAAACTCAAATCCTGCTACTATTCAACCAAAAAGAATAGTATTTGCTAAGGTCTTGTCTCAAATTAAAAAAAAAATTTGTGCACATTAGTCAAGTTGCAATAAATATACCCATTACCATATAGTATGTAATATATACAACTTTAATTTGGTTCGGAATTATTATGCCAAAATCACTATTAGCTTCAAACCCAAAATTCACTATTTGTATAAACCTAAAAAATATGTCCTAAATTTTACTGTACTTAGCCTGTATAAGCCCATACAACATGCTCCTAAACTTTAAAAATTATTTATATATGTGAGGGTAACACATTCATTTAACCTTTAAAAAGGGCTTTGCGGCAATAAAGATTTAATGTAGGTGGTTTCACAGCATAGCGTTCCTATGAAGCAGTGAAACTGCCTTTTTAGGAGGAAGGGGAGTTACATGCGGCTTATGCCTATTCGTTGATTTCGAATACTTTCAAATTCTAAATAACTTAAATTTGTGTTGTTATGAATTGGAATACTTTAATGTTTGTTTAAATATTCTAAGTGCTTGAATATGTTCTCATGCCTAATATCTGGAATTTCAGTCGCACCAGCAAGCAGTTCATGTCATCGCTCCTAAATAGTTTGTTGGTGACAGTAGTGAGATTGTATGTGTTTAAAGTTTTCTTTTTCGTGCAGTGGCTTTCTGGCGCAGCTGGAAAAGTGTGGCTTTGACCCAGTCTCCATTGCTCGATGCTTTGTGGCCCACAGCAGTGGCTTTTCTGTCTACACAGAGTTCTGCACAAGTTATCCAACGTGAGCACTGCACTTTCAACTTCTCTATGTTGCCGGAAAGCATGTTACAGAAAAAGTCAAGTTCAGCAAAAATTGTCAACAGGTAAATAAGCCAAGCTCCAAATAGCGTTTTTGCAGTGACCTATGTTCACTGTTGGCAGAGCATACAGCTGTTATATAAGAGGAAGGTATATAACAGCTGTATCTTGCCGGTACTTAGCTACGGAGCAGAAACCTGGAGACTTACAAAGAGGGTTCAGATTAAATTGAGAACGACGCAGCGAGCAATGGAAAGAAAAATGGTAGGTGTAACCTTAAGAGACAAGAAGAGAGCAGAGTGGATTAGGGGACAAACGGGGGTTAAGGATATCATAGTTGAAATAAAGAAGAGGAAATGGACATGGGCCGGGCATGTAGCGCGTAGACAGGATAACTGCTGGTCATTAAGGTAACTAATTGGATTCCTAGAGAAGGGAAGCAGGTTAGGGGGAGACAGAAGGTTAGGTGGGCAGATGAGATTAAGAAGTTTGCCAGTATAAATTGGCAGCAGCAAGCACAGGACCGGGTTAACTGGCGGAACATGGGAGAGGCCTTTGTCCCGTTGTGGACGAAGTCAGGCTGATGATGATGATGATGATGTTCACTGTTGCAGTTGAACGAAACAAAGAAAATTCTAGGGGCTCGGGGGTTTTTTTTTTTTTTTTTTGCTGAGCTCAGCAATAATTAGAAATAACAAGACAAGATAGAAAAGGGAAGTATAGGAGATCTTATTAGTAGCAATGGCGATGTAAATGTCAAGAAAGTAAATTGGACGTAAAGATAACCTGCCACTGGCAAGAACCAAACCTTTGAGTGTTCTAAACTCACCATCATGACTACCAGCATTGCTGACTCGCACTCCCACGTTTAAATGCACACATATACCTCAAAAAGTAGACAGAGAGATGACCGAAACTGTAGCTCAGTTGGCAGAGCATCGGACATGTTATTTGTAGGTTGCAGATTCAGTCCATGCCTGTGGCAAGTTATCTTTTCATCCACTTTGCTTTCGTCACATTTACATCAAAATTGCTACATATGACATTCCATATATTTTTCTTGGCTTTTGTGTCTGTTAGTTCTAATTAATCTTTTACATTTGCGATATCAATGCATCATGAAATTGAATGTTTGGTGCAGCCCCTTCAGATATTTTAGAGGCGGGCACATCTGGGCTCATTAGTGAGCATATTGTTACAATCATAGTTTTGAGTATGTGCACCTGTGTGTGCACATACTCAGTCGAGACATCAGCAGTGATGCAGGCATTATTGAATCAGGGCATTGACAAACCCTACATAAACATACTGGGAGAAATATACAGTGGAACCACAGCTACAATCATCATTATCAGACTCACTATGTCCACTGCAGGACAAAGGCCTCTCCCATGTTCCGCCAGCCAACTGAGTCCTGTGCTTGCTGCTGCCATTTTATACTCACAATTTTCTTAATCTCATTCGCCCACCTAGCTTTCTGTCTCTCTAACCCGCTTGCCTTCTCTGGGAATCCAGTTAGTTACCCTCAATGACCAGCAGTTATCCTGTCAACACGCCCGGTTAATGTCCATTTCCTCTTCTTGATTTCAACCATGATATCCTTCACCCCAAAACAACGCTTTGCGATGGGTGGACAGACACTGAAAGTTATAAGGAAATATGCCTACATAAGACAGGTAGTAACCGCAGAGCCGAACAATGAGAGTGAAATAACTAGAAGAATAAGGATGGGATGCAGCACATTTGGCAAAAATTCTTAAATCACAAATGGTAATCTACCACTAACCCCCAAGAGCAAAGTATATATAACAGCTGCATCTTGCCGGTACGAAGCAGAAACTTGGAGGCTTACAAAGAAGGTTCAGCTCAAATTGAGGACAATGCAGCAAGCGATGGAAATGAAAATGATAGGTGTAGCCTTAAAAGACAAGAAGAGAGCAGGGTGAGTCAGGGAAAAAACCGGGGTTAGGGATATCATAACTGAAATCAAGAAGAAGAAATGAACATAGGCCGGGCACGTAGCACGTAGGCAAAATAACCGCTGGTCATTAAAGGGGCCCCGTGACAATTTTTCTACAGCCTTATTTAGCACCAGAATGCGTGTAGCGATGATAACTGAGACTAATGCAATAAGAATTACAGAAATTGGTGCCCGGAAGGGGAAGCTATGAGTCTTCAAGTTCAAATAACGAGAAACATTCTCTTTCGCATTTCACTCACCTGCTGATGTCAAAGACTGCTTCCAATCACAGCGCGCGTCTCATAAATACATACCTGAAAGATCACCTCACGGTGGCCTTCACACAGTACCTCGCTACCACTCTTTGTGACGGCATCTTTAGCACGGCTACTACGAACCACGTGCATCGGGTAGCAGATGCTCCTACGGTCACACTGTGTAAGATACACACACGCTTTGGGCAGGGTCACTTCTCGGCTTGCTTGAAAGTGTAGCAGTTTGGGCTAGTTAATATGACGTGACGGTAGTTATAGCGCGAGAACATAGCGACGTCTCTTTGTTGTCGTTCTGTTCTCGCGTTATAACTATTGCTTGTAAGACTCGTTCTATGGCAACGCTGGTGCCCACCACCTGCCACATTTTAGGCACGGTAAAATCGCAGCATGCGTTTCTACCTTCAGTTGCTAGCACACCATAGCCTCGTTTGCAGGCTAAGTGTTGTGCTCGTTGTTCTGAAAATACATAACTTTGAAACAAGAATCATTTCATTTTGAAAAAATTGTAGAAAGCATTTTTGCTGTTTTTAGCATTCACTTGTAATGGCCTAGCTTCCACCATATGAATATTTCATGCTATTTGTAGCGTCCAGCCAATAAAAAGGAAACGGTGCTTGTCGTCACGTCGCATGACCCAACATCACTTCTCATGATAAAAATAGCCTATCTTTGTCACTGTAGTTTCAAATCAATGCACTGTAGTTTGTTCTGTGAATTAAAAATATAACAGTGTCGATTTCGGCGTTGCCATTATATCTGTACTACCATAAGCTACACTTTTCAAATCGTCTATTACTTTGTTGCAGTTACGTTTCATTGCTAGACCACACTTTTTTATCTAGTGAAGTAAGCAACAGCTTTTTAGGCCAGTAGAAGCACGTGAAAGTGGTTTGGGAATGCAACCTCCAAAGTACTGACTTCACATACATTGATCATATAAAAGTAGCATGATGCAGTTTTGGTTGTCTTTTTATCAATAGTTATTTCAGCAAAAGTTGCATAATTTCGTGGTATGAGCTGTAAAGGTGTTACACTATTGTGGTAGGCTAGTTGTCAGCATTGAGCCGCTTTTAAGATCTTCCATAACCTGGAAGAAGGAAACAAAATATCAAGGTGAAAATTGAAAGAGTTTGACGGAGGCTTAATTGACCACCATTATGTTTTCAATCAGTTTCTTTGTTTTGTTTCGTTCTTTTATAATAATTTATTTGTGTGTGTGTGTGTAACGCTTGAAAAAGACATGCTAGCTTCGTTGGTTTCATGTCCTTATGCAGATTTCAGTTTCAGTTTCTGATGAGCTGGAAATACTCTCCTTTTTTTTTCAGAATGGTATCAACCCTTACTGAACTGGTTGGCAAAGCAGAGACAGCGGAAATATTCAAGGCAAGTCCCGCTGTCTTGTGTAGCTTTCCTCGGGCACTGCAAGAAAACAGTCTGCTATTAAGTGACTGAAAATGGCTTCGATAATTTTGTGCAAGCGCAATGAGTTGATGCAGAATCCTGTGGATAAATTGCAGCTCTTTGTGTCAAGTGTATAAGTTATTACCAGGCTTTAAATAATGGATTTTTAGAAATGGCAGCAGCACAGTTGAACGAGTTTTCGAATACCCACTTCTGTTGCCTTAGCATTTTCCCATGACGTGTAGGCCTAGTGACCGATCTGATTTGATATGTTCAGTCTACATCGCTGAACCTCTGGTTGAGAGCGGGCGTCATCTGCCTGTGTTGCTATGTGCTGTGTTTTAATGTGAGCTGTGTGGCAGTGTTTATCTCGAGCTGCTTTTTTCTGTTGAACACCATAAACTGGTATGGCTGTTGTGTACTGCAAAATATAGCGATCAGTGACTTCAAAGCTGTAACGTCGTGTAAGGCATGTTAGGCAAGTGGCAGTCCTAGTCGCTTCAGCTTTTAGACGCAGTGAGCATCAAGCTCTCGCTGCCCGATCAGTGTCCATTTTGTATCAGCGGCGGTAATTTAATTCCTGAAGATACGATCACATTGCCCGAGTTTATGTTTATTGGGGATCGTTCTCAAGTATTTTCTCTTTGTGTGCGTGCTTAGCACTTACAGACTGTCAGTGTACAGGAGAAAAAAAAAAACGGCTGGCAGTGTTCGGGCACCTTCATTATACATGTTTGTAAGCGTACATTTGTAAGATTTTGCGATTGGTAGCACCTTATCCGCCCCGTTATGGCCAGATTTGTCATGTCAAGGTTCAAATCTATCCTAATCAAGTGGGCTTCTTCTGTTTAAAAAGTAGGGGCATGTGTGTTTCACTTGTGTGCAGGCACGCCAGACGTCACTGCACCACAGCCTGCCCCTGGGATCCTACTTGCTGAAGCCTGTGCAGAGGATTCTCAAGTACCACCTCCTCCTTCAGGTGAACATTGTTTAGATAGGCCGTTCATTTTGCTGCTGATACTCTCTACGGTGTGAAGAGATCTGCTTTATTGCAAAAAAAAAAAAAAAAGTCTAGTGTAGAACATCTTGCATCAGGTCAATGACATTGCATTAAAAGAAAGCGTCTCCCTTTTGTTGGCACACTTTACTTCTGTGCTCTCTCAAAATTGTCATCCAGTGCTAGCACTAGGCGTGGGAGCCAACATTCTCGTGGCTCATGGTAGCATTAAATTAATTAAGAAATTACGACACTTTAGGTTACTGAAGATTGGTTTTTGCTAGTTCTATGTGACTTGTGCTGGTGGACTCGGTCATGAAAGCTGTTTCTTTTGCCAGGGTAACCGGCTGTACAGCAGTGCTGTTGCATTATCTTTGCCATAAGACAAGAATCCTGTGACAATTATTTTCATATCTTGGAAATTTTGTGCACAGAACATATTGAAGCACGTGGACAAGGAGAGCCCAGGCTACCCCGATGTGAAGAATGCCCTGTCTGTTATGACAGGCATAGCGTACCACATCAACGACATGAAACGGAGGCACGAACACGCTGTGCGAGTGCAGGAGATACAGTCACTTCTTTACGGATGGCAGGTAAGCTAGGCTGATGGGGAATGCGCAGTGTTTTCGAATCATTGGGAAAGAGATGCGTGTGCGAAGTGTGGGGGTGCTATCACCCCCTGTAATGACGTTTGAGCCTCATGGTGCACACGTGTCCCACGGATAAGTCGCATTTAAGGTCAACAGCCGCTGAGCAGTAGGTAGAACAGCGCTCGCGCATAATTTTCACCATCATCATTATTATGCTTTCAGTGTGGTAGCTCCAGCACTGATGCCTGGTGGCGAGGTTAAGTGGCTGGACAGAAAAGATTGGTGAGCCTCTTTGGCGTGTGACAGCTGTCACGAACGGTCATCTCCCTCCTCCGGAGAGTTTGTGGGGATGTCTCCGCGAGCCGTTTCCTGTGGGCCGCTCATGGTGAATTGAGCGTTGTCGATGCAGCCTTCGCGTTGCCTTGTTTGTTGTTATGTTGATTGAGTGTATTGGAGTATTGCATAAGCTTGTCTTTTAGAGTGTCACTAGTGACATGCTTCATTCGGCTGATGGTATCGTCCATATAAAATTAGTTAAATAAATGTTTTGATTGGTATATTGTGTTCCAAGAGTGGGCTCTTATTTGGAGACTCCACCAAACAAACGCTAATACAACTGTTTGAAGGGGCGGTATTTTCGTGCATATTTTTGGGTGTCCTCTGTTGTCGCATTCAGAATTCACTGCATTTTAAGGCTGAATGCACATGCTTTTTTCTTTGTTCTTGGCTATCCACCTTCTAAAGTTGAAGTATTCTTGAAAAAACTAAATGGGAGGAGTCTACACGGTGCAAACATCACAGTTGCCACAGTGGCATTGCCTGACTCAGTCTTTAATTTCACCCTTATCTCTGCCTATGACAAAAACAGAAGCCAGTTATCTTTAAATTGGAATGCACACAGTTCTAACATTCTCATGGCAATCTTGCTCCATGAAAACATAGTCATAGTAGAATTAGGCATAGAGTTTTTTATAAATGCACCAGAGGGAACTCTAGGCATGGAGTTTTTTACAAATGCACCAGAGGGGACTCTAGTCTCTGTAGGAGCTGCAATGCAGCATGCATGGAAATGATGGGTAGAGTTCACGGATTTGTCGAAACTTCGTTCTGTCCGCTCCATGTGGCCTGCGTCCACTTTGTTGGAAGACCAAGTTCAGCAGTTCCACTTCAAAGCCTTGACCTTTTTTAGGCTCACCAATTAAAATCGGCTCACAGAGTTTATAACAATTCATTCTTTAATCCGAAGCAAACACCAAAGCCACTAGTGTGTGTGATGCTGCAAGCATGAAGAGTAAGCAAATCTCTGCACTGCCTGTCGTTCCTATGGTGGCTGTACGACCGCAGCACCGTAGTTCCTCTAGTAATTATTGTGGGGAACTCTGTGAAATTGGCCACTTGGTAGATTTTGCTGTGGTGATATCTTTTGACAAGTTGTGTAGATTAGTGCATGGCTGGGTGCAGGGTGAGGACCTGACCACTTTCGGGGAGTTGGTGGCCGAGGGCTGCTTCCGCATGCTGGGTGCCAAGGCCCTGCGGCACCTGTTCCTTTTCGACAAGCTGCTGCTGGTGGCCAAGCAGCGTGAGCAGGGAATCCTGCACTACAAGACACACGTAGTGTGCTCCAACCTGATGCTCATCGAGAGCATACAGGGGGAGCCCCTCTGCTTTCAAGTGGTGCCCTTCAACAGCCCCGACTACCAGTACTCCTTCCAGGTGGGTGTGCCCACGTATGGAAGTACCTCGGAACAGCAATGATACCAGGGGATAGGGGGTGTTCTACCTATTAAAGCTGACCATCAGCATTGGCAAGCATTCTTTTTCAAAGATTAAGATTGAAAGGCGGGTTGACTTCAACAATTTTTTTGTGTTAATCTCTTGAGTGGACTTTAGATGGTTTTCCCGAGTCTTTCGGTGGTGATTTCTCCAAGCTGTCGGCATGGGATTGGGGTAAACCAGGCACAAGACGTGCTAATATATTCTCCTGGCTCAAAAGCATATGTTTTGATTCATTCCACGTCATGCAGAGACTGTTTTCTATCTGTTTTGTCAACAGAGCGGAGGCTCCCCCATTTTGTGCCTGTTCCTAGGCTATTTTCATGTCTTGACCGTTTCGCAAGGCTTGACCAATCCTATGCAGCTCCCTCTAATTTTCCCCATCTGTCTCTCCTCCACTCTGTGACAGAACGCTTACAAAATAGCCTCCCTGGTGTTGATTTTTATGGGGACACACCTAGCTATACACAATAATGAAATTACCTCTGAGATGTGACTACACCAGTGGAACGAAAGACGTCAAAAAGGGAACTTTAGAGCCACCTCTGTAGTTCTCAAGGGTAGTGCCATGCAGTTCTTTTTTTCTATAAATCAAACAAATGCACAGCTAGTATTTTATACCATACTGTAGTACACTGCTGTCTCCTTTTTATTTTATCATGGGGGTTTTTAGTATAGTAGGGGTTGATTGCACTCGGGGCCTAGTACATCATCAGGATGATGCACCACAATGTGCCATTGCTGGCGTGAGCCGTGTCCTGCATTTATCTCAATTTCTGAATTGATGCAGATAACACTGATGTTTTAGACTGTCACTGTGGCATAAATTGTGATTTGCTTTTTGTGTTCCTAAGTCCTTTAGCAAAGTCAAATTTTCATATCGTTGTTTTGTGGATTGCTTCTATGTGCAGGCTCGTAGTTTGGAGCAGAAGCGTGAATGGTGCCTGCAGCTGAAACGAGCCATCATTGAGAGCTTCAGTGCTGTCATACCGAGCCATGCCAAGCAGCTGGTGTTGGAGCTTGGCCAAAATGACAGTACGTGGGTTGGCTGCTTTTACATGAAAGGATAGAACATGCTTCTATCTCTTTTGTGGGGTCTGGATAAGCCACACTCATCAAACAAATAGGCACAGCCATGCCGTCAAGCAGTGAACATGCGCACATTTCCTCAATTTTTACAACAGCGAGCTTGCCAGCCGAATATATGAAATAATTAATAACATGCTAAATAACCCAATATTATGCCAGTACAGCATGCAGAGAATATGACACATACAGTGTTCTGCAAATTCTGTGTAATGATGTCCAATTCACGGTAAAAGACCTTCAGAAATGTGCCACAGAATCTTACTTCAGTGAAAGACAACTGTTCATCGCCGCATCAAACAGAAAGCACTCTTCGTCCAGCACCAGTGTAACCTCACTTGCCGCCAAGTGACACTGGATGGATGGATGTATCCGGCTGTGCCCTTTAGATCGGGCGGCGGCTCACGCCACCTTGCCATAAAGTTCAGTGCTATCACTGCGTGTTTAAGGATTGAATTTCACTCGCACCTTGATTGTAGCCACCAATCAGTTAGCCTCCTCCTGGTTATTTCTGTTCCTTAAAAGTATATTTTGCCTTCACTGTCCCTAAATCCAAATGCTTTGAAAAACTCGGCGCCATTATCTTCAACTATAGAATGGAGCCCTTTATCAAATGTTCAGCCGCTTCCTCCTCCTCTCCACACGCACTACGTACCGTGTCTGTGCCTTCGTATCTTGCTCGGTACGTCTTGGTCCACAATACTCCCGTTCTAGCCTCGAAGAGCAGAGAACTACCCTGAGAATCATCGTAGATCTTTTCCCTTGCAATTTTCTGCTTAAAAGTTCAGTAGGTCTCCAGTGATGGTTTCGATCTTCCCTCTCTGTTTCCTTCACCTTCTTCTTAACTGATGTTTCCTTTTGGCTTGGTATTCTGCTGTTGTCTAAATAGTTGCTTGACAATTTTCGAGTTCGTTTCCTTCATTTAGTATCGACATTCTTCATGTACAAATAACTGAAAACTTTCCTAGCCCAACGCTCCTCTCCCATTTTTCTCAATCACTTCTCAAATTCTATCTTGCTGCTAGCTTCCCTGCATTCAAACGATGTCCATCCCATGTCTCCCTGTACCCCCTGATTTGGGGTATTCAAGTGTGCTCCCAAAGCAAGTCTACCTATTTGTTGTTTAATTTTCAATCTGCCTCGAACTTCTGATTTCATGCACAGGACCGCATTGCCGAACGTCAAACCCGGGACCATGACACCTTTCCAAATCCTTCTCACAACGTCATACCTATTGTAGTTCCACAGTGCCCTATTTTTCATTACAGCTGCATTCCTGGTGCCCTTAGTCACTACGTATCTTTCGTGCTTCCTTAGATACTCAGCCCCGTTATTTATCCATATGCCCAAATATTTGTACAGTAAAAGCTCGTTTATCCAGACCTCATTAACTCGGAAATTTGGTCAACTCAGACTCGCGGCGCGGTCCCAGCAAAACTGTGTATATTTCAATGAGGTCAAATGCTCATTAATTCGGTGGGATTTAGCCGCACACTGGTTATCTCAGACAACTCCGGAGAGGGTTATCTGGACTCCGGAGTCGCGCGGTTTGGCGGCTTGGAGGCTCAAGCACCGCTTGCCGTAATCGACGACAGAACCGGAGTTTTGGAGAAATTGAAACCGAGCGAATTGCAGCAGAATATGACGATGATGATAGTGAATGAGGGGGAAGTGGCTAGGTGGCGCTAGTCAACACCCGGCGGAAGCGCTTGGGCCATCGGCGCATCAATTGTCTACTAACAGCTGCTCACTACGCCCATGCTACGCCTACTGGTGTACTATACTTCGTATCTTGGTTCTTTGTGTTGTGACTTTGCGTGTTGCGGCTGTATTTGTGCGCGTTGTCGCCGCCGTCTCGCTTCATGGCGATCGTCACAGGAGTTAAGCGGCCACAGCAGCCAGCAAATGATCTTGAAAGAAAGGTTATGATATTGAAAGAAGTGATGAACTGACGCGACGTTGCCGCACCGTGCAGGAGGCCGCCGAAGCCCTCGCTGTCCTCGAGGAGTTCTCTGCGTTTGTTCTCGCGACAGTGACCGTGCGCACCACCACCTGATGAAATTAAATAAGATCGTTGTCAGAAATTCCGACGGCGAGGCAGGCAAAAATAACGCACTTTTTCAAGAAATAAAGGTTTGTCTGTGCCGTGTACAATTTCTTTTTGTTCTCATGGTCCGTTCGATAATTCGGAATTCGGTTAACTCGGACATTTTCTCCGGTCCCGTGAGATCCGAGTTAACGAGCTTTTACTGTATTTATCCACTATTTCTAGCGTGACTTCCTGTATCTTATGCTCATTGCCTCTGTTATCATTAAAAATCATGATTGCTGATTTTTCCCTGCTGAACTTCAAATTTAACCTATCTTCCTCATTGCCACAGATGTCTATCAATTTCTGCAGATTTTCCTTGTTGTCGGCTATTATTACTATGTCACCTGCATACATCAATGCTGGCAATGACTGTTCAATGTGCTTTCCTTGCTTGGCAAAAGGGAGGCTGAATCCGAGTCAACTCCCCTCTAATTTTGCTTCTAGTCCCTGGAGATACAGCATAAATAACAAAGGTGACAAGAGACATCCCTGTCGAAACCCGCGTTGTATCTCTATAGGTTCAGATAGTTGTTCTTCCCATTTGATAACTACCTTGTTACTTTTATAGATATCCTTTAGAAGATTAGTTATTCGCGACGGGTGAGAAGGCCGTAAGGAAAGAAGCGCTCGCAGGTGCACTCTAGCCCGGCTGTGGCAAACTACGAATAATCCGCCAGACATGCGTGCAGGATAAGGTATAAATTACTTTACGGGGAGTGGGTGATAACAACCCCACGCTTTGAAGGTTTAATGGAAGAATTATCTATTACTTAGTGGCACTAAAGTGACCAAATTTGTTTAATGTGTGCAGGTTTGGTTATGGTTTATTGTCAAATTGTACAAAACAATTATTGCGACTATTTTTGTACTTTTGTAAAAATTACATCTTAGGTTTGATACCACTGGTGCTTGCAGTCAGAACTGTTCCATTACATTTTCCACTTCTGTCATGTGCAAGTGACCTTGTCAGTGGGACTAGTCTGGTATAAATGGGGGGGAAATGGAAAGTGGCATGACTAATTAGACAATCTCACAAAATTTGGTCATGGCAATAAAGAGGACCGCTAGGGAGTGTTTTCGGAGTTAAATTATATGCCCAGTAGAAAAACAAAGCAAGAGAGTGTGAACCCAGATAACATTGGTGAGCCCCTCATATCCTATCATGAAATTGCTCAGCACTATCGCCTCGCTTGTCGAACAAAACCACCGCCGCATCCCAAACTCACGAAACCACTAGAAATCACATGGCGCCGCCTCCAAACAAACTTGTTCCCGTGCCCGCGAGTATACGCACACATTTACCCCAATCTGTTCAGTCCGCATTGCTCAAAATGTGGCTCCATCGCCTCCCTCTCTCATATACCATGGGGCTGCAGCGAGGATCTACCCTCGCCTGATCTCCTGACCACTCCTTACTTCGAGGCATGGAAAAGTCTACTCCGCGATATGAGCCTAGGAGTACAGCTCCAGGCCATACAGCGAGCTGAGGACATTGCGGCCAGGCACGGCTTGACCGCCTTTCCTCTGTGCATTTTTTTCACATAAATAAAATTGTTTCTTTCTCTCTCTGCCACAAAGCCCCAATTCAAGGTGACATGAACATAATACGCTTGCATCGATTCATCATTTTTTAAGTTAATAAAAAAACTTATTATACTGGCTTATATACTCTAAGTGTAGAACATTTTATCATGTAACATATTTTACTGGTTATCACTTGCATTTTAACGAAAGTGAAATTTTGCTACTATTTAAAGCTGCTTCTTTTTTTTTAAAACCAAGAAGGATGATATTTGTATATGCTTTGTCTCAATTGTGCAGGTTTGTTGGGTCATGTTAGATATGCTCATCTTTCTTTATGTTTTACGATAAGAATATTCAAATTCGATCTGACAAAATTGCTATTCGCTTCGAACAACCTAAAATTTACTCTTCGCACATGTCTACATGAAACAGTTGCCACAGCACTCTCTATGGTCTGCCATGCAGGAGGCCCGATGTGCGAGAGGGGACCAATGAGAAAGACGCTTGGTGCACCTGAGTACTTGAAGAGACGCAGGTACGACCGACGCAAGTCTGAAAGCAGCCTTCAGAGAGCCCTGCAGTTGTCACGAGGTGAGAATGGGTCCAGGTTTTCTCGCAGAGAGCTCTAGCGTCTGCAGTATGGTAGCATGACACTTCCAGTGGGAAAAACAAAAAAACAAGAACAAATGGGAAATGATGGTGGCAGCAGCACTACAAGTGGGATAAAGAATGATTGGAAGGGAAGTTTGTCACAAAAAAGTCTCACACGGGTTGTTTGCTTGAGCTAATGTTTCTACAAGTGACTTGTCTTCTTCAAAGCTAGAGCTTGAAGAATACAGGTCCTTCAAGTCTATTCACTTGTCGAAACGTCAACTCGGGCATATAAACACTACAGATCTTTTCACAGTGAGACCAAGAGCTATTCAAGCTGCTTAGAAAGGTGACAAATGAAGGTGATAGTTGTGCATCCCACTGATTAAAAAACATAGTTTGAATGCCACTTTTTAGACCAAACAACAATTTTTAAGCCCTGCTTACAATGTAAGCAAAGCCAGGTAAAAACTATTTTCATTCAGCTTCTTCCTTTCAGTCTGCTCTTGTGCGAATATTTGAATGCTTTGAATATTCTGATCGAATTTAAATCGAAAGTTTTGAATTATCGAAATGAACGAATAGTTTCATAGTAAGTCAAAATGTGACATCCTGTAAAGGTAATTTCACAGCAGTGGAGTGGTGCTAAACCATGAAAGCACTTTTGCAGGGAGATATTAGTTCGCATGTAACCTTTTTGGAAAAGTGGTTTCGCTGCTGTGAAGTGGTGCTAAGCTGTGAAAACATATATCCAAGAGAAATTTACACTGTCGCAAAGTGCCAATCGGGTTAAATGAGAATATTACCCACATATTCATTCACTTTTTTAAGTTTAAGAACATGTTGTGCTGACGTATATGCTCCAAGCATAGCAAATTTTTAAAAGTAACATATTTTACAGGCTATCACTGGCATTCTGTCGAAAATCAAATCCTGCTACTATTCAAAGTTGTTTCCATTTCCTTTGATGCAAAAAAATGACATTTGCAAAGTCCTTGTTTCAGTTTCTTTTAAATATTGTGAAGGTTAGTTAGGATGACAAATATACCCATTTTCTTTCATAATATGCGATATATACAACTCAATAGTCAATTTCACACCAAAATCATAACCACACAAATGAAGGAAACACATATACAGGATGTCCTGTATATAGGTTTTATTTTTCATTTCTGTGGTTGTGATTTTGATGCGAAATTGACTATTGAATTCAGACATGCACCAGCTAGCCCAACAGTGAGTTCTACTAGCAATATACAGTCGAATCTCATTAATACAAACATGCTTAATTAGAAAATTCAGTTAATTAGAACTGACGCTGTGGTCCCGTCAAAGCTATGTGTATTCCAATGGACGAAAACGCCCTGTAATTCGAACGCGCAAGCACTTGAGTCAGTTAATTTGAACATACTGTGCTCCGAAAATGCCCTCAGCACCACAGCATGGTAGAACCTCCGAGACCTCAACGCTGCACGCAAGGAAGAAAAAAAAACAAAAAAGGCTGCAGCGGAATGTTTGCTCTCTCTCAAATTCCGATCTGCGACGCGCCTGTGCCACGCTTTCCCTTTCCCATCCTTGCCATGTAGAGACCCTTCTTCAACGCCGCGTGCAAAGAGCAAAAAAAAAAAAAAAAAAAAAAAAGACTTCACTTAGTGTTGGTTCTCTCCCAAATGCCGATCTGCGATCTGCTTCTCTCTGCTTGGAGACGCTCCTCCTTTCTCATCATGTGCTGGCCACGCTGCGGCTGCGGCACAGAGGGTAGCAGCAGGTGTTGTCGTTTTTAGAGAGTGTCGGCGCTGGACATTGCCGCGTGCAACTTCTCTTGCCAGGAGAATGCTGAAGCCGAAGTAGAAATGCTTTCCAAGCTGCGTGCGAAATTGATTGATTCGCTGCAAGGCAAACGTGTGTAGACGTGCATCAATTACTTCAATTAATTATGGATGTCTTGTGATTTGTGAATAAATGTAAGTCTTCTGATACTTCCCTCTCGTGTGTTAGCTCAATGCACATGTGCCACTGCATGGTGGGCTCTCTGTTCATTTAGCTTTCATTCATTCAAACTTCTTTTAATTCGAACAAATTTACAGTCCTCTTCGGGTTCGAATTATCGAGATTCGACTGTATAAAGTATTCGAATTCGCTTCGAACCTAAAAATCACTATTTGCACAAGCTTATTTCAGTCATATTGGCCGTCTGAAGCATGTTTCATTTGTCAGAAAGGAACGATTCCGTTCATTTTGCTGGTGTTTCAGCCAGACAATTAAATCAGGACAGTGTACATCAGCATATGAATATAATGAGCCAGCACAAAAGAAAGATTATTATTGGTATAAAAGAAAACGTGGAGTAACTGGTCTGCTTTATGGAACAACTTATATTCATGACTTTGATAAGAGTCCTTGTTTTGCAGTACTCGCTATTTTGACAAATCATTCTTGATCATATGTCCACTGGCATTTTCTTGGAGCTTCTATGACTGTCCAGCACAGCGTGATACCGGTTTCTTGTCTCCTTGCAGGGTCAAGAAAGGTGAGGCCAACTGCATTCGCCAGGGCTCATGTTGCTCAGATGCATTTTGGGAGTTCCTCTCATCTCTTCATCACATTTGCTGTGGGGTCCCCCTCCCCTTTTTGTTTGTGTTTTCCTAGTGTCAGCTAAGCAACAAATCTGAGGTAAGCAAGGATCTGCTCAGCAATGCTGGGTAACATGGGGCACAGTATTGAAGGTAAACAGTAAGATTGGTTATAAAGCTCTATATTGAAGCAAAAACATCAGTAATGACATGCTTGCTTGTGTTTGCCTAAACTTGTTAAGGACAAGCATTGCACTTGCTATGACAGAAAGTTGAGCTAGGTAGTTGGTGCGGATTTGTGATTAAAAAAGGTATAGGTGTGCATACACTGACGTGTCCGAATCTCGATGCACTGCATGTCGATATTGTCACGGGGGTCGTGGCGTTGACGAAGGGAGCAGACTTCATGTCGAAGATGAAACTGTTTATTTGAACAGAACTTGTGGCCACAGAAAAGGAAAGTCAGATTACAGCAATACACTGGCACTTTTAGTGGCGAACAGAGCGTGGGTCGTCGAGCAAGTTGCAAGTGGTTAAGCGCGTCGGCATTTATAAACGTGCCGTCAAATATTCTAGCGTTATCACTAGCTGCCACATAGGTTTAGGTTCCAGAATAATTTTTAATGCTCGCGAAGTTGGCGTAATTTTAACAAAATAATCTACTGCAATCCCGAAGCTTCTTAAACACTGCAGGCGCGGTTTGCGTTAAAAATCACTGACAGTGAAAGGGGGCGATGACATAACTTAGAATGTGGCAATATTGTCTGTCTGGTTTTTTAACAAACTACTGATCTTGGAGGGCCAAATAAACATAATAGAATCTTGTTAGTCCACCTCTCATTCGAGCCAAGTGGCGCGATCCAGCCATGCTACTTGCGTTGAAAAGTTTGTTAGCTCGAACAATGACTGGGTTAGCCACAGATTATTGAAACTGTGCACTGCCCTAGCTAAACTTCTATTTCTGTTAGTTAGGGAACACACGGCACGTCATACTTGCTACTATGATCATTGTTGCTGCACTTTTAATGCACGGCAGCCAGGTTCACAGGGCAATAATGAACACCTTGAATTCGTGACAACGTGGTGGAGGCAAAGGGAAAACCAGTGATGATAGTACCATCGTCAGCAGAATTCTCAGTGCCATATCTCCTTCAGGCACCACATGTACAATTGCACACACGAAGTTCAGAGGCATGTCATTTACCGCATGTTTCTTGAGTGGGACAACTAGCGGTCATTTGACTTACTGCACTGTGTATTGCCGCAAAAGATCACTTTGCTGGAAACACTACCATGTCTGACGATCTTTCGACGCGCCACGTACCAGGTTCAACGTCATAAGTATTTATTTTATTTGCTGGGAACGAGCGCAAAAAAAAACGTTCATGCATTTGGAGCCTATTATGTTTTTTTTTGTGCAGAGATGGAAGCTGACTGATTGCCAAATAATTACATATTTAACTATGTGCTAACATGAATTACTGTGACTCTCTCAAAACAACACGTTCCTTGATATTTTTTCTTGGAATTTAATACTGAGTGTTTTGGAACCATGTCGTGCAAGTATGATGCATTTGCAGCCAGCGCATCATGGTAATTGGCACCTGAAGGGGATGTGCAGTCGAGCCTCGACAGAACAATTGCCTCATAAAAGGTTACAGTGAGCAAGGAACACGTATAACTCAACATGCTCGCATAGCATCCTCTACCGTCACTTTTGACGTCAATAAAATGAAGCTGTGTTTGGTGCATAAATCATGTCTTGCAGGCTCGCCTCACCAAGTCGTGTTCCTGTCAGCCGGTTTCATGCCAGAGAATCAACGCACCGAACCCTGCAGAGTTTCACTACAGTCCAGAGGTGTGTATACTGACAGTTGGCGACACATGCATTTCAAAATTTTCAAAGAAAAAAAGATTAAGCTCATATCGTCCCTGACTCAAAGGCAAAAGCCATCTGCCTCTTCTTCTCAGTTGACTCTATTGTCAGGCATTAGGATAGCACACCTTTCAGTACATTTACTTACAAGCTTTGTTTGTGACAACGCATGTGCTCCTACTCTACTTTTTGGAGCCTTCTCAATAAACGTTAGTTGTAATTGAAGTCTTGTCAATTGAAGTCCTGATTGGTCCTGTCAATTATGTTTCTTCCTGTAGTGCGGTTTGTATTGCTCAGTGATTTCACGATGAGTAAACTTTGGCTCATGTAATACCTCACTCTACTTAACAGATTCGAAAAGTTTTTTATGGTGGGAGATCTGTGAGGCAAGTCCAATGGTAACATCATTCTGTGGTAACATTAAGAAGTGTTGTGGGCTGATAGCACTGTACAACATGTTGCCAAAAAGCAAGAAGTGTAGGATGTGTATCAGGTGATCCACTCTAAACCAATTATGTTATAAATGGTTCTGCGGCTGCAGAACCATTTACAACATAATTGGTTTAGATTGGATAACCTGATAATAACCATTTAAGTGAACTGTTACTAAGTTTTATTTCTCAGCACCAAATTGAAATTGAACCGCTTTGAACCCTAACTGATCCATATATTTTTCATTTTGGCATGCTCTGCTATCAGGGAAAGTTTTTCATGCTACTCTTTAATGTGTGCCGGCACACTTGCTTGAAATTTTCTGAAAAACCAACTTGAAACACATGATAGGTTCTCGTATAATTGTTTTAGTATGGCGCATGTGGTTAAGCTTTAGGTGCATTCTGCATATCATGCTTCAAATAGCTGACCGGAGATCTGATTGTTTGACCTGTTGCCTGTGTTTTTAATGTTTCCTGTTGGTTAACTTGTTTTGGTTACTGCTGTTTCTTTTTTCTATGCTCCAGTATACCAAACCTGGTGCGACAATGACGACCAGTCAGAATTTCAGTCCAGGCTCACCCACGTCGTCGAGGCTTGACACCTCGTGTTATGCAGGAAAGCCAGAGGCAAGGGCAGATAAAAGGCTCGAATCAAGAAGTTCCAGTGAGGAGCCGTGGTTGCCCTGTAAGCAGTGTCCTAGAACTAGCGTGGACACCAGTGACACCGAAAACGAAGACGGTGCCTGCATGGTAGACGTACGTAGACTTCTCCGCTATAGGCCGCCTGTGCGCTCGCCAAGCTATTGCACCAATGAATACCCGGGCGAATATGTCACTTTTGAATTTGCTAGTCAGCACATAAGCCAGCAGTCCTACGGCAGTACCTGCTGCGCTCCTGCTGATGCCGACTATACCGCAATCTGTGCGAGGCTCGGTGTCCATACTTCAACTCAATCTCCCGGCAAACCTGTTCACAGGAGCCACTCCTTCAGTGAGACAGTGCTTTCCGAGACAGTTTGCCCGGAGGAAAGCGAGATTCAGAACCCTCGACGACTCAGAAAGGAGAACAGTGTGCCAGAAGATTGGTTGAACAGTCTCGAGGAACACCTCCCTCCAAACGCTTGCAAGAGGTGCGGGTCACTTCCGCGCAGTTTCCGTCATGACGTCCCAAGCTCGCCTAGCGAGACGGGCTCTACCAAAACGCACCAGCTCAGAGCTCGCATGGAGCGACTCCGACAGCAAGCCCCAGAGCAGCGCCCATTCACTATAGCATCAGACCAGCCCTCCCGAGCAGACTTCGTTGACGGGCCAACCGGCTACATGCCGCAGGGAAGCAGCCAGTTCAGCAGTCAGGAACTTAACTCTGTAGAAAATCTCACGGCCTCCGTGGTTCATCCCGAGCACAGAATATACCGCCGCGACGCTTTGCATGGGGGCTCTTGGCGAAGTACACTCTTAGGCCTGGGTACAAAGCTGACGCGTGGCTTGTGGTCACCTCACCCGAACGAAAGCCCCACACGCAGCAACGAAGGTCACCTAAGCCATGGATCGAGTCGAGACAGCGTTCGGAGCAATGATTCTCGGCAGCTTAATGTGATCGGCACGTTTGGCAGAGCTTGCGCAAGCGTTATAAGTTCCAAGACGAGGCATTTTCCACGGCTCTCAAGTGTGCACGGTGTGCAGGGCAATTCCTCAGCTGCAGCTCGAATCGCTCGGCAGCGAGAGCCCGATTATTGCATTCCACAGACCATTCTAGCCATACTGAGCAAAAACCAAAGTGCCACCGGCACTGATGGTTCGCAGCCAGAGGCCTACAGGAGTTCCGAGGCCAACAGGAGTCCCGAGGCCCCATCGTCTATTCCGCACTCGGCCAGTGTTGTGCTGGACGACGACACAGACTCCGAGAACAGCGATTCCTCGGCAGACAGTTACTACGAGAGAAACTTTGAGGCCATCGAAGACATCCTGGCTGACGACATGTTTCGTGACTCAGCAATTTACAGCGATCCAGAGGAGGTCAGTGGCAGTGAACGTGACATTGCAGTGAAACAGGGTCGTAGGGCTGATAACGACAAGCTTCAAACTGCGGCGGAAAAACAGCCTGAGGATTGTAACCCAGTTGATCAGCAGCAAGTGCCCGCGTCATCCAGCTTGTGCCCATCATCCCCCGCCCCGGCACCAGTGACTTGTCGGCAGAAAGGCTGGGTTAAGCATATCGTTAACAAGTTCCAGGCAAATATGGCATCTGACTCCTAGTCCCCATTCACGTGTGCCTATTTTAGATGTCCAATGCAGCATGAACCAAGAAAAGTGCGTTCCGTGCTTCAATGCTTTAGTTATATGCCCGACAGGTGTCCGGGATTTGAACTTCACTCGGAACGATGTCTGTGGTGCAACACACTGCCGGCAGCTCACTTTATTATAACCCCGTTCATGGGGGCACCAAGACAGTCACTTGCATCACATAGCAGCACATTGGACTGTGGTAGGTCATTACTTTGGGTCCAATTCATAATACTCTGCATAGCAGAATAATTTTCTCCACTCATAACTCGTGGATGCTGATGTGGCAAAGCTGCTCTACCGCATCGAGTAACTACATATGAACGACTTTTCTTTTGCTGCTTGCAAATCATTTTGAACAGTGATAACGTTAAATCGGACCTGATGAATGGTAATGCTCTATTGAGTCTCAATTAGGCATCGCTGGTAATATAGGTATTTGCTAACTTTTTTGTTGTTTGCACTTTGCATGTGCTGCAAGGAGGGGCAAGTAATAAGTGTTCCTTTATTTTCTCATGTGCAGTTATTGAAACTCAGTAAGGATCATATTTTCTACAGCCATTGTGTTTTGCCCAATGTCAAGTGTAAACTATCAGTTTTAGTTTGCTTTTATGTGGAGTTTTATAGTTAGTGTAAATTAGACAAGATTTTGTCATCCTTAGATTTGAAAGAATTGAATAGTATTTCCACATTTGGGGGCAAGACTGAGCAAGCAAAAGATAGTTGAAAAAAATACAGAGCTCCAGAAGTATGAAGTAGAATAACTTTTATATGTAATGAAATTTGCAAAAGATAGTGTAGCTAGAAATTGTACAGTCAATAGAGACAGGCAAACATTAGGTCTTGCTAGTGATATGTTGTGTTCCTTAATACCAAGCAAAATGAAAATGGCCTGATTGTTAAAAAAAGGTGTTATTGTGAAGAGAAATTGCATTGTCATGAACGCCTGGGAACAGTGCCTGACAATTGAGATGGGTTTGTTGGCTGTATTGGTCTTGAAAAGTTAATAGATGATGCGAAAACCCTGCATTTAGCACTAGCAGAGCAATTTGAAGACTGCATCGCCCAGTTAGACAGAAGAAAAAAAAATGATCTGAAAATGTTTGTTTGTTTCATATTGAAATGCAACATGAGCATGCTTTTATTAATACTAGTTGATGGAAATTTATAGAAAAAGAAGGCAAATATATATCATCATAAAAACACAAAAGCTATTACTGTATTTCTGTGATGATGTGAATCTTGTCGCACATTTGCCTATTTAAAACATTTTGTCGCGGGTTGTGCGATCGAATCCTGGCTGAAGCGACGACGTTTTCAATGGAGGCAAAAATGCTTGAGGTCCATGTGCCTAGATTTAGATGCACTCTAAAGAATCTAGGGTGGTCAAAATTCTGGAGCTCTCTATCCACTGTGGCATCTCTCATAATCATATTGTGGTTTTGTGAAATTAAACCTCAGTAATTATTATTATTTAAAATGTTATGATACAGTCAAACCTCAATATAATGAAGTCATTCTTGCAACAAAAAAATTGATTAGGTTGGAATTTTTGTTCGGTCGATGTGAGCAAGTATCACCACTAAAAATTTGTATTCATTCAGAGGCTGTCCCTGGTGATGACATTTTATTTATAACTACCTAGCGAGAATCACTGCGTAAAAGTTGCGCTGATTGTGTGGTTAAGAATGCGGGCATCTCTGGTGGAGACTGCACTCTAGGCAAAGCAACTGTGAAACATGTGGTGTCCCGTTGTTTCTCGTGGCCCGTACCATTATCTAAATCTTGGATGCATCTATTAATGGCACCCAGCATTCGCAGTCGTTTTAGGCGGTGCCCTTAAGAGCAAGGGTGAAAAAATAGTGATTCATTGTCTCAGGGCATTCTAGTTGATGCTACCTTTGACGTCTTTTTATGAACATGGGCATTATGTTTTGCTCATATGCCAAAAGTGCAGCCGATGCTTTTTTTTTGAAGGGTAGCCTGCATATCGAAGGTGGCATCCAGAATTTTGCTAGCTGCATATTAGTTGCCTCTGAGCTCAACCTGATCGTAAGAATTCTTGCCTGGCATGTATTTTTCTTCCTTGGGCTCTCAGTCAAGCCCTATACACACTAAATGATTTTGAGTCACTTTATAAATAGCTTGACACGTTGTGTGATGCCGTGTGACCAGAAAAATCTGTCGTTGCACTGATTGGTCCAAGGCTGATTTTTGTTGCCAGGAAAAGCACATCATCTGTAGCAAGCTAATCAGAACACACAGTTACGAGAGATTGCAGGAGAATGCATGTAGAGCCGCACACGGCATGGAAATCGAATGTTGCCCGCTGCCCTGCGTAACAGCAGAGCTGAAACACTGCTGGCATTCCACCATTGTCATTGCAACCATGGCTGCACACAACGAGAGGCATGACGCATGTGCACATGCATTTCTCCCTTTTTTTTTTCTGGCCATACTACAGTGCGACTTGAAATAGTTGGCAGTCACAATGTGCACGTCATCACACAACGGAGAGCTTCAGTAGGAACACAGCTGCCTTGTCACTAATGCATCAAGCTTTACGCATGCGACAGAAAACTTCCCAGTGTGAGCGGGGCTTTATGCTACCATTCTCTAAGTCTTCAATCGCAACTGCTCGAGCATCGCAGGATGTAAGCTTTTCTAATTCTAGACACCACTTGCAGAGTCTACAGTAAACAAAAGCATGTTTTTTAGATTTGCTACATTACTCGGAACTAGTGTCAAAGAAAATTTTTGAAGTTGCTGCAAGCTGCCATTTTATGGCCTTCAAGATGGGCTTTTGGTACTTTGATGTGTGAACAGCTTTACGGCCTGGGCACTTAGAAATGCTAAAAGATGGGAAACACGGGAAAGTAAAACTAGACGAGACAAGTGTGGTAAAGGACGCAGTGGTGTTCTTTTGTGCAAGATTTGAATGCACGAAAAACAATTCGTTGCACAGAGGATGTTATCGAATCAAGGTTCATTACATGGAGGTTTGACTGAAGTTCTAAATAATGGTGACATGCTCGAGCACAATTTCATTATAAATAAGCCTGTCTCAGTCAGTGCCCTTGGTAATATATTTCTTACTGCAAAAAGTATACCTCTTATCAACTGCAACTTGTATATTTGAATGTTTGCAGAATATGTCAACATGCTTTTATGACTAGTGCCATAAAGTCATTGGGGCCAACTGAAAAATGTGATAGTGCCTGCCAGCAGCAGAATATTGCTTGAAAATTTCTAGAATGAATATGGAATTGATATCAAGAGCCATTATAAAAATTAGTACGTACAAGATTTTATAACTGACTGTTTGCAAAACTATGTTGTGGCATCTAGTTTCGTGAAAGGTCACTTGTTGTCCCTTTTAAACTAATGTGCACAAATGTTTTCACTACCATTTGTTGATAGAGATGCTATTTCAGTTGACAAATCGGATCACTATTTGATGAAGTTCTTAGATTGAAAGTCTGCTCCACCCAGCCACATGGATTAAATACATTGTAGATGAAACATAACTTTTTTTTTAATCAGTTACTAGCAATGATATCAAATAAAAGAGCACTTTGGACAGGACAGCTTGAAGCGATGACAGGAATTTGCCCTGTACAAAGCACTTCCCTTTGATAATGTACAAGCCACCTATGACTAGCAATGTTTTTGCATTCCCTGTGCTACTGACTTTTAAAAGTGGCTGGAGGTGAAGCTTCATATCGAGGAACACAGGCAACATTAATAGACAACAGACTCACTACACCTTCTTTGCGACAAGCACTTTTTACAGAACATAATCACCATGCCCATCATTGTGGGCATTAGTAGTAATATATGTCAAGTGCCAACATTTAGAATATTTGTATATTCATGGGCTGTTCTCTCCCAAGGTGCTGCTCTTGTAAATATCTTCTCTCATACAATGCAACTGAATACAAATCACAAAAGCATTGCAGTATCCTCAACTCTGCATTCTGCCCCTTGTTATGCTCTTTAGCTGACTAAATGAAAATCGACCACAAGTTTTTCAATTTGCGCAAGCTTGTGTGTGATGAGGGGGAATAATCGAGCGTAAACTAGATACGGTTTGTTTATTAAGAAAAAGTCGCAGCAGAAGCTCATTTGTGCGCATGTCTTTCTTCCTAAAGCAGAATGGAACATGAATTAAGACAGGACATAGTGAAGATGGCATATTTGTATGCCTTTGAAAAACCATTAATATCCGAAGGTTAATGGCACCTGCCAAAAGATAACTGGTGTGCATTTTTATTTTCAGCGTCATGGGACAGCTATGAATGAGTCACAGTGGTGCTTTCAGAGTTAGTGTGACCATCTGGTACTCATTATTGCAGGTATGCGAGCCATGCACGGGCGTGGAAGGAACAAAATGTGTCCCAGTGGCGGCTTTCCAATCATAGTGTGCTTTTCTGCATGACACCACAGTACTGTGACGAAAGTATGTTAAAATAAATTTCACAGGCGCAGCAAATTGAGGGAAGACAGTCTTGTTTTTATTCTTGCTCAGTCAACATGGAATCATTAGTCCGCGCATGTTGTTGTGCAGACAACCTAACAGTATGAATAAACAAAATTAATGTGATGGTCTTAAAATGCAGTCTTAAATTAAGCACTCTTAAAATGCATTGGAAAGATATGGGGCCAGCTAAATGTTTAAAATTTGTTGGAATTAATTGAAAGTGAATTGTTAGAGTTTGAATTATCATGAGACCATTGCACCATGAACTTATGATCATGTAAAACAGTACTGAAGAAGTTTATTATCGTGGCATGAAGGCATTCACAACCTTTTTGCCCGTCTCGTTTATGGCTGCAGGGTGGCTGCATGACCGTCGTCCTTTCACTCATGAGGTAGATTGTCAAAGTAGAAGCAAGCTACGGAATGCATAGAATGAAATCGAAATTCTTAATTTTTTTTAAAGCAAGGGCTCAAGCTTGTGAGAAAAACATTGAGCTGCTGTACTTCTGCGCAGTGACAAATGTGGATGTACATACTAACGACCCAAACAGGACAATTTAGAGCTAAGTAGCTCATATACTTTGACTTCAGTTTGGGTTATAGTAGTGAAATTTCAACTTCAACATGTAGATCAGAGTCAATTTTATGTTTAGAGACTGGATTAGTCTCGGCATGACGTGGTTATTTCGAGCAATTGCCCATATCAGCCGTTAAGACTAAAATTTGATGTCTTGTTTGAATCCATAAGTAGTGCACACTTAACACCATATATATTTAGTCTGTTCATGAATCGAACAATTATAACATTTTGTTCCTTGCAAAAGTACGCCACTGTACTACATTTGTATATTTCAAACTTCCGTTGATCTCCAGCTGAAGCAAAATCAAATGCTAAACCGCATTGTGTGACTTGAAGCGCACTTTTTCATATGATTACTACGCGCATTATTGGGAATATTCTTGACAACAAAGAGCCACTGTTTTGCTGAAAGCTGTCACACAGAGCACTGAATTTGAAAGCCAGCTGCAGAGAAAATGCGATAAAACATGGATGGCTAGTGTTTCAGGGATTTGCGCTGCCAAATTTATTGCCAGCTTCATCCTAACAAAGGCATGTATTGTGTTATAGAATGGTAATTGCCAAGGCAGCTAGTCAGCATGCAGTAGAGCACAATACCTAAAGCCACTCCTTGTTGAAAGGGAACCAAGTACACAAAATACACTGCTGCTCAACGTGTGCATGCTACGAGAAGGTATAGATATAAAATATGTAATAGACATGTTTTTTACATTCAGGCATTTTTTCAGATTTCATATTATTAATACCGTACCTTGAGTTGTTTTGCCAAGTTTGGAATATCCACTTTTGAATGTACTTAGTCTAGCTGAGGCATTTAAGAACAGTGGGAGAGAGATAAATAGCAATGGATATGGTGCCAAGGGAGGCAAAACATGCAAAGAAATAAGCTTTTTTTATTATTATAACACACACGTGTTGTGAGCACAATGAAGAGGAAGTGAAAAAAAAAAAAAAAACTACTAAGAAACGAAAGGATGGAAATACGGAATTATCAGCGCACATTATATCAAGACTGATTGTTCGCCTTGTTGGTACTTGCTTAATGGCATACTTTAGCCGCAAAATATCACAAACACAGAGTGAAGAAACACACAATGACAAGCAGCCGCCTGTCCTTCTCGTCGTGTCTTTCTTCACTCTGTGTTATATTTTGCGGCTAAAGTATGTCATTAATGCAGTGCATGTTTGTTGGACATAAAATTAATAAATAAAGGTCTTGATTAAACAATTCTAACCAACCTTATTTTCACAAATATTTTGCACAAGAAAAGAACTGAACAAGTGGCGAAAGGCTGGTTAATTAGTACATGTCTCAAAGAAGAGACGAAAACACGTAGACAGATGCCAGTGCTCGTGTTTTTTTCTTCGTCCCGTGCTTGTACTGTCAATTCGTTTTTAGAAAAATAACAAGTGTGACAGCAAACAAAAAGAGCATGTGTGGAAACAGTACATATTTTTTGTATGACACTGAATACTGATCTCAATCTACTTTTGCTGCAAAATGTACAAAAAGCAGTTAATTAAGCAGGCAAATATTTTAAGTATTGCAATGCACAAAGAAACTTGTTATATGCCATGGGCACAGATTTGTCAGTAGCTGCTATGTGAAAAGGTTCCTACTTGTAAGCCACTGCGAGCGCTCTTTCCTAAGGTGTCCCTGCGACACTGAAAAGTGTGTTGGAGTATGTGCAACTGCCTTTTGTATGCTACAAATTGATAACATGCCTTAGTGGCCTGTTTAAATGAGTGTGTTGGTTGAGCTCGTTGCATGACAGAATACTCTGGATTATGACGCCTTCGTTTCGCACTGTCGCCAATCAAGCAAGCTCTCCGTGCTCCTCCACTAGAAAGTCACTTTGAGAATGACAGAAGTGGTCCTTGCGCTTGTTTTAAAGGGACACCAAAGGCAAATATTAAGTCATCGTTGATGGCTGAAACAGCGATTCAGAAACCTTGTAGTGCTACTTTTGTGTCAAGTAAATGCTTTTTCAAAAATAAAGTCATCTTTAGTGGTCCACACAGCGTTAGCACACTTCATGTCACTAGCCTGAAATTGGGCCTCTCTAAGAGAACATAGCACTTGCCTTGCCTGACGATTTTCTCGACATTTTGTGATGCTTTGTGTACCCAGTCATAGACACGTTTGCATTGGCTATAGTACTGAAGGAAAAAAAATGATTAAAAAGGCAACTAATTTGCCAGAACGTTGCTTCAACACATTCACGCCAGAAGCAGAATGCCCAATGTTTCTGTAATACAAATTTTGTGCTTGCCTAGTTAAAGTGGGCTGTGCTAGATGGCACCACATATCCAGCCTAACCAGTCGAAAACCGAGGTTCCGAACCAATCGTGCCATTCCCCGTGGCAATGCCAAAAGGTTATTTTTTTCTATGAATCAACAAATGGAGAAGCAGCATTTTATAATGTGTAATGTGTAGAAGGTTCTTGTTTTTTCATCGCAACTGGTTTGATTACTAGCGGTTACCTGTAATCAGACCCTTATATTATGGGATAAATTCAAAATGTCCCACTCGTAGCATGTGTGGTGTTGTACATTTACCTCAATTTCTCAATAAAGCACCACTGTTGATAATAATTATGTTTAGACATTCTCATTGATCTCCCACTACAACCTAAATTGTCATTTGCTTTTAGTGTCCCTTCAACACCTCTTACCGAGTGGCTACTTGAGGACTCCGAAATGTTACTCCTTAGCATTGCAACTTGTGAGAAGCATCAATAAGTGCAAATTCATGCAAGCAGAAAAGTTCTGGAAAAATTGGTATGCTGTGTAAAGGAAATTGCAATAGGCGCTTGCAGAGCTCGCATTTCAGGGTGTTAATACAGTTTCATGCGACATTTGCGACCGGCAATAATGTCAGCAAATACTATGAGTTGTGTACCATATACAGTGATGCCAGAAAACGGTTGCAACTGTACCTAACTTATTCGAAGCATAAAAGCATGAACCAACACAGTTTATCTCGCAGTCTGTACCCTGTTTCCTTCTTTGCAAGATATTTGCGGCTTTCGTAGAAAATAAAGCAGCAGAAGGGAATGGCTCCCTACGGCACTACCATCAGGCCATGGCTTTAAGACTCATTTCGAGAGGACATGAGAGATGCCATAGTGAGTTCTCCATTACAGTGCAACCAAATCTGTCTTGTATTTCTAAAACATCAGAGTGAGTGATTGCCTATCATGGCCCGCACTTCAGAGAGGTCTTGTAAACATGACAGCTTTTTCCTGCTGGTCAAACCACATTGCCAGCACAAGTGTGCACAGTGTTAGAACATTTGCCTTTTCCTTGGGATCAAATCGCGATGGCCGCTTACATTGTGTGCACCTGTTACACTGCCATGTGTCTGTTGCAAAGAGGCTTTACACTGTCATGTGTCTGTTGCAAACAGGCTTTTCCTGTTAGTCAATGTGTGTGCGTCATTAAAAAAACTTGCAAAGAAACAAATGATGTCATTGACTTGTTTACTATATATATATATATACACACAGACAGCTTCTGCTCAAGAAAAACAAAGTAAAATTCAGTTTGTAACATTTTCAAGGCAAATTCTCCAGAGAGGTAGAAACATGACCAAACCACAAAAATCAAGCGCACGTTTTACAGTAAATATGACTAACCTGTACTGACGTAGATGGTGACAATGTGAGCTTTGCGATGGTGCTTGAAAAAGTGAGAAGTTTTCTTAGAAAGTGGTCATTTTTTAGCATTCCAGGTCGCTAGTGCTTTAGTTGGGTACCGTGGCTTTTTCTATGTTGAGCCAGTGCACAGGGTTTCAACCAGATATAACATAGGCTTTGACACTGCTCAAATTAGCACCTGTGAACATGGTCCTAATCTGGCTGCGAGTCAAGGGCACTATCAACTTTAGGTAAAGCAAGCACATGCACATAAGACAAGAAGATTTTCTGCACTTCTACTTGTTTATGCTACCTACCTTCTATTCGCATTGCGAATGCTAAATTGTGCAGTAGACCTTTGGGTTTTGTTTGCTCTTCCAGAAAGCTCCTACAATAGTAATTTTTACTCTGCCACGTAATAAAAAAAAAACGAATACGCACTAAGTTTGTGTTGCTGCTCTACTTTAAGATGAGGTGTTCACAAAGTTGCAGCCTCAATAATACCTATGTATGGAGGCAATTATGTACAGAACATGCATGGTAAGTGATCCTGTTACCATCATTGACGTAGCCCATAACATAAAACATGACATTGCACACTTTCCTTTTCTTTTTTTCCCTCACCGGTCTTTGCTGCAAGTTTGTAGAATTCTACACGGCACAAATGAAAATATGTCTGCAAATTTTGTACCAAAGTATTTTGCTCCCCGCATATGAAATCTCATGGCCCTTCCCATTCGGGAACAATGTCCACGGCAACAGAGGGATATTCTAGTACGGGCAATGTTGTGTGCATGACCATTAGTGCCTTAGTAGTAGGGCGGTGCCGAGGCGGGTCAGTTGGCCATGTGCTCCTCGATGCCATCGCTCTCGGTGACGAGCGCCCTCTCGAGAATGACGCGACCCTCCTTGTACCGTTGGCCCTCCTCGGTGGCAAACTCGTACACCCAGCCTAGTTTGGTGTCGCAGTTCTTGCAGGAGACGTCACGCACCATGTGCCGGCCGGTGAGCATCACTCGGTCCTGCACCTCACTGCACAACAGTGGGTTGCCGTTGCGTCACATTTACTGTACTCTTGATTGGTCAGGGCAGTTGTCTCCAGCAAGCTTTCACAAGGTGCACTGTAAGTTAAGCTTGATCATGAAAGAAGGCGGGCGTGTAAATGCGGACAAGGAGGACGAAAACGAGTGCTATCACGTTCTCTTTCGCCGTGTCCGCAATTTCGCACTCACCCTCGTCTGTAATGAGTGACCTTTAAAGGGCCTCTAAACCACATACAACACATTTTCTTCGGCATTTCAAATAAACGCATGCTTTGAGTTCCGAGTGCCGTCACGATCAACAGCGTGAAACGTGGCAGCGCTACGCCCTGTGCCGCAACATAAAACAATCCCGTGCTCTACTCCGGGCCCTTTGGTATCTCCCACAGTCGGCCGTGACGTCACCGGTAGAATATGGGCATGTGAGCGGCAGAGAGATCTGTGTGCCTACTGATACGCGTTCTTCCTACCATCTTCCTCGCAGGGTGAGAAAGAACACTCGGCCAAGGAGCCAACAAAGAGCGTAGTGAAGAAAATAGAGAGGGCAGCATTTGGGAAAATTCCCGTGGCTACGTGTTTATTGTTGACCGTGTTATAGACTCGTGCACAACACGACACAACTTAATTTCTAGCTCTGGGTGGTTTAAGAGCCCCTTCATCGGCGTCTAAAAAATGTGGGAGGAAAACACGTATTATGTGAGAAAACGAACAATTTAGGTTCTCTAAAACATCATTCAGTTTCGCTTATTGATATCACGACCGTTATTATCGCGGACGCTACTTCATAACAGAGCGACATCTGTCTAGATGCATGCCTCTCTGCAGAAGGAAGGCGGCTAATGTCAAACTTCGATTGCGGAAGCACCATCGCATCAAACGAAAACAGCCGCGTGACACGGTGATCATTATGCAAGACGGAATGACAACAACGCGATAACACACTCGCCCACTGAAGAGCACGGCTCACCTGTAGTTGAGATTGACCACTTTGTTGAAGAGAAACGCCCTTCCCGTGGCGCCAGTAAATCTCGTACTGATGAGCTCGCTGCGGTTCGTCAGAATGGTGTCGCAGCTGGCGCACGAGAACAATCGAGAACCTCCAATGTGGTCGAGGAAGATGCGACCCATGTTGACCTGCCGACAGACGATGAGGCTGCGCTGAAAGACAGCGACGCAAATAAAAACATTGTGGTCACTCATAAGCACCCCATAAGTCAATCTAGCCATGAATAGAAATTGTGGCTAAAAAGGCACGTACCACACACCAGTTACCAAATGCCTTGTTCAACAGCTGTAGCGGACGGGTTGCAGGCTTGCTTGACAACAAACCTGACGTTACGTCATGTGACGTCGCTGTTGACGTCACTAAACGCGAGCGCTTCTTACTTTCATCCACGGCTTTTATCTCCCAAATATGACCTAATATTATATATTTCTGCTTCAATTACGTAATTTTTAAAGCTTTATATTACCATTTTTATTCATTTACAATTTCGATTAAATTAGGAAGCAGCGTCAAAGCAAAGCAGCATGCTAGCAGCCTTGGCTATGTAGCCTTTGTGGTTTGTGGCCTTTGTTCGGCCGGTCTACAAGACGAGACAAGACACAAACTTCACAAACGAGCAAAATGGCAGCCCGCCGCCGCGTTGTGCAAACAGAGGACTTGTCGAATGTGGAGTTCGAAACCAGCGAGGATGTAGAGGTGATACCGACGTTCGACGCCATTGGCCTCAGAGAAGATCTGCTGCGAGGCATTTATGCATATGGTGAGCCCATACCCCGGCTGACTGGTGTGTTCTGCCGTTGGGCCTAACGTGTGTACGGGCTACTTCGATTTTTGCGCTTACGTGAAGCAGCTGCGCATCAATCTACCTACGCCAGATTACTCAGTCTGTGAGGCCTTCTCTGGCTCGTTTAGCCTGCGATACGAAGAAGCCTGGTCATTACGTGAATTCCAGAAATGTGTGTTCCTTCGTTTGTGCTACGTCTTCGTTCGCGCTGATTTTCCCATCGACAGACGTTACGAGAAGTTTTTTTTTTTTCTACGTGGTATTTTTAATTGCTGGTATTCTCTACCATCGAGATGGTAGCGGATATGTTGCCGGCAACGGGCACTTTTTAATTTGGGGATACTGTGCCGGCACTGTCGTCCTATCTCTCGACGGCTAGGTCCGGTGGCGCATCGTTGGTATTGCGAGTCGCTAAAACGTTGGTTCGAATGACGCACTTCATTTTTAACGCTTTCAAGTATACCAAGCTCGAATTAGCATAGTGAATGCTTGATATATTTTGACACGCTGTTGTGGTTTATAATCAAGTGAAATAAAAAATTCACGCGTACATGGTGATATGGTCCTGGAAACTTAGACATAAGAGTAGGAACACACAAGGTTCTCACCCAGCAAATGCGCCAGCACATATCGACGCCATTCCACCGTGGTTTTTACACTTGTCATTGAAATACACTATTGCAAATTTTTAGGCTATGAACGGGAGTTTAACTCTTGAGAACCACACAGAATAAATCAAAATTGAAAACTATGTCATTCCCTGCAGTGTTGGTTTTAAAGTGTGTATCAATTTGTTGAAATGCCTAACCACCTCAGGAAAATATTTGCATTGTCTGAGCCATTGATGAAATCTCAAGATGTATTAAAGAAAGATGATTAAATAGGAGAAATCTTGTGCTGCACAGGAAGGTACTTGTGAGAGTTTTTGCTTGCGCCAGTGTCTTTTTGAAGTGGCTATACCCAAAATCATGCTTCTTGACAGAGTACAATTGAGGTGCTCGCATTTGTTATGATATCCATTGACAGCCTGCATTGGTGTGTTTATAACTGCTGTTCATGTTTTAGGTTTTGAGAAGCCATCTGCCATTCAGCAGCGTTCTATCAAGCCAGTGATCAAAGGCAGGGATGTGATTGCTCAGTGAGTGTGCCCTGTGTTTTCGTTCATTTTTAAACTACTGATTATTCGCTCTTTGCATCTTTACCAATCATTGCAAAGGATTTGCATGTAATGTTCCTCAGTACGATGGCTGTATATTGAGGTAGTGGCGCTGCACAACAGTGGGGTTGTATTTAGGGTGTCGGACGTGCCATAGTATTTAGAACCATTAATGTTTCTGCCAAAAATATTTAAAATTGTTTATCCTGATAAGAAACGTTGATCTGGTTTCAGTTTTATGATTTGGTTGTGCTACACTAACAGACAAACAAAGAAGATGCCAGGACAATAGCACACTCGCAACTGAAATTTCATTTAAAGAAAAACTCATAAATATAAAAATGCAGTGCCAACCACAAACACCTATTTGTGTTTTCTAGAGCTGTTCAAATAACAAAACTGTGAGTGTGATTTGAATATTTTTCAAATACTTCAAATTGAAATTGTAGAAAAAAAAATGCTGGAGACGGTTCCTAAGCATATTCTAATAAGATAGCACCATGAAAGTTTTATTGTTTTTCTAGGTGGATGAAGAGCTGGCAGGGTGGTGTTCTGTAGTTTTCTCGTCAAGAATGAGGCAATGCAGAGGCCAAATTGTATTTATGTACAGTGGCGATCAAAATTTTGGAGACCATGGGAGCGCGTGGCCAACAGCACCGCGGCGCCTTCTCACGGCTACCAGAAAAACTTGAGAGCGCGCACTGCACAAGCGCATCCTTTCCTACCTGCCAGCCTGCGCTTTTGCTCCCTTCAACTACACGCACACCGGAACAGCAGGAAAAATCGCAAGGTACCACTTTTGTAGATGTTGCAGAAACAGGGAGCGATGATATCCTGACGAAAATATTTAACTTGTAGGCGCAGTGCTCAGAGCGCGCCGCTTAAACGTTCCAGGAGTTTCATGGCGGTGAAAACACTTGTGGTTCGCCTAGACGCCAAGAGGCAGGACTGCTTGGTATTATTATCACATGTGTCGATTAAAAAAAATAACGGACGATATGTGCATGTTCTCACCCTCGCAGAGGGTCTGGAACCTAGGTGCAAGAGCGCCACTGCCCCTATAAGTTAGGTATCTTTGTGGCGATATCATCACTCGGTGCTTCTGCGGCATCTACAAAAGTGGTACCTTGCGATTTTTTCTGCTGTTCCAGTGTGTGCGCAGTTGAAGAGAGCAAAACTGCAGGCTGGCAGGTAGGAAAGATGCGCTTGCGCAGTGTACGTTCTCAAGTTTCTTTGGTATCTGTGAGAAGGCGCCGCGATGCTGTTGGCCATGCGCTCCCATGGTCTCCAAAATTTTGATCGCCACTGTACGGGGGAAAAGAGGTGGGGGTTCAAAAGTTCCCAGGCCATCGTGTCATGTATTTCTATGGAAGCGTGGCCTGCAAACTTTTAACCAACACTGTACGTGATTTTATGAAACCAAAGTGTTGCCGACAACACTTTACATCTCAAAGCCAAAGAGGATATTTTCTCGACCTCTGCTCCTCTTTTAACATCAGTGGAAGTGGCTGACAACGGTGAACTCTGTTCAAATTCAGAGTTTCAAAACTACCTCGTAGATGCCAATATATAAAATTTTGGATGCTAAAAATGTTTCGTGTCCGATGTTACGGACATCTTGTACATATTTCTGGTCCAAAACAGTATTAATTGAGTTCACATCTCAGCCACATCTATCATCTGCATGCTGAAACCAGTGGTTCCTTGAGTCAGTACATTTGCGACAGTAGCATAGCATCAAAGGGAAATTTTTTACAATACGATAGTCTTTCGGGTTGAAGCATATTGAATATCTGAAGGGGCCACTGCCAATCGGACATTGACTATATTTGTCTCTGGGAAGTTTGAATAGTAAAATGTTACTGCATGTGCCTCAGTTAATGGAAAATTATATTGTTGTTCTGTGCACTGGGTAAAACTTGGCCTCTACGGTGCATTTGTGCACGTTGGAGGCTAAAAAAAGCCAGTCGCTCATTAGCAAGGGTTTGTAAACAGCAAGTGGTTGCAGCCAGTTCTGCAAAGGAGTAACTCTGGTGTAGAAGAGCTCATTCCAGTTGTCCGCAATACTGATGGTCATCTATGTGGCCCCATTATGCAAACAAACTAGCCACACACCTGCTACAAGCTTCCTACCAAGCACCTACCCCCACATTGGGTTCAGCGTTAATAAACAAGTTGAAGGCATTTGTTCTGACAAAACCCAACAAAGGTTATGGAAGACTCGACCAGCAAATCACCCTTCTTAAAGGCGCTTGATTGAAATAGTCGAGAGATTTGGAACTTTCCTATTTTCATTTGTTGCATGGAGGTGCTACAATGCTGCTTTCACCTGGCACTGCAATGTGTTCGAATTTCCTATCTGCAGAGTTTATTGCCCTTTGACCAAGCGTCAGGTTTGTTTTGAGCGCACAGTTACTTCCAGGCTTCTATGCTAAATGCAAAGTTCCCAAAACTTACCAGTACATGATGTGAAATCACACCTCAACTCCTTGAAATGCTTGCAGGGCCCAATCTGGCACTGGCAAGACTGCTACCTTTTCCATCGGAGTGTTGCAGACCGTCGACACACAGATGCGGGAGACGCAGGCTCTGATCTTGTCGCCTACACGCGAGCTGGCCGTACAGATCCAGAAGGTGATTCTGGCATTGGGCGACTACATGAACGTCCAGTGCCACGCCTGCATTGGGGGCACCAACTTGGGCGAAGACATCCGCAAGCTTGACTATGGACAGCACGTAGTTTCTGGCACTCCAGGACGTGTCTTTGGTTAGTACCTTCAGGATATGTCTTACTTGCAAGAAAGTCGTACTGTGGAACACCGATTGTACGAGACCATGAAAAACAGCGATATAGAGCTGTGCCTGTTCAAGACTGACTTTATAGGGCCACAAAAAATTGCCGTTATAGGCTTTTTGCCACGACGTTTTTCAATGTGACTTTACAGGTCCTGTGTCACCTCACAGTTGGGAGCATTTGCATGGCAATTTCTTTTATTTTAACCACTACTTCACATTTTTTGGCGATTTGAGTTTAGCAAATGACCAGTGAAGGCGAGACAGGCGTTGCTCATACATCATTTCAGAAGAGAAGCTTATCCTCATCATGAAGAGAAGCTCTTCAAGCGCAAATTATTCAAATATTGGGGTTTACTTTGATGACTTGATATGTTATAATTGCCAGTTTTTAGACGATGGCATTGTTTCGCAATTCGTATAAGGCAGCACTGTCACATTCCGCTACAACAAATAATTTTCCATTCCCTGTCAGCCGCCCATGGGAAACAATTTGAAAAATGTCTCGTCACAATGAATAATTTTTCTGAATATTTCCGCTTTATCGAAGTTTTCGCGAGTACTACCCCATAAGAAAAAGAAACTTGCCTGGGATTGTCGCGAAATTCTGCCACCAACTCGGCCATTTCTCGGCGGCTTGTGACATTCATTAGCGCATGGCCGTATCGCAACAACCGTGTCTTCATCGGAGACATGCTTTCTGCTGCCACACGCACATCCCGCTAAATTTATCGTTGAGATGCTCAGCGACAGCGCACGCAATCACCATGATGCTGCCGGCGAATTTTATGTACGTGCGGGCTGCGGCAGAATCACAATCGAACCCCGTCATATATTTTTGACGTCGCGCTCAAAACAAAACTACCGCTCGTCGTCACTAACCGTGTGATCGTGAATGACAACCATGCTTTGTGAAGGGGCACACGCTAGCCCACCTAGTAGTCCCAGTGTAACTGCATTCTGCCGCATCCGCTGCGAACTCAAATGCAGTCGTATTGAACGCGATGATGAGCACCCACAAAGTACGCTTGCAGTCTACGCATAATGATTCAACCCAATATTTCTTTCTGTAGTGATGCAAAAAAAGATAGCAATTATGCAGTTCTAAAATCACGCGCACGGCCAGCGCAGCCCGCACAAATTGAAAACGGAACTATTGTACGCCGCAGATGCTGGCGCATGAAAACGCGGCCGCTATTGTCTTGTTCATCAATAGCCAATACAATCCGAAGGTGCGCAGCCAACACAGCCGTATATAAAAGATAATAAAGCCATGAAATTACACGAGGCGCTACGCCCTTTCTATCGTTCACTTATGGCCGTGGTAGTGTGAAGCTTCGTCACTTTCAGTTGCAGTTATCACTTAGCCTCTAGCAATGTTTTGGCATGCTTGTTCGCGGCGCTGTGCACTCGGCATGCCCCAAGGATTGTATTTTCTTCTGTATAATTCATCCCTGCATATAACCGAAACACTGATTGCCAACCGCGGAAAGGAAAACAAAAAAAAATCACTGCATATCCACGGAGTAAATGGTGATTGGTGGGGGGAAGCGTTCGTCGGTCTGTTCGTGCTTTTGTCCGTCCATCCGTTTGACTTTCGGTGCATCCGTCCTTCCGTGCGTATGTCCATTCTTCTGTCTGTCCATCCATCCGTCCGTGCGGCTGTCTGTGCAGTCGTCCATCTGTCTGTTCGTCCGTCCGTCTATCCAGTGAACACTCCGAAGTACAGCCATCTCACATCTTTTCATCATGTATTCACCATATACAAGTGCCGCCATCCAGTGGACATTCTAAGGACCGCTCTTTCGGGTATGTGCCACCGGTGACTACATACACCATCAGAGGATGGACAGACCCACACCCTAAGAAGCTTCGCCCCTAAACTACCCGGGGATTGACGCAAGGTTGCCTTCTTTGCATTGCCTTAAAGCCATGCCGTGAAGCCAACTTGCGCACTAAAAATTTTTGTATAACTCGCACCTCGACTTCAGCTCCCAAATTTTCTGTATACTTTGCTCACATTATTTGCAAGAAAATACGTTCACTCAGTGTTCGGCCAGGTGTGGCTCAGTTAGGGAGAGTTCAATGCATGCACTTGCAATGAAATTCCACAACAACAAATTTTTTCACGCATATCATCGATTTCGTTGTAGTGGGATTTGACTGTAATAGGCCATAGGATAATAAACATTTTTATGCTGATTTGAGTTAACATATGCTTGAATTTTTTTTCTCGAAACAAATCATGCTTTATAAAAGCAAAATATGCTATATGAAAACTTAAAAAAATGAATATTTTTAAACAGGAAGTTTTAAAAAAATACAACTTTTGATTGGTTAAAACTATGCAGTATGATAAAAATGGCACGGAGCCATATAGGCAGTTGAGCAGATAGCTGAAGATGCTTATTGCAATGAGGTTGTTAATGTTGTGTCATGTTGGTGCATTCGTCGATGGTCATCATCTTGCCTTCTTTCTTTTGTAATGCCATTCATAAAGGCATATCTCCTCAGTTAACCGTCGACGTCATTACCAAAGAGGTGAAGACCTTCCGTAGCACATTAACGACGGCGAGTGGAGAGTTCACGTGTTAAAACTAGACTATTTCGTTTCTTTTTTTCCCCTTTCTCGATCAGCATGTGATATTTTGTGGGCATGGTTTCGATAGTTTGGTCATTTTGTAGGCAGGCCCTCAACTTTATTTCTGACTTTTGGTGACAAAGCAATTAGTGACATAAACACAAATATCTAGAAGCAACAAAGGCAGCAGATAGTTTTAGGCGTGGACAAGCAAAAAGTTCAAATGAAACAAATTTGTCCTGTGGGGCAGTTTGTGTTAAGTGGCTTTAAGATACATTGAACAACTCGGTGGGCAAGCGATTTGCTTGAATTAATTGAAAGTTTGAATGGCGCTGTGTCTTCTGTAGTAGGTGATCTCTGGCCCCAGTGAAAGCTTGTTATAATTTTCCACCACAGTTATTTTGCCTTTTTTTACTTTGTGCCATGTAGCAAAAGCTAGGACTCTCACTAAGTAATAAGAGAAGCCAACTTCATGTTATGGGCCCTTTGTACAATAGTATTTTTTTACTATTCAATTGGAGTGTGGGGCACATTGAGAAGGGGGGAAGCGAATGTTCTGTGTCACTTGACTCTTGTGAGCAATAGCTCTTACTGCATGTGCTAGGTAGAAGCATCTGCGGTGGTGTTAATGCTGGCTGTATTAGTTTATTGTGTTTTCATTTCTTTCATCGTGCAGACATGATCAAAAGGCGAAACCTGCGCACTCGTGCTATCAAGATGTTGGTTCTCGACGAAGCTGATGAAATGCTAAACAAAGGTAAGTGGCAGCGGCTTGCACCAGGAAGTGAAGTCAGTGTCTCTGCCATTCGGTGTCAGTGCTGTATTGAGATCCCAATAACAGCACTGACATTGCGCTGTGTTAGCTTTGCACCAGTCTCATCAATACCCCCATGGGATCTGTTGTGTTGGGAACCCCACTGCTACATTGCAACTGTAGGACCGTTTCCGTATGGTATGTTTTGAGGTGTGCTCCACGCGAACCAAGTGACCACAAGAGTACCGATGTTTGCTTTTCATGCAGCGTGGCGTGGCTGACTGTAAGCAGGGGTACCAACTTGTATCACCTGTATCAACCTGTATCAACTTGGCCAACTGTGCCAAGTTGATACAATTCCCCATTTTTGCGCTGAGATGCACCAAAGTATGAAATTCGCTGAAATTGCTCCACGTTATGCCAAAATGCCTGATCAGCCTCAAAATTTTCTCAGTTGCACTAATGTCGTCGAGAAATGAAGACCATGTTGGCCTCCTGTAGTTTGCGTCATCGATCATTCCAGGGATCCAGGCGTGCAGACCCTAATCCTAAACCATGGTTAGGCCAGGACATTCGCAAAATGCAATCGCTCACATAATAACGCTGTGCGCCTATTGGTCTGCTTACCGCAGCGGCTATCTGTTGGCCGTAGGATGCAGGTTCTAGACAAAAATGCATTGTCGTAGCCAGCAACACTTCGCGGGAATAAGTTTTCTAGTCTGCGAACCCAGTGGTGGCATGTAAGGAACTAAAGCTGGAAACCTCTGCCGCTATTACTGCTCACAAACTCGATGTGCTGAATTTACCCCATTGTGAAAAAAACTTACCCCATCTATGAAAAAAAAAAGGGGGGGGGGGGGGGACGGTTGATTGGTATTGCAGCGATTCGAATTTTTTTTTGCCCTATTCTAACCCGAGCAGAACGCCAGTTAAGCCATTTTCGCCGCAGTGCACTGGTCATGCTAAAAAGCTTTTTAAGATTTGGAAGAAGCTATTAGCACTAATTATGGGACTCAGCACAGTTTGTTTAAGGGGGGGCACGGCTTTCGAATCGCGAAAAATGGCCAAAAAAGCGATTTATCGAAAATCCGATTTACGATTTCCGTAACCTGTTATCTCTCAGATTTCAAAATATTATTCTTGAAAACTGCGTAGAAGTTCTTAAAAAATTGTTTTGTCACCTAATGCGGCGCATAAAATCACGGAAGTCGTGAAAAAAGCGTGTTTCAAGCCACGGTAAAATAGCAACGGCTTAACTGAGAGCCGCCATCTCTGTCTCGTCTGAGAGAGTGTTCCTTCGGCTCAAGTTTCCCACGTCAGCCACCCTCTGCAGGCAAAAAGAAACTCATAAAAAGCAAAGTCCCGAAGGTCCCACACTCAAACCCGACTGGCTGCGCGCGCCACGTGACACAAATGCGTGAGCGCCATTGATTTCCTGAGCAGTTGCCCTTGGCAACAACACAAATTCTCCTCTCCCACGCGCGCACGCGCGTGTCCCGCTGTCTATTTTTTGCGCCATCATGCACGCCATTAAAGCACCGAGCGGATATTGCGGTCGTGGGCGGCACGGATCCACCGTAGATTCTTGCAAGCGATCATGGATTGGCCACGGTGTAAGAGAAAATACCGAACATGAAAAAGAATACATCGACAGCTTACAGTGTTGCCTCTGCTGCTCAACGTGGTGCCGACACGCTGCCATTTGCTCCGTGCTCTTCAATCAATTACTTCTCGTACCAGCTGCCGCGATCGTCAGCCGATGACTTCTTGGGCTCGCGGCCAGGATCGTCGGTTGACGACTTCTCGGGCCCGCGGCCACGATGGTCTGTCAACGACTTTTCCGACCAGCGGCTGTGCTCATCGTGCGTACCGTATAAACCGGATTATAAGTAGAGTTTTTTTCAATAAAATAATGAGCTGAAGTCGCCCCTCGTCTTATATAGCGGTGTCTAGCCGACAGTGCAACGCTGTCTGGCAACATATGGCTTGCATGTGCTTGTGAAGTCAGACGCGGCCATATTCGCATCCAAATCCAATCGCAGTCTGTTTTCTTTGTGATTTGCTTCTGATCTGTTCAGAGTTTTCGCTCCGCTTGACATTGCGCTGCATTTTTAGTGGCCTTTTTTTTTCGTTCACTGAATATGTCTAGCGGTGCGAGGAGGCAGTACTCAGCTGCGTTTAAACTTGATGTTGTTAAGTTCGCAGAAGCGAATGGGAATATGGCTGCTCAGCGCCACTTTCGTGTATCGGGAAAAAGCGTGCGCTATTGGAGGGCGCAAGAAGGGAAGCTGCAGATGTGCAATCCTCGAAAAATGTCGTTTCGTGGACGAAGTGCCGTTTATCCGCAGCTGGAGGATAAGCTAGCGGACTTTGTGTGGGAAGTTCGTGCGCGCTCGCTGCCAGTGACCGTGGATACCATTCGCAAGAAAGCTGTGGAACTCGCTCGGAAGCTTTGCTCACGAGAGAAGAGCTTCATGCACCGAACTCTTGGATGCGTCGTTTTATACGACGCAAAGGATTTTCTCTCCGGCGGCGCACATCCATCTGTCAAAAGTTGCCGGAGGAGTTCGAGCAAGCTCATAAACTTTCAGCGCTTCGTAAACCAGCTTCGGGAGCAGAACGACTACATGACGGGGCAGATTGACAACGCCGATGAGACCCCCGTGTGGTTTGACATGCCTTCGTCGACCACAATCACGCAGCGCGGCGCCAAGGATGTGAAGCTGCTGTCCACTGGCAACGAACACTCGCGCTTCACCGTCATGCTGGCAGATGGTAGAAAGCTTCCGCCCTTCGTCATTTTCAAACGCAAGACAATGCGATGGTGCGACAGTTGGTGCGACAATGCGACAGTTGCGATGGTGGTAGAGGGGAGCTCCGACGATCGGGATGGGGTGCGCCCGATTCGCAAATAAATGTGGTTCGGCAGTTTTGGGTTGTTTTCCTTTTTTTTTTTTTTTTCGTTTTCGGTAACCTTAACTTGGGGGGTCGACCTATATTCCCACTCGACCTATAGTCCGGTTTATACGGTAGATGAAATGCCATCAGTAACTGCCAATACAATTCAAGCTCGCTTGGAGCCTCGTTACATATCGCCACAAGCCTCTCGTGAGCGTGCAGAGGCAGTAAAAGCCTCGCTCAAATCCGTTTCGGCATCTGAACAAAAAATGAAGCTTCTTGGGGAGAATGAGCAATGGACTGATGTGGAACTGGCAGAAGAGTTTTTGCTTGCACAGCTAGAAGCAATAAATGTCTTGTATAAAGTTGTTTTGTGCCCAAAATGCTTTCAGTGTAAACTCAGTCTTCATTTCGAGACACGGCATGGTTTTGCAGCACGAATGATATTGAACTGCAATAGCTTTGACATTGTGTGCACTGAGTGGTCATCATCAAGAATGGAGAGGGCTTTTGATGTGAATATGCGTACTGTGCAAGCCATCAAGACCACTGGCAAAGGTGCAACTGGTGTAAAGGACTTCTGCTCTGTAATGAACGTGTGGCGTAGGGGCCTACATGACAAAACTTTTCAAAAACATTTAAAATCAAAGTTCAAATCTGCTGGTGAATGGTCTGCAGAGAGTGTTTTTGCAGATTCTGTGACAGCTGTGCGCCCTGTTTGCAGCCAAATGGAGCAGACATTTACAAAAAATGTCGCAGGCGTGTATGATAGGACATGGGTGACACGTGGTCATGCATCTCACATTGGTGTAGGCACAGTTATCGAGTTCTACACCGATTTGGTGCTTGACTGTGTCGTTCTCTCCCACAGATGCCATGGCTGTACACTTGGGCCAAAAGAAAATGATGGAGGCTATAAGGGTCGGAAAGAGGCCCATGTTTGTCAAAAAAAACACCAACGTAAATTCAGGCCGAATGGAGGTCGAGGCTGCACTAATTTTGTTCAGAAGGTCGCGTGAGAAGAACGACCTTCGGTACACATTCATTGTTTGTGATGGCGACAGTCGTACTTTCTCGGCTCTTTCTGAAGAAACATACGTCTTCATTCCATTGGCAAAAGAAGATTGCATAAATCATGTAAAAAAGAGGATGGGTTCAGCTCTGCGAACACTTGTAGCAAGAAGTAAGAAAAATCAACCCATTGGAGGAAAGGGTGGCCTGACTCAAGAACTGATTAAAAGACTAACAAATAATTATGGGATGGCCATCTGTGACAACACTGAAGTTAATCACGTGCAAAGAGCCATAATGGCGACGTTTCATCACATCACCTCGAGAGATGAAGAGCCGCACCATGAATTGTGTCCGCCTGGACCACTGAGCTGGTGCAAGTACCGTGCTGGAGAAACTGAAGGCAAGGCTCCACCACCGCACAAGTATAAACTGGCAGCACATGTTGGAGCTGCATTGCTGCCAGTCTACCAATGCCTTTCTGACCCTCAGTTGCTAAGTCGTTGCCAAGGCAAGAAAACCCAAAACGCAGCTGAGAGTCTCCATGCAGTAATTCGGTCTATTCTTCCTAAAGAACAAAATGCTTCGTTGGTTGCCGCCGGAACAGCTGTGAATGAGGCCATCTGCAAGCATAACTCTGGCTCTTTCTATTCTTATCGAGAGTTTTGTGTATCGCTCGGCCTGAAACCTGGAAAGCACTCCATTCACAGAGTTGCAGAGGAGGATCAAATACGAAAAAAAGAAAAGCATCAAAAGCGCACCAAAGCAAGCATCAAATGCTTAAGAGGCCCCGCATCACGAAGGACAACAAAAACTATGATCCTGGTGCATTTTAGATAAGTGGAGGCAAGGAAAGATATCTCCAGCCGTTTTCTCAAAGCTGTTTTTTTGCCCACCTGCTGAGACTGCGCTGCCATTTTCTTCGTAACCGTTTGGCCTATCTTCACTCTGTTTTTTTTTTTTTTCTTTTTGCCATATTCCTTGGACTTCAGTATATGTCCTGACATACTTTCTTAGTTTGACTTTTTGCAATTTTAGGATGTGACTAGTTATTCACCCCTAGAGTGTGCCTAGTGTGAAGGTTGCAAGAAAAATCGCAATACAAGAATTTTGTGTAGCAAAAAAAATTAAAGCAGGCATGTCATGACACTCAGTGTGCATTCAGTTGTACAGCAAATATTCTTTTAGCCTTCTAGTGCATTTTTTAAACTTTCCAGGCACTCTGCAATGTGCTAAGGACTGCAAATAGTAAAATTTTTTTTAAGTAAAAAGTTCTGAAGATACTTCTCTGAAACTTTTGTGGAAGCATTAGGAGGACATGCTGAATTGCAGCGCAAGCCAAAAATACAGTCTCAAAAATCAATCGAAAATACAAACGGCAGCTTGAGTCTCTGTCGTGGTGTGTAGTCGCAATGATCTCTTTTTTTGTGGTTGCGTCTGTTCAGGGTTCGATGAAAAAGCACAGAGACAAAAAAATGATAGATTAGTAACCTCAGTTTTGGTCCTACACCACGATTGCTTCTAATGTTACATTTATCCAACCATATGGCAGCAACCTTCCGGCGTCACTTCCACCCGCAAAGTTCCGTCGAGAGCCACTACGTGGTGATGCGATTAGCAGCAATGTAATGACTTTATTGTGTGATTAAAATACTAAATCATTTGATATCGGCGCTTATACCTATGCTAAGTTTATCCCCAACTATCAGTCTACGCAAACCACAAATAAAAAGTATGTGCTAAAACAGTGTTGGAGGGCCCCTTTAATGGAGCACTGCATCATGGTGCAAAGAACTCCTGCACCTTCTCGCATGGTGGTGTCGGCGCATTGCAGCTTAAAAGCACGCAAACGATGTGTCGGACGTTTCATTGACTGTGATTGTAGTGCTGATGAATTTTAAATCTGAAAAGAGCCGTTAAATGTCTCATTGACCATTGGCGAACAAGAACCAAGATGCGCAGGTAATCCTATTGTGGGGTGATTGAGTTGACTGGCTGCCCTTAGCACCAGGAATGATGCCTGGTCTCGTTGCAGGTTTCAAGGAGCAGATCTACGATGTGTACCGGTACCTGCCCCCTTGCACTCAGGTGGTGCTCATCTCTGCTACCCTCCCCCACGAAATCCTGGAGATGACAAGCAAGTTCATGACAGAACCTGTGCGAATTCTGGTCAAACGGTGAGTCCTCTTCAGCATAGTGTTAGCACAGGCTCTGGAGGAAAAGCACCGAGACAATAAAGCGCATGCATTAGAACCTGCGACCACAAGGGCAGTGCCATTGCCACCCTTACCCTACAGTGCTAGTGTTACCAACCGCTGGAATGCATGCTAAACTTGGCAGTGTTATTCAGATTGTATACAATGAAAGTGAGCTCACGTGAAGTAGGGTTCTAAGTATGGGTCAACAGAAAGTGCAGATGCCAATGCACTGCAACTGTCAACTCATTCAGGAGACGCGTAATTGGCTGCAATCTACTCAAGTGGATATATTTGTGCTATCTAGAGTGTCTGCTGACACATCTTTGTGCGCCACGAGTTCTCTCTCAGTAAATTGCTTGAATGGCCTTGAATCTTTCCTACAAATCTTCTAAATTCATGAAAATATTTGTGTTTGATTTACATTGCCAGTACAGTCAACTGCCGTTTTTTTGGACCCTCTAGGGAGCGAAAAACCGTCCGAAAATTTGGGCAGTCCGAAAAAATGAATGCAAGCAAAAAAAATGCATTATTTTACTGATAATTTTTAATGCAAGAAAAAAAAACACACCATTTCTTTGATATTTCTCGGATCAAGAAGGTGAAGGTTAAAGTACCAGACTTCCGGAACTCTGCCAAAGCATTAGTGGGGTGGCTCTGAAAAGAGCCGTTAAAAAAAAATGCATGCAGCCGACAGCGGGTGCTGTCAGGGCAGCCAGTGTTAAAGCTGCAGTGGCTTGAAAAACTTGTTAATCCTTGTTTGAACGGCGTTCTGCTCGCATGTGATCACATTCGCCTCGATCTGAGCAAGGGTCATGTCATCACTGTACACCGATGACAGCGTCATCAATGCTCGCATCAATTCGGCGGTCGTAGGTGGTGTAGGCATTGGTTCCTCATTTTCGACATCAAAGTCGTCTTAATCCGCCATAACCTGACTGACTATTTGGTCGTCAGTTAGCTCTGTGCAGAAGTTGAGCTCGTTGTCAGCGTCGACGAACCGCTTAAAAGTTATTTCCGTGGGCATGGAAGCACCAGCAGAGCCGAGGTCGTTGATAATATCGTCTATGAGAGGGTATAAGTCAGTCACGCTGTCGTTTTCTTCAGGCAAATCTGCTGCCTCAGTGTAGAGTACAAAGCCCGCGTGGCGAAAGCAGTTGTGAAGCGTGTCTTGCGTTACAGCCTTCCATGCGTTCGCAAGCATTCCGACAGCAGGCCGAAGGTCAACGCTGTAGCCTTTCCCGTTTTCCGAGCTCAGCACCATGCGGTTGAGTATACGTGAACGGTAAAAAAAGTTTCAGATTACGGATAACACCTTGGTCCATCGGTTGGAGGATCGCAGTCGTGTTGGGCGGCATGAGTTCCAGCTGGTTAGCCTTCAAGTTAATGGTGTGACCATGAGCAGCGCAGTTGTCAACGAAGAGCAGAACACGTCTGTTCTGTTCAAACTTCCTGTCCAACCTGCGGACGTAACTCTCGAACAACTGCTGCGTTACCCATGCCTTTTTTGTTGGCTTCGTATAACACTGGCAGCATTGCCCCTTTAAAACACCTTGGGCTCTTGGACTTCCCGATTACTAACAAAGGAAGTTTCTTGCTGCCGACAAGAACGGTCAGCCGTTCTTTGCTATACTTGCCACCATGGCATGCGTCACCAGCAAAAGCGAGTGTTCTTTCTGGCAGCAGCTTGTAAAACAAGCCAGTTTGTTCGCAGTTGAAAATGTTGTAAGCTGAGAACTGCTGCAACAAAGACTGGAGTTTTCCACTGCGATACTGCGCAATAAGTGCACTGTCGACAGCGCCTCTTTTGCCACACATCTTCTTGAGCTTGAGGTCATTCCGATGCTTAAAGTTTCTCAGCCATCCATCACTGAACTTAAAATCTGTGATGTCCATTCGAAGCGCGAGAGTTTCCGCTTTTTGTTTCAAGATGCAGCCCGAGACTGGCAACCGCTTGGCAATCATTGAATTAAGCCACACGACGAAAGCTTCCTCAAGCTTTGGGTGAACACCTTGGCTTGCATTCATCTTTTGGGCACCAGATGGTTTTTCGGCCGCTTCCAAGATCTTGTCTTTGTTCCTCAGGAAATCGGAAACTGCTTGCTTGGAAATGCCGAACTCCTTGCTCACGTCAGCCTGCGATCGGCCACTCTTCACTAACTTAATATTGGCGGCTTTCTTCTCTATTGTTAACCGACGGTACTGTTTACCGCGCTTCGATGTGTGGGAATTGAGGCTGGCCCGCTGCCTTTAAGCGGGCTTTCCCGCCTTTTCTGCCGTTCTCATGTCCCGACATGTCTGCCCTCCGTTGCTGTCTGCCGCGCTGAGAGAGCGGAGTGACGTTTAACTCCCTCACCCGGTAGCGGATGCTGACGGTGGCGCCGCGCGCGGGGACTCCCAAGAGAGGTTTTCGCGCGCTGCGTCGGGAGCGGGCAGATACTCTCCGGGACAGCAAACGGTGAGCCACGCTATCTTTTCGTCCGTCGACTCCCGTCAGTCGGGGCTCGTCGGACTTCGCTGACGGCGCCTGGCGCCCAAGGCGAACGCTCACCCGCTGTTGCCCCGCTGCGTACGCACGGCCGAAGGGCGGTACGGTGTCCTAGTGCGTGGCCTCGCTACGCCGACCCGTCTCCCTTCGAAGCCCACGCGAGCGCCTTTGCCCTCGCTCGAGCAACCGGGCCTTTGCTCCGGTGTCTCCGTGGATCGGCTTTACCGCGGAGACGTGCTCGTGGCACCCCTGTGTAGTACTTTGTGCCCGTGGCGTGGATAAGCCTACTTGCTTTCCCGCCGCGCCTATTTGCAACGGGCTTTACTGCGTTTGGTGTTGCCACAATAAAGTGTTGCGACTTGAGCAGTATCGTGTTTTCCCGCCACGGCGACGGTTAACGCGTGCCCTGCGGCTCGCTAAGACCGGACCCACGCTGGTGGCCGTACTCCTTCGGGATACGTGTACACCACACTGGCGCCCAACGCGGTATCAAAAGCTCTAGCTTTTGATTGCTCTTAGCGAGTCAGTTCGCCTGCGCGATTCGGGCTCGTCGCAACATGGCTGCTTCGCGGGACTTTTGTCCGCTGTCCCTTTTAGCGGATGCCGCGTTGCACACGGAGGCCATTGCCTCTATGGACGGGAACCCTTCTGCACCCGTCCGTGTCGGCACCCCCTATTGCGGTGACGACACGAGGCGCCTAGCCGCTCCCTTTGGAGATGGCGCGTCGCTTCGGAATGGGCCTCTTGCCCTACCCGAACGTTACGCACAAGCGCCTCCGACGCCCGTCCGTGTCGGCACCCCCTATTGCGGTGACGACACGAGGCGCCTAGCCGCTCCCTTTGGAGATGGCGCGTCGCTTCGGAATGGGCCTCTTGCCCTACCCGAACGTTATGTCTGCTTCGTGGCATGCCGCGTTGCACCAAGAGGCCACCGCCTCTATCGACGGGCGCCCTTCGGCGCTCGCCTGTGTCGTCACCCCTTTTTGTGGTGAATACACTCCTACGTGGTAGCTGACGCGCTATCTCGTGCCCCCTGTTGTCTGCCGAGAACCTGGATTTCGGTGCGACGGCCGCTCGCGGTGCCTTAGCACATGCAAGCGTCGGGGGCGAAACAGCAGCTTCGCCGCCATTCGGCGAGGAGGGTAAGTCCCCATGCGGACAAACCTTGGCTGCTAACCAGGTAAGCGGCGCACCGCGAAGCGGCCGAGCGGGGGAGCTTTCCGAAGGCCACGAGGCCGAGAGCGAACCCGTAACGCCGACTCACGCGGCGGTTGCTGCGGTCCTGAGTGGGCGCGATACCAGACTCCCCCATTTTGGGAGAATGGGAATCGCTTTCGGCAGCGAAGAGCTACTGAAGGCTCAGCAAAGTGATCCGTTTCGAGTCTCGGAGGGACGGAGCGCCGTATACGCTGCTTGCTTTGCGGCGGGCGCCGTTAAACCGTCTTGAGAGGCGCGCCGTTACGCTGCTTGTTCTGCGGCGGGCGCGATTAGGGGGCTGATACAGCGTGTGTCGCTGAGTCCCCGGCGGATTCATTTTTGCTGGACCATGACGGGCTCCTGCTGAACTATATAGCCACTGACGACGAGTCCAGCGACCCGTTTAAGGTGGTTATGCCCAAAAGTCTGAGAGCCGCACTGTTGCGATCCTCTCACGACGAATCCATGGCCGGTCACCTGAGTGGCTCGAAAGGTTTTGCAAACTGAGCGATGTTGTGACCTGGCCCGGCACGAAGCGTGGTTTTTATCGCTATTCCGTGCCTGCCACGTCTGACAAACGGTTGAGCCAAGGGTTGGAAAGCCGCCCGGTCTTATGAACCGATTGTCAGTGAGCGTCCGTGGCGCGTACTAGCTGAAAGATCCCCTTTGGGAAAACTCAGCCGTGCCCACATCGCAGACCTGAAGCCCTTTGTCACGGTCTGACGAGCTCGCGCCAGTGCCCTGCGGCACTTCGCGCAAGCAACGGGCACACCCGGAGCGACGGACCGCATTCGGACCCCGCGCCGGTATAATCTGAGGAAGCGGTCACCTTTGTGATTTCGCGCCGGACGGCGGACTTCTCCGCAACCGAAGGCCCTCAGTTTACTGTATAGCCTCAGTATAGGTTAGCTTCTTTACGGCCTTTTCTCGTAAAGGAGTTGACCCCGCCCTGTCTGCTGCCAGTGTTTCTTTTTTTTTTTTTTGAAGTGTTCATGTGTATTTTATGTTTATTTTTGTCTAATATTAGGTGTTATTGGTGTTTTATGTTTTTCGCCAGATGTTGAGTGTCGTTTTGCTCTGTTTTCACTTTTTTTTTCCGTGTTCGTTTCGTCTACCGCGAAGGGAGCTGTGTGTGACCTTGCGTGTCGGTGCTTGCCGGGGGAGAGAGACGAAGGACGCTTTGCGCCTACGCTCGCGCAGCCGTCGGCGGTGTGTGTGCGTGTGTGAGTGCGTGACGCTTCGGTGCGAGCCCGCGAGGAGTGCGTCATAGCTTCCCCCCCATCGATGCGGACGCTGGAGGTGCTGGGGGGTCATTGACCCACTGACGTCAGACCATCTGGCTGTGCTCTGCTCTCGGCCGTCGTCGAAGAAGCCCCGCTGCCTTTACCACCATGGCTCCTGCGCGAGGCCAGCTAAAAGCAGCTATATGCTGCCGGCCAACGCCAGGGCGCCTCGCAGCCAATTTTGGTTCGGCCTCCCTGACCACCGGAGAGGCCCGGCTTCCCGCAACGTCCAGCTCCCTCATCGAGCCAGAAATGCGGGGCCTCCGAACAACCGAAGCGGCTTTCGTCGGACTCGCGGCTTATCAAGAGCAGGAACAAGCCATCAGTGAGCCCCCCCTTCCGGTACCTCTGACCTCGCACTCGGGCATCGCACCCAGCGGACACTGTCACGCCTTTCCGCCCCTCCGCGCAGTGGACGCTATCCCCCTTCAGCACCACGAACACTAGTTCCACGTTTCTGTGCTCCCTTCCGCAGTTATTAGTATAGTGTCATGTGTTTATTTTGTTATTTATGTTTTGTTTCTCCTTGTAATCATTTTTTTAGCAGCAGTAGCAGGGCTGGACTGAGGTTAGCTGTCGCTCATAGCAGTGTCATTTTAACTGCATGGGTGACGTCCGGCTGCCTTTTGCAGACCGGTAAAGGGCAAATTTAGGAGAGGGGGATGTGGGAATTGAGGCTGGCCCGCTGCCTTTGCGCGGGCTTTGCCGCCTCTTTTCTCATGTCCCGACATGCCTACCCTCCTTTGCCGTCAGCCGCGCTGGGAAGGGCGGAGTGACGTTTAACTCCCTCACCCGGTAGCGGATGTTGACTGTGGCGCCGCGCGCGGGGACCCCCGAGAGGTTTTCGCGCGCTGCGTCGGGAGCGGTGAGTACAGTCCGGGACTTCAAACGGTGAGCCACGCATCCGCCGCTCGGGGCTCGTCGGACTTCGCTGACGGCGCCTCGCGCCCGATGCGAACGCTCACCTTTTGTTGCCCCGCTGCGTACTCACGGCCGAAGGGCAGTACGGTGTCCTAGTGCGTGGCCTAGCTACGCCGACCCGTCTCCCTCCGAAGCCAACGCGAGCGCCTTTTGCCCTCGCTCGAGCAACCGGGCCTTTGCTCCGGTGTCTCCGTGGATCAGCTTTACCGCGGAGACGTGCTCGTGGCACCCCTGTGTAGTACTTTGTGCCCGTGGCGTGGATAAGCCTACTTGCTTTCCCGCCGCGCCTATTTGCAACGGGCTGTACTGCGTTTGGTGTTGCCACAATAAAGTGTTGCGACTTGAGCAGTATCGTGTTTCCCGCCACGGCGACGGTTAACGCGTGCCCTGCGGCTCGCTAAGACCGGACCCACGCTGGTGGCCGTACTCCTTCGGGATACGTGTACACCACACTGGCGCCCAACGTGTGCGTGTGTAAGTGCGTGACGCTTCAGTGCGAGCCCGCGAAGAGTGCGTCATGGCTTCCCCCCCATCGATGCGGACGCTGGAGGTGCTGGGGGGTCATTGACCCACTGACGTCAGACCATCTGGCTGTGCTCTGCTCTCGGCCGTCGTCGAAGAAGCCCCGCTGCCTTTACCACCATGGCTCCTGCGCGAGGCCAGCTGAAAGCAGCTATATGCTGCCGGCCAACGCCATTCGCAGCCAATTTGGGTCGGCCTCCCTGAGCACTGGAGAGGCCCGGCTTCGCGCAACGTTCCAGCTTCATCATCGAGCCAGAAATGCGGGGCCTCCGAAGCACAGCCGAGGCAGCGTTCGTCGGACTCGCTGCTTAACAAGACCAGCAACGAGCCATCAGTGAGCCCCCCCTTCCGGTACCTCTGACCTCGCACTCGGGCATCGCACCCAGCGGACACTGTCACGCCTTTACCGCCCCTCCGCGCACTGGACGCTATCCCCCTTCAGCACCACGAACACTAGTGCCACGTTTCTGTGCTCCCTTCCGCAGTTATTTGTATAGTGTCATGTGTTTATTTTGTTATTTATGTTTTTGTTCCTCACTTGTAATCTTTTTCTTTAGCAGCAGTAACAGGGCTGGACTGAGGTTAGCTGTCGCTCATAGCAGTGTCATTTTAACTGCATGGGTGACGCCCGGCTGCCTTTTGCAGACCGGTAAAGGGCAAATTTAGGAGAGGGGGATGTGGGAATTGAGGCTGGCCCGCTGCCTTTAAGCGGGCTTTCCCGCCTTTTTCTGCCGTTCTCATGTCCCGACATGTCTGCCCTCCGTTGCTGTCTGCCGCGCTGAGAGAGCGGAGTGACGTTTAACTCCCTCACCCGGTAGCGGATGCTGACGGTGGCGCCGCGCGCGGGGACTCCCAAGAGAGGTTTTCGCGCGCTGCGTCGGGAGCGGGCAGATACTCTCCGGGACAGCAAACGGTGAGCCACGCTATCTTTTCGTCCGTCGACTCCCGTCAGTCGGGGCTCGTCGGACTTCGCTGACGGCGCCTGGCGCCCAAGGCGAACGCTCACCCGCTGTTGCCCCGCTGCGTACGCACGGCCGAAGGGCGGTACGGTGTCCTAGTGCGTGGCCTCGCTACGCCGACCCGTCTCCCTTCGAAGCCCACGCGAGCGCCTTTGCCCTCGCTCGAGCAACCGGGCCTTTGCTCCGGTGTCTCCGTGGATCGGCTTTACCGCGGAGACGTGCTCGTGGCACCCCTGTGTAGTACTTTGTGCCCGTGGCGTGGATAAGCCTACTTGCTTTCCCGCCGCGCCTATTTGCAACGGGCTGTACTGCGTTTGGTGTTGCCACAATAAAGTGTTGCGACTTGAGCAGTATCGTGTTTTCCCGCCACGGCGACGGTTAACGCGTGCCCTGCGGCTCGCTAAGACCGGACCCACGCTGGTGGCCGTACTCCTTCGGGATACGTGTACACCACAGATGCCATCAGCGAGGACGACGAAGGCGGAGTGGGGGCCATCGCAGGCAAGCGAAATCCTCATGATGTGAACAAAGGAGTTTGCTGACGAGCCTCGAAGCACCTAGGCTTAGCGTTGGAGAGCACACTTCACACGATCGCATAACCACGCACTAGGCTAGCCAAGCACCCTGTGGGCTGCGTAAACAAAATGGCGCGACAGCAGGCGGCGGTGCCTCGGGTACTCCGGAGGTGGCGCTGGTAAACATTCAAGATAGCCAGCGTGGCCAGACCAAATCGGTGTGTGACGGTTAGTTCTAGTTCGAAGTGGTGAAACGCTTCGTGAAAGCACTGTTCGGGAAGCCAGAGTGGCACACACAAGCGCTAAAGCGAAAGGAACTTTATTGGCGCCAAAAAATTTTCGGGTGGATAGTTTCGATTATCAGCGAAGCGCCCTTTCACAATAAACACAGCCAGTGTTAGGAATCTCTGAGGCCGTGTGTGTTTCTCCGCTAACGATCAACGAGTCTAAGCAACAGATGCCGCCACAGTAGATCGGCGCGCTCATTTATGTGATCGTAACCTCGTGTGACGCAGTTGTGGTGGTTTCCTCTGGAGGTAAGTGGTGGTTTCCGACCTTCCGTCGCGTCAAAGTCAGGAAAATGGGCTCTGGGGGGTTCGGGCATCCGAAATTTCAGACTTTCTTAAACATTAATTCTGTGGGGCTCGTAGCGGTGCCGTGAAGATGTCCGAATTATCGGTCATGTCCGAAAAATCGGCAGTTGACTGTATTGCTGAAATTAAATAGCGCTTATTTTATCCACTTCTACATAATTGCTAAGGCAACAATGTCATCGTGGGTTGCAGTGCGAGGGACTTTTTCGGCCCAGCCTTTTTCGTAAGTCTGTGCAGACTAGACCATGATGAGAAGCCTTTGTGCTCACAGCATCTGATGAGTCACTGCCTTTACAACATTAAAGAAAAAAGCTGCTTTGTGCTATACTGGGTGAAATTGCAAGATGTCTGCTCTGTATGTTGTGGACAGCTTTGGCTGTTGTGAAGGACACAGTGAAATCCGAGGAGTCTGGGATTTTTCAATGTGACTGCATAATGCTGAAAGACTTTTACTACTGAAAAAATTTCACTACATTGAAAGTCTGATCGATCAGTGTGGGATTGCATCAAGAGAATCAGCTTAACCTTGTTGTGAGGTTTGACAGTAATTCTTATCTCACAGTGATGAGTTGACCCTGGAAGGCATCAAGCAGTTCTTTGTGGCCGTGGAGCGTGAGGAGTGGAAGTTTGACACCCTGTGCGACTTGTACGACACACTCACCATCACCCAGGCTGTCATATTCTGCAACACCAAGAGGAAGGTAGGTGGCACAGCTGTCACCCGCATTTTGTGAGAAACACTTATGCAGTGGGTCGCCAACGGCAGTTGATGTGCTTTTATTGCTGCCATAAGTGAACCGAAGGGCGCACACCCCCTGTTTTTAGGATATCTAGATGAAGCTTCTAAGGTATGTTCACTACATTAAAGCTAAAGTAACTTTGAGGTTTCATAACACTGTGTTAAAGCTAACAGAGTTCTTAGCATGTATACCTGAAGAAGAGCCTAGAAAAATTCCAAAACATAGTAGGAAGATGAAATTCATTGGGGTCGTTCTTTGATAGATATCCCAGGGCACTGCAAAGCCCTTCTGATTTTCCCTCCAAAAGAATGTTAGCACGACTTTGAATTGGATCTAGCCAGATATTACCGCTTCTATAAACATTAATTGCATATAAATTAATTACATCAATTTTCTAAAAAGTAAGCTTGTTACGTTCTGGCAATGTCATCCAGCAACAGAATAAAAAAAAGGCACACAAATATGAAGACTAATTTTTGAGATATCGCCTTCCTTAGCGCCACAACTAGGAGAAAAATTCATTTTGGGAACACTGGCCTTGAAAGTTGTCAGCTTATTTTTTGCCTAAAATGATCCTACAGTATGAGTAGAAGCGTCTTTTATGCACATCTTTCCTTTGTCACCTTATCTGGCTTTCTCGGTGCTGGGATTTCGATCGCCAACGTAGATTTGAGACTCCAGGGACACTTCGACCCATTCAACTACGCAGTCGTATAATAATGGCACAGAAGATACAAGCGCTGGCAACATCTGTGCAATTGTCAAGTACTGATAGAATACAAGCTGCGTCACTGTGAAAATGACTGTTATAATCCTTGTCGGCAACACGGTTTGCCACGAGAGCAAGGTTTGTTTACGTAGCGCTTCAGCACATTGAACCACCGAACATGTGTAGCGTCTTGGGAAGTACTTTGGTTTTGGCTAGCTAGCTGGTTCATATTACTCACTTAGAAAGGGCAGTGCAAAGACACTGGGAAAAACGCTCTTTGTCTCTGCTGTCTTTCTTTTTCCCGTGTCTTTGCGCCGCCCTTTTTAAGTCAGTAGCGTCTTGAGCCTGACTGTCCACTTGTCCCCCCAAAAACTGATCAAACAGGAACATGACGCTTCTCACTCGAAAAGCACGAAGCGTCAATATAGCATGGCAGAAAGTAAAATAATCAGTCAATGCTAATTCTGCAACATGTGTGTGGTTTAATGCTTCCCACCCCTTGCACAGTGCCCAGACACAATTCTGCATCCTCTGTAGCATGCCACATCATCAAAGTGCACATACCTTGCAGATGTGTGGCGAATATTTCACTTATCTGCAGGAAGACAAAACAATGGCACAGGTATCGCTGTGATAGTTGACAAAAATTATGGTTTATGGCATAGTCGATACCTTGTGGATAGCCAAACTTGAAAACACATTATTTGAAAAAGGAGCGCGATACGTAGACGTGGACAGAATAGATGGGGACAAGCACTTGTCCCTGTCTTTCCTGGCTATGTATCGCACTCTTATTTCAAACAATCATGAATCGCCAACTCGCCCCAATCAACCATTTTGACAAATTCAAAACACAGTTGGCCTTCCTCAACACGAAGCTGCGCTCAGCACATTAGGCAGTATCATAATCTTTGGTAATTTTTGCCTTGCACAGGTGGACTGGTTGAGCGAGAAGATGCGGGAAGCTAATTTCACCGTTTCGTCCATGCATGGTGACATGCCTCAGAAAGAGAGGGACGCCATTATGAAGGAGTTCCGCTCTGGCCAGAGGTAAGTCAGGCTTTGGGTGGTCGTAAGCTTCACAATTGCATTTATGTGAATGTTCTACGTGTTTAAATGTTCGTACAGATAGTATATCGTACTTACTCCTGTAATGAACCCACTTGCCGAATTCCACTGTGTCCATTGGGCTGAAATTTGAATGTACCAAACATTTTTTTGTAAGAGCGGCAGGCGATGTGAACTTAGTACCGTTGAACGAAGGTCGAGAGCAACATGCAACAAGTGCATGCTTGTTGTCACAACAGCTGTGGAGGAAACCACGGTCGTTCTTGACAAGATCATGTATATACTAACTGAACTCCGAAAGTGTGCACGCATCCTACGCTCAACCAGGCAATGCAACGCTGCTTTCCACAAACGATGCGGACAAAACAGCTGCAGATGCAACCATAGATGGTAAAAAATATGAAAAGGAAAAAAACTACTTGTTTCTGAAGGCACATGCGTGGCCAGCGCACGCAGATTGAGAACGGAACTACTGTTTGCTGCAACCTCTGTGCACAAAACAGCGGTCGCGGCGACGCGATAGCGATCTACGAGCTCCAATAGCACGCGGCTAATACAGCGGTATATTAAAGGCAGTAAATACGTAAAAAAGCTAGAAGTGTTTTGGCATTTAAGTCCAAAGAATCTAGTAGCGAGCAAAGCGATGATCCGCGCTTTTACAGCAGCCAGCTGCGCCTTCCAATCGTTCACGTGTGTATGAGAAAGACATACAAGAGTTGTTTTCATGAAAATAGATCTTGCTACACTCAAACCTCGTTATAGCGTAACGGGATGTAAGGAAATAATGTATATAATGAAGTAAATGAAATTCCCCTTGAAAGCTTCATTGAGAACCATGCATTTTAAACTTCGTCGTAATGAAGTAAAGTTGACCGGTAAATGCATATAATGAATAAATTAGTCTATAAAATAGTCTATAAATAAATGCGACCCAAGTGTGTTAGGTATATAGCGTTTTCCCGCAGAGTGTGACGCTCGTTCAGAGCGGCTCTTTCAAAACTGCCGCGCCGACCTTACAGTCACGCCACACGTGGTCGAGAGAGCTGTCTTCCTCACACAGCCAGCGGAGAGGATTGAGGAAGCGCTTAGCGAGTCACATGACCGAGAAGCGGCGCCACGGTGCAAAGCGATTTTCCTCTCACTTATAAGAACACACGATGAAGAAGCTTTCGAAGACTTACATTTATTAACAAATCAGAGGACATCCGTCATTAATCAATTTCGCACATAGTTTGCAAAGCATAGTAGCGCGCGGCTAAGTCCAAAGCCAACGCTCACTAAAGACGACGGCAACGGCTGCTTCTCCGCTGCTGAAGCCTCTAAAGGGCTGCACCTCTTCTCCTTTTTTTTTCTTTTTTTTCAATGTTTGCATTCACCCTCTGCACCAAGAAAGCAGGACTTTCCGCGACAGCTTTCTTTCTTTTTCTTCTCTCTCTGCGCGCTGCCTTGAAAGGAGAAGGGTCTTTACGTGCAAAAAGACAGAAAAGGGAGAAGCGTGGCACAGGCGCGTCGCAGATCGACATTTGAGAGAGAGCAAACAATGTGCCACAGTCTTTTCTTTCCTTTTCTTTTTTCCCTTCTTCGTGCGCAGCTGTTGAGAGGAGAGGAGGGGGAGTGATTCTTAAATGAGAGAAAAGAAGATAAAAGTGAGCCCCGTAACTGTCTGCATCAGAATGCGACACCTCAACAGTGGCTCACGAAGGAAGGGGATAAGGAGGGATTAAAAAGGATGAAGTGAGAAGTAAAGATAAGACAGAGAAAGATGGGGACACAGTCGAAGGAGTCCGAGGACAGGGTACCACTCAGCGAGAGCTTCACAGTGTCAGGAGATGACGGAGGGCGAGCCGGTCGGCCAGAGCTGCACTGTTGTCGGAGATCGCGGTGGCAGAACCGTTCGGCATGTAATCCAGCGAGCGAGATGTTGAGAAATGCCGCCGCGTGATTAGGCATGGTGCTGAGAGCATTTTCGGAGTGCGGTATATTCAAATTAACCGTCATAAGTGCTTGCGCATTCGAATTACAGGGCGTTTTCGGCCATTGGAATACACATAGCTTTGACGGGACCACAGCTGAATTTGAATTAACCGGAAGTTTGAATTAAACGTGTTCTAATTAATGAGATTCGGTCGTTGTTGTTTTTTTCCGTCGCACGTGTGGTCGCATAGCGGTACATCGGGCCGCGAGGCGGTTTCCTTCTTTGCATTCTTATAGGTGTGCACCTATCTGAGCATACATTGCCACAAACTGTTATAGTCGATATAGCGAAATAATGGATATAACGAAGTAATTGTAGCTCCCCTTCAGCTTCATTATAACGAGGTTTACATGTTGTCGTTTTGATGGCGCGATAATTCGGGAGTACTTGCGCTCCCCCTTTGAGACTCTCACCTTCGTGGGAAGGCCTGCCCTCGTGTGTTCGGCCACTCCAAGCTATTATAAGACTGCAATGCCTATGTTTGCGCTTGAGATTTGGGTGCACGTTAAAGAACCCCAGGTGGTCGAAATTTCCGGAGCCCTCCACTACGGCGTCTCTCATAACCATATGGTGGTTTTGGGACGTTAAACCCCACAAATCAATCAATTATATTTGCGCTTGGATTGGGACCCCTACCCCTTGTTTGTTTTTCACAATGTTTTTTTGTTTTCTTTTGGTTTCAAAAAAATAATAGCAATAAATTTAGCATGCCCCCCCCCCCCCCCTCCCTCTTCAAAGTCCTTGAACTTAGCAGGTATGAAAATATATCAAAGCTACGTACCTCACGTTTGTTTAGCTAAATATATGCATACTTTCATTTTCGATCAATTATATTTCGATTCTCTGCATAGTGTACATTTTTTTATATAAAATTCTCAAATTTGACCTAAAGAACATATGTTTGCCTAGTTTGATGGTTTATATTTTATAAAAGGCTTATGACAGAGCAGTGCAAATTCCGCATTACTTTGTCAGCATGCTTATTTACAAAACTGCCACAGCTTATATTAATAACACTTTTCAATGAAAAGATGTAAATGCGCTAACTTCAAGGAAAGAACATGCAAGAGACGATTTAAAAAAATGTTCTTGATATTTTTTTTATTTTTTACATTTATTCTTCTGCACATCGGCTTTCACAATCAATAAAAACATGTTGCATTATACGGTTTTAATGTAGTTTCGGCCTGTCAAAAAATGCCCTCACTTTCGTTCTGGCGGTGAAGAAACGTCTGGAAAAAGCGACCTCGCTCGCAACGTGCGAAATCTGCATGCGGTGCTCGCCACGGTCTATGATATCTTCGTCGCTAGTAAACTGCAGCAGACCACACGTAAGCGCACGCCTATCACATGCTTTAGAATGCCTGGTTTAAAATTTTTTTCACTTTGTTTGGGCCATAGTTTTGCCGCAACCTTGCTGGAAGTGTTCGTTGTAAGAGTAGGAGGCTGTGAAAAATGTTTGGTGTATGTAGACTGAGTTTCACAGGGTACCATAGAAAAATCGTAAGTGCACTGGAATATGGTCGTTATAACCAATAGATTGTTATATCTGGGATCGTTATAAGTGGCATGGACTGTATTGATTAGTTTTGAGTTCAGCAATGTGCGTGTACGTATAAATGTGCCAATTGGCCCCTTGCACCATTGAATGTTGTCACAAAGGTTGAAGTCTGGGTCAGTGGTACATAATGCTGAAAAAAAAAATATATCTTTTTATCTTGTGCATTCACCTGATATGACTGAAAGGCATATGGCTCATATTGATCTTGCCCCACCACCCTTGGAAAGCTTTTTTGCAGTGCCTTTGTGATTGAACCACCTTTGACCAAGCTATGACGTCATGTGATGGTGTGATCATGTTACGAGATGTCACAGTGACATCATGATATTGCCAATTTGGGCAATATGTGACATCATTAAGTGATGAAAATTTCTTACATCACTTGTCGCTATCGCTGCGTGATGCTAGTGGTGACAGTTAAATTTTGCATTTGATGGTTCATCTAAATCTTTTGCCTAAGCCAGTCAACATAACAGGCAAAGAAAGGAGCGGCACACCCTGCTGGGTGTGCCAGCGACAGAGTGCGTGCTTCTCTTTTTGTTCATCGTCATTTTTCTGTGTATAAACATTATCAATCAAAAGTACCAGATAGATGATGTGCACTCTGTTTTAACTGTGCTTCGAAATGGTCTTGGCCAGTAGTGCTAGCTCTGGTGAATACAAGGATAGAGTGCATTCTGAAGTATAGTCTGCGTTCCTATCTTAGGTTACTTATTTCAGAAACAAGTTGTTTGTATGTGGACTGCACATTGTCAAACCATAGGCCTGTAGGAACATGTGTGCTTGGTTTTGATGTGGTTCAAAGAGCTTGTTGACTTTACTGTGAGTGCCAACTTCAAAGCATGTTTCTTGCTGCACCGTAGTATGGTATCATAGCACTTTTCTACAGTCCTTTTCTTAGCAGATACAAATTGTGTTGCTTTTACCCATGTCCTTGATGCACGTGTTTCTAAGAGCAGAAGCGATAAGGGCGGTCTCGAGTTTATTTCAGATGGCAGTGTGCTCTTCGCCGAAACCCGTAGCATAAACTGCATGAGGCACTGGCTCCAAAGTTTCGTCGTTCTCGCAATCCGATTCCTCCAAATCGCTCTTGCCGCATACTTAATTCACAATGCCCTAATTCGTGCACGGTTCCACGGTTTCGGCGTCATCATCGGCCGTAATTGAACAATCGCAACAGATGTCCTACCTGCTCTGCCAGGTCGGAGTCGACGACATTGCCGCCGGAGTTGTCATGTTCAGAAGCTTCAGTCCCTGCATCGGGCCCGACGTCGACTGAGTTGGCCTCGCGAAAACAGTTTCGCATGCATGTAGCCGTCACCGCCACCCACGAAATATTCACCATCTCCACAGCTGAATACCGGGACGCCCGAAGCGGCAAGTTGGCTGCCAGATGGTCAATAGCAGGCGCTCCGCATCACGGCACCTAACGCGCGAATTACGCTCAAGCCAAGCGGTCACACTTTCAACGTTTTGTTGAGTGGCAGGAAAAAACGTGAAAGGCTTCCCGTCCGCCATCCTAACCACACACGCACACTGAGAGCCAGCAAGACTCGCACATGCAACACACATGCCAGAACGTGTGGTACAGCTCTGGGCCCGTTTCTAGTCAGAAAAACTTCTGAATTCGACGCAGCGTGGCTGGTGTCACAGAGCGGTGGAGACGGGCGAAGGAGTTGTGTCAAGAGAGGAGAGCCAATTTGCGAGATAAGGGCAAGGAGTTGCCATAGAGTGAAGAGAGGGGAGGATACGGCGGGAAGACCTTTAAAACCAAAACACTTGGGATGGAGGCAGGTCGGGTAGCTTGCTTAAAAAGCACGTGCAACTCGCATATAGAAAAACTTGGAAGAGGGCCTGCACGCACAGAGGTCTAAGCACGGTCGCCTGGATCGGCGTGCGCGACGGTGTTCAAAGAATCAGCGGCCGTGGTCAAAGAATCGTTTTGTTGTGCCGGCGAGTTTTGCATGGCCTCATTGACTTCGATATTTCGCGATTCGTTCCACACAAATTAACAGCCGTTTTTACGCTTCCACAGCGGGATGAGGGCATGTTGAGCCGAGTGCGATGTGAGCAGGGCCTAAACACGAAAAGAATTGTGAATTATCAGAGTGGGTGGGGAAGCGCACGCGTGTGCAGTAGAACAATACAAGACAAGACGCAGTCGATCGGATACAGACGATGTTAGCAATGGTCTAGTCATTCCAGGCAGGCGACGTCAACGACAGTATCAGCGATCGAAAATAGGGCAGATGGCCAACCGGTCTTCGAAAGATGGGTGGCAGTGTGAAAACACGGGCCGCATATGGCAATGTGGGATGCTCAGAATAGCGGGATGACAAAAGACGGAAGGGTGCGCAAGAAAGAGCAGTCGGGAAGAGCGGCAACTAAATAGGCGCGGAGGCAGGGTCGATGTTTAACAATGAGAATCTATGGGCACCTCACCGATGCTTCATCAGTAGTCGAAAGTGGTTTCCCGGGAAGTCAGCAGAACACCGACTCCGTTCGCTGTAACCAGTCGGCAGCACTCGGAGAAATTCGTTGTAAGTGCGATTTTGTGTCATTGAACCAATGTATATCTTTACGGTCACGCGGATACTGTTCCTTTTCAGTGAAAATTTGTTTTAAGTGGGGCTGTTATATGTGGGCTCAACTGTAGTACCAAATGTTTCCGAAATGTATATGATATTTGTGAACTGATATCAAGTCTCTCTTCTTGTAGTCTTGGTATAGTTTGGAATCCTTTGTGTTGCGTACTTGAGCAGGCTTCGTTCTCCTTTTTCAGTCGAGTGCTCATCACCACAGATATTTGGGCACGGGGCATCGATGTCCAGCAGGTGTCCCTTGTCATTAACTATGATCTGCCCAACAACCGAGAGTTGTACATCCACAGGTATGTGCACCAATTTTCTCACACATTTCAGGTTGCCTGAAATAATTACTGCAAAACATGCGGCACTTTATTACCTGGCAAATAACTGCCAATTTCATGGTTTCTTGGATGGAACCCATATTTTTGTTTCCCCACAATGCGTTATGCTTGTGCTTACATATCTCTCTTTTTTGTTGTTTTTCGAAGCAGTGTCAAAGTGAATAGTAACTAGTAATAAAGAAATTCCACTTTTTTTTTTTCTAAATCACACAGGTTAGAGCTAAGGATTCTTGCTGTTTTGTGTAGGGAATAATTGCATTAACTGTTACCAAACAAGTTATGAAGTGTAATATGTAACCATTTCAACCTGGCAGCAGCATCACTGCTATTGTGCTGCAGATTGAATGCAGGTTAGTCAAAAATGATTGTATCTGCCACAGTTTCAGAAAAAGGCATCGGAAAAAGTGGGCTGCCAGGTTGCTTGGTATAGCAAAGTCAGTCTTCTGACCAGCAGACGATCCATGATAGCATGCACTCATGTTTCATCAGCGATGCTTTAAAGTGATACGTGAAATACTGTTGCTTTTCGGGTCAGAAATATGTATCTTTAGTATGCTTGCTCCCCATATGTTTATATCCATCACTGTGTTGCTAAGCTCAGACAAGAGGTTGATTTATTTTTAATTAGCTCGAAAGGTTTCTCAAAGGTAGATTACTCTGTATTGTCCAAATGTGCAACTTTTAAAAAAGGGCATGTGTTGTACAAGATCTGACGGACTCGTATGTGCACTGTATGTAATACTCGGGAAGTTTGAAAACTATGCTTGTGCGAATATTTCAGCTGTTTGATATAAGTTTTAAAGTATTCGAAGTGAGTGACTAGGTACTTATTAGTCCACATATAACTCCCCTCCAAAAATGGTTTCACTGCAGTGGAGGGGTGCTGTACCGTGAATACACCTACCTACGGCATCGAACGCGTCATTCGAATACACCTACCTACACTATAAAAAACAACAGAGTATTCAGAGAGCAGTTTTGCTACACAACAATAATTGTATCTCACTATCTTGTGTTTCTTTTCTTGAAAACCCAGCCCTGGCCACTTTGCTGTCGGGAATGCTATATCACACTGATAACGCGCTTGCCATTCGCGATCGTGAACTACCAGAACCATGGTGATGGCGCGAGAAAAGTACTCGAAGTAGATGGCGATTGTTGTTGTGTAGCGACATTCCTCCCCAAATACTCAATTTTTTTTTTTTTGAGTGTAGGAGAAATCCGCACTGTTGGAAGTCTCATTTAAAGGAACATGTTACCCTCACATTGATGGATCATTTTTAAGTTTAAAAGCTTGGTATGTCAGCCTTTATGCTGCAGTAACTTATAAGAGTACTTGCTTGGGCGAGTTGGTAGCTATTGATTGTTACCTTATTGCGCACTGCTTAGAAGACACACTTGGGATAAAGGGCTAAACGGATACAAGCGCAGGTGTGAGGAGTTGTTACGCTTCACATTTGCACCTTGAGCAGAAAGTCCTGAGAATCGCATGCCAAGTAGCATCCAAAATTCTAGGATTCATAAGTTAACTCTCAGGGTCTTGTGGCAATGCCAATGAAGTAGTAGAATTTTCAAGCATGTCTGAAAAATGGGCAGTTGACTGAATACAGCACTTATATGTAAAATTTTATTGGGGTGTGCAGTCCTCAAAAGCAGCTTTTGTATTGTATTGTGCTTCAAACAAGCGCTGCTTTGCCACAGACTGAAGAAGTGCCAACTCCAAGCCAATAAGGATTGCAAATCTGGTGCCGCCATGAGAATCTGTTACTCAGCGACATAAGGCAACAATCACACAGGTTGTGTTTTAAGTAGGCTTGTGGACCCGCATATAATCCAAAGTGCATTTAGAGCTTAGCAAATGCGAGAAAAAAGTTTTTGCCGGAATATACCCCGAGAAAAACGGAAAAATGCATTTATTTACTCAGTTACTCATCGTCATCTGATGAGCTCTCATCCGAACCTCCCTTGTCGGACACGTCCGCCTATAGCACCTCGTCGTCAGTGCCCTCAAGGACGTCTGAGAGAGAGTACTTTTTGAAGAAACGGATGAGCCTCTCAGGAATGCAGGCCCGAGTCTCGGCGATCCATGAGCACAGCATAGTTGACGAGGCCTGCTTCAGTCGTCTGGCAAGGGGTCTCTACCAGCTCTCCGGACCTCATCCACTCCACACACAGGCACTTGATGTGGTCCTCAAATGTCTTATTGAGGCACACATGAGGCGGCTGCAGCTCGGATGTCATCCCTTCCAGGAAAACAAGCTCGCTACGGGAGTCGCACAGCAGTCGCTTCATGGAGTCCGCCAGATGACACACCGAAATGCATCAAGCACTAGCGTTGATGAAAACCCTAGCAGTTCTTCGGGTTGTTGGCACCACACGGACTCGATCCAGTCAAGTACAAGCGATTCATCTATCCAACCCTTGTCCTGGCAGCGGATCGTGACATTTCTTAGGAACTTCTCCCCCTTCATTAGCGTGTTTCATTTTAACACCACGTGGGGTGGCAGCTGGTGTGCATCTGCCATACAGGCCAGCATTACAGTCACCCGCATTTTCTCATTCCCAGTTTATCACACGGTAACTTGCCTGGAGCCTTTTTAGTGAACTGTCAGAGCCGAGGACATATCAAGGTGCACAGGCGCCTGATCAGCATTTCCGATCTAGCCCATCTGAAAGGAGACTGCCTTTCGCAAGGAAATGACGTGCTTCTGAAAGCTCACAGGAACCAGCCAATTCGCCGTACGATTTGCTCACCTACGTAGCGCTCTGTCCTCTTGTGTCGGTCTGCTCGGCCGTTTCTTCTTCCCCGTAATGCGCTATACCAGTTCAATCACAAGCATCTGTTCGCAGTTTTTTGGCAGCTTCTGTGATACCGACGTACGTCGACGCAGGGAGAATCCAGCATGGCGCATGAAGCAGGACACCCAATGTTTGCTCTCCTTGAAGACTGCCTGCTCAATGCCTTGATGTCAGCTGTGCAGCTTGTTGCTGCCAAACAAAGTTCACTCGTTCTTGTACAACGTCGGGAAAATACTACAGTTTCGTTCCCCGAAAACAACTTCGCTGGCCACTGCATATAAAGAGGGCTTCTCCAGCTGTGAATTCCCTTCTCGTCCACGCCAAACTGTCGCCCCATAGCACAGTTATCGATGGTTTCAGTAGCTTAGATAGCCTTTCTTTAAAGGCAGCCGAATGGTGCCTTCGTGGAGCTGGCATGGGGTAAAGTCACAGACTTAAAATCTTAGTCGTTGTTACGTGCTTCAAGTGGTTGCGATGGCCACTGCTGGCCGCTTGTAGGACTAACGTCATTAACACTTTTAGGGGGTTTTGAGGCTACTCGGACCACGATCCCGCAGGGAAGACACCGAGCCCGACCAGGAACCTTCTTTATTGACCGGAACCCGGGCCACAACTGCCCAGCGTCTGCCGCGTGCCCCCCAATGCTGGCTACCGCAGAAGCGTGCAGACACTTGATGATCATGATAGCATTGCTTATATTTGAAACCGAAACTACGAATTCAGGCCGGAAATTTTAGGGGCGAAGTTTTAAGGCATGGGTCTGTACATCCTCCGATGTATGTATAGTAGCAGTAGTTGGTGGCTACCGGTGGCACATACCCTCTCTAGAGCGGGTATGTGCCATAGGGGATGCGAGGTGGTAGATGGCGGTACTTGGAGTATTCACTAGATGGACACGCCGAAAGACGGACGGACAGACAGACAGACTGACAGACAGACAGACAGACAGACTAGCGGACGCACGGATGGTCGCGCGGACGAACACAAGCAAGAACGGAAGCACGGACGGGCTGACAAAAGCTTCGCCCCACTCATCATCATTCACTCCATGGATATGCTGTGATTTTTTTTTAGATCTGCATATTGCTGCAACAGGTTGGCCGCATTCAAGTAGCCCGCCACAATCATTGTGGCACCGGCACCTGCAAGACCCGGCTGGCATGCGCCACGCGTTCGTGCGCTCCGGCTACGAGGAAGAGGAAGATAGTTGGATCTGTGCCACTCGGCTAATCGGACTTGACGACCATAGTCTTTAGAATCGGGGGCACAAGTTCGCCCTAATGAAGACGCTTGTTTTTTTTTTAACCTGTCTGTCTCAGCATCGCTACAATATAGTCTGGGGCAGAAATATTGCATAGTAAAATTTAGAAAAAAAAAACGAGCTATACACAGCTTTTTACGGTAACTACCGTTGGCACACCGATTGTCTCACAGGCTCAAGCAAGAGCTTTTGCTAGTCCACCCGTTTGCAGCCATGGAAGATCCCAAAAGCTTGCTTTTTTGCAACCTCAAAATGTTATGGGATGAACATATTGAGAATTCCAAGGGGTCATTCGTAATGCATAAAGGTGTGATGGTGGCAGGAAGCAATGGCGAAAAATACGATTATAAGAATCTTAAGGGGGACGCGGCTTTGGTATCATGAAAAATGGCAAAAAAATCGATTTTTTTTTTTTTAATCAAGTTTTCAGTTTCTTTAACCCTTTTTCTATCTGATTCCAAAACATCTACACTGAAAACTGCGCAGAAGTGCTTCGGAAAATTCATTTTACCCTCCTAGGTAGCGAAACTTTTTTCTGAAAATCGCGAGAAAACAGCTTTTCAAAAAATTATAGCCTCGCGATGGCGGGGCCGGGAGCCGGCTTCTTGGGCTCGTCGTAAAAAAGCATTTCTCTGTGTTTAAATTACCTGCCTCAGCTGGCTCCTCCCTTTAAAAACAAGTGCACAAAAAGCAAATGTTGGAAGGTCGTTTCGAGGCCTCTGATTGGCTGTGGCCACCATGTTGCCTCAGTTCGCCTCGCCATTGGCTCGATGCTCACTCCGGGAAATCGTCATCTGCTGGTTGTGCGTTGTGAAGACATGGCTCTCGAAAATCGCTACTGCATGACTTGTTCATGGCTCGATGATCACTTAGGCTATAATTACATTTTAGTAGTAGCGGATGCGCGATCAGACTACTACGAGCGGGCGCACGGTCTACGAGCGCGTTGTGTCATCGAAGTTGTCTTTAGCCCTAACTCCGCTGACAGCGAGACTGCAGGCAGGAACGACGCGCTAGCGCACTTGTGGCAACGTGCTTCTTTGCAAGCAATGAAGCACATCACTCGCTAGCTCCTCGAAACCGCACACAGGCATTTTACGCATCGGCAGCAGACCACACAGTCAAGCTTGTCACCCCCCTACCTCCCCCTACTGCCAATGGTTGCTCGGAACAGCGGCTAGCAGTTTCGCACGTCATGACTCGAAAATGCGATACCAAGCGCAGTGCGCGCCCATTTTTTGTCATCGCAGCTACGCATTTCATGCATCGTGACCGAACGCCACCGCCAAGTGCATCACGCGCCGGCTGCACTGTCCACGCGGCCGCACACTCCACAGTCATATGTAGGGCTTTCAATAAGCTTTTGTGATGCGATTTATATGTGCTTGGTATCGCCAAGAGCGCCTATGAATATTCTGAGACAATGAAAGCCTCGTAGATTAGCATTTCCGTGACCGGCCTTTAACATTTCACGGCTAGAGTGGCAAAAGATGTATGAGGCAGGGGCACCAATTTTTATATGCTTGTCTCCTGCCCACAACTGTTATTTTGAAAGAAGGCATAGGCTGTCATGGTGTGAGCCATTTTTTTTATGCAATAAGCCTCTCTGTATATAAAAAAATGTTCAGTGATTTTTTGTAATGAAGTACTTAATTACGTTAATGAAAGACACACTGGGCAGAGACCACATGCCTGGGAAGTTAAATATCACAAGACAAACCTGAGATCACAATTTTTAGATGTTTTAGTAAAGAAAAGTTGAAACTTTAAACGCAGTTTTCTCAATACTGTTTTTTTTTATTTACATTATGCCTAGCCCCTCCATGAGGTTCAATGAAGAAAAAATTTGTCTCTCGTAAAGTGTTCGTGGTATCGCCTCAAAAGTTTTATGGAAGCACTGTGAGGTCATTCTTAGTGTCTGTGTCAATTTTCATCATTATTCAACGGGAAACAAGAAAGTTAGTCGAAAAAAGCTTGTCGAAAACTTCAACAGGCTTTTTCTCACAAGTGTGTTTTGGACATTGTGCTTTGCTCATGGAAAGTGTAGTGCGGGAATGACTGGATGGTTTTGGATGCAGTGTTTTTTTTCTGGATCCCAAAACATTTCTTGGGGGTCTGACAATCTTATAATTCTTGTTTTTTCTAGAAGATGACTTGTACATGACACTGTTTCTGACAATGTGTGTAGGCAGCCATGATGATGTTTATAAAAAAAAAAAGAGAACTGATAAAAAAATTCTGAGATTGTCATACCAAATTGTCTTCTTTTGAGTAAAGATCAACATCGTTGGCAGCTTCCTGGCATGTTTTTTTACAGCGCTAGTCTTTCCACGAGCAACCCGTGTAAGTCGAACCACGTAGCATGATGTAACTTGAGAACTACTCAAGGTATCATGATGAAACTGCACATTTTCCTATTCAAGGCACTTATGAAAATACATGCCAAATTTCATTGCTCTAGGGGAACAAACAAAAAAAAGAAAGCTTTTTTTCTACGCCACCTCCTCCTTTAAGCTAATCGCTCGCAAAGGCATGTGACCTAGTGAAATTCCAAGTGTGCTGCACGCTTTTGATAGATTACCTAAACATGCTTCATCGATTTTCAATGCTGCCTCTTGTGCAATACCACTAAGTGTGCTGCACAGACTCATGTGTTCAAGGACAAAGCTTGCCAATGCCACACCAGTGGGTTGTCATGAGCTGAACAACATACATTTGAGGCAGACACATGCATACGGCACAGCAAGCACCCAAGCAGCAACTAGCAGCCCACGTGCTGCATGCAACTAGGAAGAAATGGCTGGGTTTTCTGCAGATACCAGACGTAATCACGAGAACTTGTACAAGCACCAAAGTGCCTGGCAAGTTACTGCAGGCTTTGAGAGCTTTTTCAGACATAGCTGCAGTGGTTCGAACTCTTCAATGAAGTAAAACAAGCTTTCAACCTCTCTCTCTCTCTCTCTCTTTTTTTTTTTTTTGACGGCCTGAGTTTTTGGGTGATTTTTCGGCCCCTAGGAAGTTCGAAAGATTGGGTGTTATGCTGTATATAACCCTTGATATAACGAACCTGGATTATTAATATGCATCGGTTATTATGAGGCAGATGAAAAGAAGTCTTGCAATTGATATAGTGTGTGGAATAAACCTGTATAACAAATTTTTGATTATAACAAACTTATTTTCGTGTAAGATGCAACTTTGTTATAATGAGATTTGAGTGTAATATTTGTGTCTATATGTTATATATTGTTTCTGTGTGTTGCTCTTTTATACATACTAGTCATTGCTCGTCACCTGAAGTAGCAAGCCATGTAATGAGTCAGTTAATAATTAGCAACTATCTGTTGTTCATTTTCAGGATTGGACGGTCCGGTCGTTTTGGTCGAAAAGGTGTTGCCATCAATTTTGTCAAAAACGATGACATCCGTATCTTGAGAGACATTGAGCAGTACTACAGTACCCAGATTGATGAAATGCCCATGAATGGTAAAACAGTTGTTGCTTGGCTCGCTTTTTCTTTTGCCTCTTCCACTTGCCAATGCTTTTCAGCTAAATGCAACTTTTATTTTTTTTCAGTTGCTGACCTCATCTGAAATCCTCACTCAAGCCAAGCACATCATTAACTCATGTACAAAGCTAAATAAAACATTTTCAGCCTTGCCCTTTAAAAACTTGCAATTTTGGACTCAAGTTCGGAGTGCTCGTTGTGCATTCGTCTGAAGAATAGCTTAGCTGCAATTGCCAGCTCGCTTCGAACAATGTTTCAATGTCAAGTTTTTATGACCACACATTCAATAGGTGCATCACAATGCAGTAAATTCCAGTGCACAGTATTCTGCATCAACTGTTCATAGCAGCAGTCCAGCTTTGTGAACATAGCATTCAGTTTAGTAGCACTCTGGGTGACCCTGGGGTTGTGTTGGCAGCCATGAAAGCGCTGCATACTGCCTTGAACTGCAATTTTTGTTAGTGACTTCTCTGAGCCTGCTATGAAAATGCACTGAAAAAAGGTTGAATAGGTGCTTTAACTGTGAAACAGATTTGCAAATCCTAAAGAATCCGAAAACAATATATGTGCTGTCATACCAGAGAACTCGTACTTGTAAGCTACTAATATGTATATTTATCTTCTTTGATCTCATATACAGAACAATAATTGGCACCCGATGCACACATCTCATTTAGCAGTTTCTTCCTTTTATCCTACTTGGAATGCAGAGCATTTTGGCAAAATTTTAAAATGACCGAGATTGTTTTGATGTACCTATCGGTATCTACTGCTGCTTTGGCAACAGTTCACTTTATGATGTAGTAATGTTAAACCCATTTATAAGAGGCTTGCTCTGGCCAGTATTTTTTGTCTTTTAATGAGATCTCTTATAAAGTGGGTACCTCGTATGCACTTCTTTATCAACCCGTATTTTACTGTAGGACCACTGGTGTCTCAATATCTATTTGTCTCTTACATCAGCGTCTCTTTTAAAGAGGTTCGACTGTACTCAGCTTTACCAGTTTGGTCGTACCCTCGCTAGAACTGCTAGTATTTTAATTATGTAGGTCATGTCACGCTGCTGTTGGTGCCAAACTATATTTTCGTTTGCTTTGCACAATTCGTGTTGATTGTTTTCTGTGAAAGACCTTTTATTATTGATGCCTCTGTGAGTTTTCGTACTCTAGGAGTGCTGTGAGATACTTTGCCACCTGCAGCTAAAAAAATATCTGTACCAAACCTGTTTTTTTTTCTTTGAAAACACTTTTGTCTGCACAAAACGGTACTTCTCTTGCTCTGAAATCAGCTACGAGAATCAAAAAAGCCACTTCCATCAATGTGTGACCTAACTGTGGTGTGCATGGAATATATCTTCACTTTTGACTGTACAGTGTCCATCAAACTTCCTAAATGCTGTGCAGCTGCTGTAATCAGTACAAATGCCATTCGCACCTTATAGCTGCTGGGTGCAACAACAGTTTGGTGGTAACTGCCGTTGCATACTATAAGTATAAATATATATTGATATATCCGCACTCACTCTAGCTCTCCACTCGTCTACTGATCAGCCTTGTTGGTTAATTCAAGGTAGGTTTACATTTTGTTAATTTGCATGCCAAGGTTTCTGCATAAGAAAACTGGTAGTGCTGGGTGCTGCTGCATGCAAGTTGGGGACACTCCTTAGTGTGGTGTAGAAATTGTAGGGTACCACGTAAAAGCTGCCAAGGATGATTGCTGTTGCCTTCCTTGACAAAAACCTCTTTGTCAAGAAAGTTGGCACAGGACTGAGGCACAAGCTTCCTTCTATTGTGGTGCTGCAGAAAGTTTGATGATAACATCACGAGGGTGAAATGAGGGCAGCTATTGCGCAGTCTATACGGAAGTCATGGCTGGTGTGTGGGTGTTAATCCTACATGCCATAATTAAAACTGCAGACACTATTCGTATGCTTTCAATAAACTTTATTGGGTTCTAAATGTTCTCTTAGAATGGTTGAAATTATGTTGCTTGTAATTCATTACATGATAACTAGTACATATGACATGGGGACGGTTTTGACTGTAAGTGTTCCTAAATGCAGCAATTTCTAGTGAGCAACACTTGCTGTGCTTATTAGATGTCAATTGCTTTTATTTTCTGTCTTCAAAACTGTTCAGTCAGAAATCAGAGGTTGAATTAAACGTGGTGAAGATTGAGGCTTGGGTTGTTGAGAATTCATTGAACAAGTAATGTCTGTAGAAAAATGAGGGGTGGCTTGATGTTGTAGGCTGTCGTAAAGAAAGGTGCATTTGCTCTTTATGTCTCCATGTTTTAATATGCCTGTTAAAACACGTGCTTGTCAACAACTAATTTATGCTCAAAGGCTAACTGGCTTAATCAGGCCGAGCACAAAACCTTCGGGTACGGGCCATGCTGGAATTCGCCGGGTGAGCCTGAGTAGGGCACTCTCAAGACCGGCCTGAGAAGCTGACTCTTGTTGTCCTCTAGCGAGCACTTTTTAAATCCCAAGCGTTTCGTAGGAACTTGTTGCTGAAAAGAGCGCACCAGTTGTGTGTGCACTAATATTATTACCCGTAATGTATCAAAAAATGAAGAGAAACATCCCCTAAGAAACACTCCAGCTCTATCAAGTAAAAGTTGGCTAGCAGAATTTAAGAAGTGATTGGGTTTAACTGGCATATTATCCTTAGTGTAATTAGAACTGGGAAAGCATGCAAAGTGCGGATCAAAGTTTCTCTGAGACATGAGCATATAGTGCAGCGTTTCTCATCCACTAAGGCATATCGTGTAACATTGATCAATTTTACAGCATCAACGAAAGGTCGGCATCACTTGCTGGTCACATTTTCACTGAAGTCACCCACTAACATAGCTTGGTTTGTTGTACATACAGGGGACCCGTTACACGAAACCTTAGAAGTCCAGCAAAATATTTCCTATTTTGCAGGAGTTCTGTTTACTGAGCAAAAAAAACAAGTGCAGAATACAAGTATTAAACTAATATCGGAGGCAGGTGTTCCACTTACGCAACAGTTCCATTAAAGGGGCCCTGCAACACTTATTGAGCATGGTCAGAAAACACTGCCGATAGGTAATAGAGGCTCCTGATGACACACGAGCCAAATATTATAGTGCATCACGCGGCCTGGAATTCACAATAAATTATTAAAATAAGCGAAAAATTGCTTTCTCTTCTCGAGAAATCGCGCAATATATCCAAAAATGACACGTAGCAAGCCCATCTATCAGCCATTGTCAGATTCGAACATGGCACGCTCACTCGTTACAGAGACCACCACGGGAGGCTGCTAATTGTCTACGCATGTGCACGCGATTACATTAAAAAAGCCAAAAATTCCAAGAAAAAGTGCTCAAGGTCACTGGGCTCACATGAAGTTTCCCTGTGGTCCTTCCTTCCCTGCTTAGCTTCCAGCGCTTTCGTCGGCACGAAAGAAGAAAGAATGCAATTGCAGCGTGTGACAAATCTTTGTAACTTCACTCGTACTGGACAAATTCTTAAAATTTTTGCGGTGTTGAATTTGTGAGGTAATAATTCCATGGTTATTTGAAAAAGTCTTTCAGGGCCCCTTTAAGAGGTTTACATTTTCACACCGTTCTCCACTGTTACAAAAGTTCTTTTTTTTTTTTTTTTGTGAATCAAAAGCGCGCAAGCGGCATTTTATTATGTCTTGTAATGCATCACATCATCGTAAGTAGTTTGAGTGCTAGCAAATAATTCCGGATTGAACTTGAGACACTTGATGACGTTTGGCTCATCCCAAAATGTCCCATTGTGGTGCATATTGTGTTGCACATTTATCTTTTTAATTAGTAGAGCACTGCTGTGGATAAATTTGACGGTCTAGACGTTCTCAAACATTTAACTTACACATTGACATACATTTCTGTTCACTTTTAGTGTCCCTTTAAGCAATGAAATATGTCATGTCAAAAGCACAGTCATTACTCACCCTTGGAGATTTTCAACCATGGGTCTCGCAATTCGCTAAAAATACCCTTTAACTGTAGCTACTGAAAAAAAATTCAAAATAACAAATGGGAAGATAACTTCAGAACCTCAATAGTTGCAGTTGTGTGCGAAATGGTCCTTTCATATGAAAGTAGTCTAGGTTTTGCTGTTTGTACTCATAGTCTCTGCCACTACGATAGCACTGCTACATTTTTATACCAAATGAGAATACAGTAGCACAGTAAAGTTGAATTTTGGCATTGCGAAATTGTATTGGAGTCGTGGAACAAATGCGAGTGCCACAAATTCAAAGATGCTGTTTTCTTTGACTTTGTGGCAGTAGTTGGTCACTTGGGATACTGTGGTGGTAATGGGTTGCTGCAATGTAAAAGAAAAAAAAACTGGAAAAAGAAGCAGTTGGCAACTGTGGCATCAACAATGAGAGTAGCAAAGGAGAGATATTAGTTCGATTTGTGGGGTAAAAAATGAATATTATAATGAACAAGTTCAAAAACATGAAAATAGGAAGCATTCGTTGGTAAGCCAAGTCAGAAAAACTGAAAACAGACTAGATGTATAATGGGCAATGAGTCTGAATCAAAAAATTCTATTTGGACCCACCAGCGCGTAAACCAGCACGCAGCAGGCCGTTCTCACACAGGGACAGGTAGGTCTAGCCCCCGCGATATCGCAGTATTGTTGGCCTGCCCATAATTGTGCTTCCAAATCGAGACAGTGTAGCAGTATCCCGCTTGTATGATGTAACATCTTCGTCTACCCATTAAAAGGGGCACCACCAGAGCATGTGGTCTAAGTTGGCAAAGTCTTAAACGCTTAATTCGACTGTGCAGTGAAATATTATACGCTATTCTGACTATATCAGTGGCTTGTAAATTAGTGCTCGTTTTTCACCTTGTGCTCATCCAAGAATGTAACATTACAGATGAAGGGCTATAGTAATGGTTCCTGTGGATGGCAGTGCTTCTACCCATTTTCAGGTAAGCACGGTGTTTAACCTTCCACGATCCACATAGGGTTTCTTATGAAGAGAACACTTAAATTGACTGTGCAGTGAAAAATTATACGCTATTCTGACTATATCAGCATCTGTGAATTAATGCTCTTTTCTTCACCTTGTGCTTATCTAAGAATATAACATTTCAGATGAAGGGCTAACGCAATGATCCCTGTGGATGGCAGTGCTTCTACCCATTTTCAGGTAAGAGCGGCCTATAAAGTTCGACCATTCACTTAAGGTTTCTTATGAGGAGAACACTTAGTTCGACTGTGCAGTGAAATATTATACGCTATTCTGACTATATCAGTGGCTTGGAATTATAATCCGTTTCATACATCAGGTGCAACGCTGTGAAGGCTAGGCAAGTAGTCCGTAAAGAAAATACGAGGTGTTGCTCCGCGCGGTTTCGTAGCCGAGTGGTCTGACGCGTCGCTCCGGAGAGTTCACCGTAGTTTTGAAGTGCATGGGTTCGAATCCACGTGGTGCCATTTTTTTTATAATTTTTGCGAGTTCAATTCGAAATTTTGTTGTTGTTTTTTTCAGTAACTTCAACTTACTTGCACGCGGAAGTGAACTGCACGTATCTATTCATTTGTAGCATACCGTGTTCCCTTGTGAGGGCCGGAACCTGCTGAGCTGGCACCGAGGTTTGACCAGCATGGCGATTTTGTCGCGATTATACCGCATCGTCGGTTTACCTCGTTGATGTGAGCGAGTACTGCGTGTAAGATGACGTTAATTCATTGATTAGGTAGCACAGCAGCTCCAATGAGGCTGGGTTAACGACAGGTGCTCACCTTCAACTTTTGTTTTCGTCATTGCCCCGATGATCCACTTTTCTGTGCCGCTCTTTAAACACTCAGCAGGTTATTGATTATAGCGGGCCGCCGGCAGAGAAACCTGTTCAGTTTTAGCAAAACAGTGCGGAATCGACCTTCCACTGCACTGTGCGGTATCCCGACGCACTTCGTGTGAGTAACGAATGATATGTTATTCAGGGAAAAGGGAAGAAAGCAAATTTGTGTAGCTCGAAATAGTGATTTTGGCACACAAACGCATAAAACATTTCCTAGACTTGGTATTCACCCGTTTACTGTCTTAATATATGCGACATTTTTGTGAATTGTTATGCGCAATTTATTTCTTCAGTATAATTCCAACCCATCCTTCTTCCCGCAAGTAGGAGTTCCTTTTTTATCGTTCAAAAGAGAGTTTCAGCTAGGCTGTTATTCGGCAAAAACTCTAAATTTTAATTTATGCGTCAATCGTTTTTTTTTATAAAAACCTGGATATGGCCTGTTTTTCTCGGTTGAGAAAATCTTTATGGTATAGGGTAATTCAGTGCCCAAAAATTGTACTGGTTCAAAAAGTTGGAGATTTGTTCCATACATACATACATCCAGGGGCAATACTCATTGCGTGCGATGGACCAATATTCCAAACGGATGACGACTTTTGTAGTTTAAAAAACGCAAACTTTATTTACAGAAGAGCACCTCTGGCCGATGTCGTGGTGTGTTCCGGCATCTTCTTTTTTTTTTTCCTTTTTTATACCAAGTTTTTACAGAGGTCATGTGACCATTCCAAACGTTTGCACTTCACAACAAAACATAAATACGGTAATTATTAGGGAGCAGTACAGTGCAGTGTCCTTCTTAGCCCGGGTCACTTAGCGACGTTAAACCCAACACACAAAATCACACGATGAGGAAGCACTCTTTGCTTTGTCATAATAACACAGCCTTCTTGGGGAATGAGCTCAGCATGAAGCAGCACGAGCAGGTTCGCTAGAAAGGTGTCCACAATCCAGCTCAACCAGTCGACCCTCGTGAACAAAGCCACCACTGACAGGCCGCACATTCCTCGAAAGTCAGCAAAGTTCTTCAATGCCACTCAACTCGTCATCACTGAACTGAGCACCCGACTCATCGGAGGAGGAGTTGCACGAATCACAAATGCAGAAGACAAGTGGTTCGATTTCACTATCCACAATCATGTCCCGTTCCCATGCTTCAGCTTCAACTTGCTCTACATGAGCGCAGCAGTTTTGCCACTTTTCCTGTTTTACAGATGCCAGTGCTTCTGGCAGAAGCTTCTCTACTTCAGCCAAAGTGAAACCCGTATTCCGTGCTGCGATGTATCCCTTTACCTGGCTCCAAACAAGCTCGATTGGGTTGAACTCGCAGTGGTATGGTGGTACACGAAGCACTTCATGGCCGTGGGTAGCCGCCAGAGTGTCGATGCGGTACACAATACTGGGTGTGCTGACCTTTTGGGAAAGTTCCAGCAGTTCAGCTCTCACCATGTCCTCTGACCACGGAACACCTTTCTTTGTGAGCCAAAGCTGAATATCAGCTTTGCGCGTCTACTTGGTAGGTGCTTTTTCAAGAGCTACGCTGTGGTATGGCGCATTGTCCATGACAATAACGCTATTAGGCGGAATATTTAGCAAAAGCTTGTCGGTGAACCACTCCTCAAATTATCTGCCATCCATCTCAGAGTGGTAGTCAGCGCTGCCCCACTTTTTTGCTCGGAAGTAGTCAGCAGCTCCTTCAATAAAACCAGTTGCACTGCTGCCAGCATGTACGAGGATCAAACGGGCCCCTTTGCCCGAGGGTGCAGCCAATCCTGTCGTCAGACCTTTGAGGAAGGCATCTTGCGATGACTTCACAGTCGTGTCCTGCCAAACGTACTCCTTCGTGTGCCCTGCGTTGACCCATGTTTCATCCAAGTAGATGATGCACCTGTACAAAGCAAAACGAACGAGCGCACGAGTTAGCGCACACAAGTAAACATACCCACAGCAGCAGCTTGAGTCTTGCCATGACCATAGTCGAAAATACTGCAAAGGACAAGTTGAGCAAAAAGTACAAAAAGCATTCATATGCATATTCTATTTTCTTTGTTACCCACTCATATGCTGACTGCTCTTTCGTAAACAGCTGCTTAGCGTCAGTCGAGGAAAAAAACGGTCGGCGTCAGTGCTTTCTTTAGTCGGGCTTTAATTCGGCACGTAGGTGGCATTTGGCTGTCAGTTCTGATTCATGGCAAGTTCACATGTCACACATGCGGTATTCGGTAAGAATTCATTGGCCGTCGCTATCATTTTGCACGAATGGAAACAAAAATAGACACCAAAATTCCCAACAATGCTGCCAGTAACTCTCATCTTTCATGGGAATGAGCGCTTACCGCACCAAAGGGCGGAGATTTAGCGACCCCCACCCAACAAAACAAAAGTCGTGAAATGCGACCTGCAAGCAATTACCTTGCTTAACCGTTTTCTTTTTTCCAGGCTGTAGTTCAGATGTAATAGTCTCCATTACCATTATAAAGTTGCAATGCTAACATCAAGTGTTATATCAAGGCAATCTACATGTGCTGCGTAAGGAAATATGAAAGTAACGGTTCCCACCTGCCCTGTCCTCGGAATTTCTTGATCGCCCGCAAGTACCTGCGACGCCAGGCAATGATGTCACTGCGCTCGATTAGCGCAAGATTCCGTTTTCTCTTAGCAAAGGTCGATGTCCTTCATTAGCCTCCACAAGGTGGTTTTCGTAAAGTTCGGCAAGTCGTCGTCTTCGTTGACAGCCCTTATCACACTGTCCAGTGTTGGGATCTCCCTCTTGGCGTACATGCTGTGCACTTTCAGACGGATGGCATGGATTGTCAAGCTGTCATGTTTGACGGTTCGAGCTCGAAATCTTCACCTCGCAAGCTCGTTTTTTCGGTGACACCAAAGGCCCACGCAGACGCTCCGCCTTCAATTTCGCCGCGGTAGGGGAAGTGTCCTCGCTCACAACACTCAGCACTTCCCGCACAGATTTCTCCGGGAAACGCATCCTGGTACGGGCGTACACATTTGCAGTTACCGTATTTACACGATTGTAAGACGACTCGAATGTAAGACGACCCCCCCAAAATAGCATCTCAAAAAAAAAAAAAAAACACCTTGGTATCCCTGCCTGAACAGCGTAGACACGGGCTTGCTGCGTGACCATTTCGCAGGTGACCAACAACGATCGATCGCGTAGATCAGTCACGTAGGCCGCAAGCTTCGCCTCTAGTTCCGAAAAGCGGCCAGACTTCGGCCCGCGAAAGCCACGGCGCTTGGAGTCGCACGAGAAAATTTCCTCGCGCTGAAGCCGCCACTTCCGCACCACACATTCACCGATTCCGAACTTCCGTCCTGCTGCACAGTTGTTGGTTTCCTCCGCATGAAGAATAGCAGCCCGCTTAAACGCTGCCGTAAACGAGCGCCGAGTGTTCTTCGAGCCTACGGCACTCATGTCAGACAGAAGTGACTCGAGAGAGCCGGTCGTGGACACAAGCGACAGGAGCACGCGGCGACGCGCCCGCTTAGAAAATTGTATCACAAAGAGGAGCTCTTCCGTCAACTACCAATACCCCCCTACGGCGGCTCTTCCATCGATTACCGGTGCTCCCTCCAGAGCCGTGCGCTCGTCATAAAGGCACTCGTAATGCGCGCAGTAGATGCTAAAAAAAGAAAAGCTTTTGTATAAGCACGCGGAAAACTATGCGCTTTGGGTTGAGCGGGAAACTATTCGAGATGACAATACATGGTTCGATTTCGATTCTAAGGTACATGGTTCGATTTCGATTCTAAGACGACCCCCCAACATTGGATTGTCAAATTTGAAAAAAAGGGTCGTCTTACAATCGTGTAAATGCGGTACTTGCTTGGCCTGCTTTGACAGCTTTGATGTGCGAAGCTTCGAAAAAATTCGCGCAGGAGAGGTGGTCGAGGTTGCAGAGCTGGACGCCATTTTTTCGAAGCTGCCACAACAAGTTAAAAAAAAACGGCGGCGCGAGTCGCGCGGAGAGCGAGAACCTGATACGAAAGCGACAAGCATAATTTACGAACTCGCATATATGGATTGTTTATCTGACAACACAGGTGTTTGTTTTTTAACCTGATGACAAATATGTTTGCTTAGAAGTTTCCCGAGAAGCATTTATTGATTCTCGTACACCCCAAGCGACGCACTACTTTTTGGTCGCGGCAGTACACAGCGCAAACAAGAGCGCTAGCTTTGACAGCGTTGCACATGATGTATGAAACGGAGTATAGTGCTCGTTTTTTTCACCTTGTGCTCATCCAAGAATGTAACGTTACAGATGAAGGGCTATCGTAATAGTCCCTGTGGATGGCAGTGCTTCTACCCATCTTAAGGTAAGAGCGGCCTTTAACATTCCACCATTCACACAGGGTTTCTTATGAGGAGAACACTTAATTTGACTGTGCAGTGAAACATTATACGCTATTCTGACTATATCAGTGGCTGTGAATCAGTGCTCGTTTTTACACCTTCTGCTTATTTAAGAATATAACATTTCAGGTGAAGGGCTATAGCAATGATCCCTGTGGATGGCAGTGCTACCGATTTTCAGGTAAGAGCGGCCTATAAAGTTCGACCATTCACTTAAGGTTTCTTATGAGGAGAACACTTAATTAGACTGTGCAGTGAAATATTATACGCTATTCTGACTATATCAGTGGCTGCGAATTAGTGCTCGTTTTTTCACCTTGTACTTATCTAAGAATATAACATTTCAGATGAAGGGCTAACGCAATGATCCCTGTGGATGGCAGTGCTTCTACCCATTTTCAGGTAAGAGCGGCCTATAAAGTTCGACCATTCACTTAAGGTTTCTTATGAGGAGAACACTTAGTTCGACTGTGCAGTGAAATATTATACGCTATTCTGACTATATCAGTGGCTTGTAAATTAGTGCTCGTTTTTTCACCTTGTGCTCATCCAAGAATGTAACATTACAGATGAAGGGCTATCTTAATCGTCCCTGTGGATGACAGTGCTTCTACACATTTTCAGGTAAGCACGGTGTTTAACCTTCCACGATCCACATAGGGTTTCTTATGAAGAGAACACTTAAATTGACTGTGCAGTGAAAAATTATACGCTATTCTGACTATATCAGCATCTGTGAATTAATGCTCCTTTTTTCACCTTGTGCTTATCTAAGAATATAACATTTCAGATGAAGGGCTAACGCAATGATCCCTGTGGATGGCAGTGCTTCTACCCATTTTCAGGTAAGAGCGGCCTATAAAGTTCGACCATTCACTTAAGGTTTCTCATGAGGAGAACACTTAATTCGACTGTGCAGTGAAATATTATACGCTATTCTGACTATATCAGTGGCTGCGAATTAGTGCTCGTTTTTTCACCTTGTGCTCATCCGAGAATGTCATCCGAGAATGTAACTTTACAGATGAAGGGCTATTGCAATGATCCCTGTGGATGGCAGTGCTTCTACCCATTTTCAGGTAAGAGCGGCCTATAAAGTTCGACCATTCACTTAAGCTTTCTTATGAGGAGAACACTTCATTCGACTGTGCAGTGAAATATTATACGCTATTCTGACTATATCAGTGGCTTGTAAATTAGTGCTCGTTTTTCACCTTGTGCTCATCCAAGAATGTAACATTACAGATGAAGGGCTATAGTAATGGTTCCTGTGGATGGACAGTGCTTCTACCCATTTTCAGGTAAGCACGGTGTTTAACCTTCCACGATCCACATAGGGTTTCTTATGAAGAGAACACTTAAATTGACTGTGCAGTGAAAAATTATACGCTATTCTGACTATATCAGCATCTGTGAATTAATGCTCCTTTTTTCACCTTGTGCTTATCTAAGAATATAACATTTCAGATGAAGGGCTAACGCAATGATCCCTGTGGATGGCAGTGCTTCTACCCATTTTCAGGTAAGAGCGGCCTATAAAGTTCGACCATTCACTTAAGGTTTCTCATGAGGAGAACACTTAATTCGACTGTGCAGTGAAATATTATACGCTATTCTGACTATATCAGTGGCTGCGAATTAGTGCTCGTTTTTTCACCTTGTGCTCATCCGAGAATGTCATCCGAGAATGTAACTTTACAGATGAAGGGCTATTGCAATGATCCCTGTGGATGGCAGTGCTTCTACCCATTTTCAGGTAAGAGCGGCCTATAAAGTTCGACCATTCACTTAAGCTTTCTTATGAGGAGAACACTTCATTCGACTGTGCAGTGAAATATTATACGCTATTCTGACTATATCAGTGGCTTGTAAATTAGTGCTCGTTTTTCACCTTGTGCTCATCCAAGAATGTAACATTACAGATGAAGGGCTATAGTAATGGTTCCTGTGGATGGCAGTGCTTCTACCCATTTTCAAGTAAGTGCGGCCTTTAACATTCCACCATTCACACAGGGTTTCTTATGAGGAGAACACTTAATTTGACTGTGCAGTGAAATATTATACGCTATTCTGACTATATTAGTGGCTGTGGATCGGTGCTCGTTTATTCACCTTGTGCTTATCTAATAATGTAACATTGCAGATGAAGGGTTATCTTAATGGTCCTTGTTGATTGCAGTGCTTCTACCCATTTTCAGGTAAGCGTGGTGTTTAACTTTCCACCATTCACGTAGGGTTTCCTATGAGGAGAAAGCTTAATTTGACTGTGCAGTGAAATATTATACGCTATTTTGACTATATCAGTGGCTGTGAATTGTTGCTGGTTTCTTTACTTTGTGCTTATTTAAGAATGTAACATTGCTGATTAAGGGCTATCGTAATGGTGCCAGTGGATGGCTGTGCTTCTACACATTTTCTAGTAAGAGTAGGTTTTATCTTTCCACTATTTCATGTGTTTTTTTATGAGGAAAATATTTATTTTGACTGCAGTGTGAGTTATTCCGTAACACAGTTGCAATGGTTACGAAAGCAGCAGTCAGCATGTTATCAGTGCTGAGTCTGGTGTGTGTTTCTTGAAGGGAAGGGTGTGCGACTATGGGATTGTCCCTAAAACATTGAAAGAGTGGGCGGCCAGCAACTCCCTCCAGTTCTGCTCCAAGTGTTTTACTGATTTTCAAGTCACCAGGTAATGTATGCACATGTCAAATGATATGGTTTTGTGAACTGTAAGATGAAAAAGTTCGAATGGGCAGTCAAAGGATGTTACATGTGCAAGGGGTATCTTTGTGCAGGTTTAATACTGTGTACTCTAGTCATGTAGGCACACATCACTTATTAATCACTTACTATGACATTTTCTCAGTTGTACGAGAAATTACCATCTGTATGCATATGTTGTGCACCGCAGTTTGTCATTTTTTGGTCATCCCCATGCTTGAAGGTAACGATTTTGGTGGTAGGGTGTTTTCGCCTTGTCGCGTCGGGCTTTTGGAAGGATTTCCAATCTGGGTGTGAGCTTGGTGGACACACCGAGACATCTCAGCACCTGCAGGTGTGGCCTTCCCAGAAAACACAATGCCATTGATCCTTCAAGCTGTAAAGCTGCATGCATATTGCCGTGCCACACCGTGTGTTGCCCAACCTACGGTATTTCGTCAGCCTTATTTTTAGAACAATCTTTGTTAATCCTAAATATACGTACAGTTAAAGCACCATCTAACAAACCCCGATTTTACGATGTTCGTGGTCTAATGAAAAAAGTCTACATTTTTCTGCAGGTTCTATAGGTTTCAATGTCACCACCCTCTGTTAAAGTGACTGCTATTTTTAAGGAAGTTTTTCTTTAAATAAATGACCAAAAGTGTGGTGATTTTGACACGGGTCTTTCTTTGGATGTGTACTTGAACTTGCTGAACCCTACTGATGACTGATGTAGTGGCCCTACTCACAACTGCAGTATTATTTTGACAAGCTTAAAGCCACGCCTTTACAAACACTGGACTAAATAGTCAGTAGTGCTCTTACGTACCAGGTGGCGTTAGGGGCAGCAAAACTTATTGCCCCTGTAGATAAAGGACACCATGGTAGGTGCTTTCATCATTTTACTGCTAATGCAACATATGACACTTATAGTCTCCTCGCGGTTTCTTTGTCTGGGGGCCTGCCTGCACAGTCACTCCTATACCGCAAAGTCTTCATTTGTCAGCCACCTGTCAGAGCCTAAAGGGACTGTCTACCACTCAGAAAAACTTTTGATCGTGGTGAAAATGAGATTATTAGCACATCAGTGGTAGTAAGCATGCTTTTTGTAATAAATATGAATATACATTTAATTTGGCTTTGAAGTTCGTGAAAGTATCACCGCTAGTGTCATCCACCGACGACACGGTTCAGTCTATTGGTAGGAGAAAAACACTCTTGCCAGAAGTATCTATAGCTTGAAATTGTATATGACGGATTCGTGGCAGCTTGTCTTTGCGACAGAGCAGTTTATACTTTTTTCTCACGCGTTCATTAACCTTAATAACACTGCTGGTGCCGCATTTGCCAGCCTGTCTACGGTGCGTACATGTGAGCACAGCGTCAGTTTCCGCATATAAAAATGGGGGAGGGGAACAAATGTGTGTCTTGAAGAGCAGAGGGATTGACTTAAGGGAGTTTTCTAATCATGCCCGTGTGTTTTAATGCGTAAAGTGCATACCAGTCGCCGACAAAGGCACGTGCAGGGTTTTTGGCGAGGGAAGGGGGTCATTGCAATATATAAGGCTGACTTATACTGACTAAGGCTCAAAAACAGCAAGCATTTGTCTGGAGGTGCGTGCCACTTGAATAAAGAAATGACCGCCGCAACTATCTCGTAGTGACTGCATTTGTTATTCAACTAAGCTGCATAGCTCAGCAAAGTATTATGAAGCAATTTGTGAGAAAAGGGCACTGCTCTGTGGAGCCGGCAGAAAGCGACGGCACTGGCGAAATTGCCCATACGGCGGCACGGCATCTTGAACCAGAAGTCGATGCAGGTGGGTGCCGTAGCCCACAATCCTTCGTCAAGTCCCCAATCGGCGACTGTGCATCTTTGCGCATAAAAGGAGAATTGGTCAGGCATAGGAAAGGAGCGTGGCAGTTGTTTTTTGAAATGGAAGCTATGTGCTGTAATATCCGGGAAACATAATCACCTCGGTCTCCTCTACGAATTGCCGAACTTTTTTTGTGAGGTGTAAAAAAATGTCGGTGCGTGTTGACTGACCCTTTAAAGGCTCATTCTTTTGTGTAGACACAGTGGTATAGCCAGGGGGTGGCACTTCAAGCTCTCTCCCCCAGCTTTCTTTTTTTGTGCCATAGCATACAGACCGCAAAATGAGACCACATCTGCCTGCCCGGCCCCCACTTGAGATGGAGGGGTGCCTCCCCCCCCCCCCCCCTGAAAAAAATATCTGCCTACGCCTCTAGTTAGACACAATACTAATGAGAACTGACGGCTTTATTGGCGATGATATTATGAAAGTCGAGTATACACAGCAGGGCAGTTTGCACAAGAGCACGTTGTTGCCCCCCACTGACCATTGTCACGGCGCTGGATGAAAAAAATCACAGCATATCCACGAAGTGAATGATGATGAGTGGGGCGAAGCTTCGGATGGTGTATTGGTAAACCGTGAATCATCCGTCTGTCTTGTCTGTCTGTCTGTTCATCTAGTGAACACTCCAAGTATCGCCATGTTGTATCTTTTCATTATATATTCATTATATACAAGTACTGCCATCCAGCGGACATTTCAAGGACTAAACGAGAGGTGGGTACCTACTACTACATACATCTAGGACGCACGACGCTTGGCTGAAGGAGCTTCGCCCCTAAAAGCGCATCCAGCTGGCGCGCCAGTTTAACCACCGCGCACGCGTTTCAAGACCGCGCCCCGGTGTGAATGCAAGCGCTTTTTGCGACGTGCTTAGCCACGGACACACCTTGGTTGGGCTTGTCGGTTTAACCACAATAATGCAAAGACGTTGGTTTAACCACACTTTCATAAGTGTGTGTGCCTGTGGCTGGACTATGGCATCACATGAAAACTGCCTATATCGCTGTCGGCGCTGGAGCCGCCCCGCAAACTTATGCACCTAAACAAACACCTAACGCTCACATAAGTTATTTATTATACATAGTTCTGAGATGTACCACTTATAGGACTTCTGTAGCAGCCTTAGTGGCGTTGTAATATTTCCCCATGTGTCTGATTGTCCGATTGATACGCTCCAGTAGTGTCTTTTTATCATAGTACTGTGATACCTTTTCACTGCAGGTTTACAGATTTGTAAAGCTTCTTCTGATGTTTTATAAATTTGTGATTTTCGGCATATTGTGTACATATGCTTATGGGGCTCTCACCAACCTCTGAAAAAAAAAAAAGCACATTATTCTCTCTTGGCGTTTCTCGACTATTCGACTCAAGAACAGCGATTCCCGGGATGTCTATGTGCATTACATACACGAAAAAAAGTCGCAGGTTTGCCGCAAACGCGAAGCAATGAATGCGATAGCAACAAATTGGAATGTCACGTGAAGAATGGCAAACAGATAGAAACGTGCCCCACGTTGCTCACGCGGATAAGCATCTCAGTTGTTACTTCGCTGTGTCTGAAAAGCGTGCCCTTTTCGCCAACAGAGACTGTGCAACGAGTGCAGGGACCCTTGTGCGCCCGGTAACTACAATATAGTTCCGGTGAAAGCCCAAAGCCTACGATTCTCCCCACCGCGAGATAAGCGCACGCACTCGTTAGCATCTTACTTTCTCCCCTCTCCGCTAAGCAAACTATGCATGGAAGATGAGCGCGCGCCGCCGCGTCGTGACGATCTGGCGACGCGTGCTCATGGCGCCATTTTGCTGGGAACGGCGAAAACACGATGGTTCCTCCATGGCCTCAGAGATGGTGTGCGCACGACGGGTTTCTCTCCGGCCGTCCGAATCGGACGGAGATAGCGTGTTTCCGGAAGTGGGCGTGGCCCGCTCTATTCTCTGCACCGCGGCACTCCTTCGTATGGTCGAAAAGGCTGCCGTGCTGTTGGCGAAGCTTGCACGTGGCGAGAAAAAAAAATAGTTCTGCACTTCGATGTAAATGCGCGCTCATTTGGGAATTTTGGGCCAAGGTGTACGAAAGGCAAAGTCAATGCTTGGGCATCTATATATTTCCAAATGGGCTTTTTTTTTTTGCTGTAGATTTGCGCTGCTCATATTAGAGTACTTATTACTCCGATGTCTCTGCAAGAGATCCGGAAGTGCTGGAAACTTACTGTACTTTGAACTTGACAGGCTGTGTGGTATGGAGGGCACTGGTGAAGAAAAAAAAAACGTAAACGCCAGGACTGCGCGGTAGGTGCAGGACAGTCACAGCGAAAACTAGAAGAGCGGCCTTTCGGAGCCTTTTCAAAACACTCATTCAGTAACTACTGCAAGCGCACTTGCTTGATGCCCACTATG